GGGTCAGATACTCATGATAAGCCTTTGTTCCAAATGGTGTTATTCATGCTGGATTTGTTCGGTGGTTAAGGAAAAATTCTCCAAGTATGCTATTCAAGGTCCTACTATGGAGATGAACTCTATTGAGGATGATTCGGATTCAGGAGAGAGTAGTAGTAGTAGCAGTAGTAGTAGTAGTATGAATGATGAGGATGAGGATGATCAAATTTCGGGTTGGGCACTTACGCGAGCAGTGAGAGGTGCCAAACGTCTTTTCATCACACTTGAAAACATCAACCTCGTGAGACAAGTTGTGAATGAAATTGCGGAGCGTGATGGTTCTCTATGTGAATTATCGAAAAGATTTGAGTTTGGTAGCATTTGCAATTCAACCAAGATTTATGAAATTTTGAATATTCGCAAAGCATGTCATGAGAACTCGACAAAGGTTGTTAAAACAATGGTGTGGAAAATGAACAATGATTTGGAGAAGAATAGTTCTGACCATGATACTTCATTTAAGGAAATTGAAACAAAATCAGTTCCTATTGGTTTTGGGCTGAAAGAATTATCATTCCAAAACGTGGAACTCAGAAGAGAGCATCTGTTTAGAATCTTGACAAAATGTTGTGAACTTGAAAAATTAGATTTGTGCATTTCAGAGTCTCAAAGTCGACGTGGAAAGCCACCCCGCATCGAGGAAGAAGAAGATGAATTTTTTAATAAGCAAGAGGGTCATATATTTATTCCAGTATTTGAGACCCTTAAATCTTTGACATTGAATGCACCATATTACTACGATGAAGCTGAAAAATTTATGTTTGACATTTTAACAATTTGCCCACGCTTGGAAGAGTTGTATTACACTTTTAATAGTGACATTTATAACTCGTTTATTATCCAGCTTGCAAAATTGTGCCCTAACCTCAAGAAAATCCAAATTTTATGCAACGATGACTGTTCATCAGAACTACAGGTCACAGACGAGGGTTTATATGAATTTTTGAAGCTATTACCCCAACTTGAATATGTGTCGTTTCATCCTTGCAGTAACATTCGAGGTGAGATTTTTAAAAAAATTGGCGAGTTTTCACAATTGAAATATTTTAATATCACTCGAGGTTCGTATGACCAACCAGTTCCCCTAGAAAAGGATATTCATTTTGGAGGTGGAACTCTTTCCAAACTTGAATGCATTGATTTTGGAAGCAAGGAATACTCCTTCAACACAAGTGAGGAATTTGACAAATTTGTTACCACTCTCCGATCTGTGGCTCCTCATTTGAAATATTTGGGAGATCTTTTGGATATTGACGTGAGCATGGATGATAAGAAAAAAGTAGTCCAACTCTTTTCCGATACTCTTACTGATTTAGATGTAGGCTTTACGGTAAACCATTTAGCACCAATTCTGCCTAAAAATCTTACTTCCTTGCGCATGAAGATTAATGATGAATTTGTGAGCCAAAATGTGCTAAATCAATTACAGCCCAATCACAGCCTTAAAAAGCTGAGCATTACTGTTGGTCGACAAATTTCACCAGAAATCATTGTGGCAATTATTGAAAAATTGGCTGTGGATATTTATCCATGTGTGACACATCTCGAATTTTACTCAACAACAAAGCAAAAAAAAGTTTCAACCAATCCGCATGGCGAGATCTTGGATACTGTTTTAAGCAATATCAAAATTTGGCCAAATTTGTGTTTTTTGGATGGGGAGGTATTGTCGATGAACAGAATTTTAGCCGTTCGACCAAGGCTTAGATTTTACTCTATGTGGGACAATGATTTGAATTTTGACGACAATGTTTCCTTGTTCTATTATCAATGGTTGGTCCTTGATCAACCCTTTGAGGAATGGTGACTTTCCAAGTATTTGTTTTAGAGGCGATAATTATCAAGATGTTACAATATTATTTGGAAATGTTTCAAATAATTTATTAAAATACAATCTCATCCTCTTGTTTTACAATTAATGTTCTTCTTGTTGAATATTATTATTTGATAATACTCTTAAAGAGTTCAAATAATTCTTTTCAAAGGATTGAATCAGATGTGAGTACGACTTTTCCATCTCCTTTTGAAATGCCTTACTCTCTTCATAGGGATTGTCAATGGTCGAGAGTCGAGGATTATATTCAGTCTCTGGTTGTGTCAAATTTGATGATACGTTTGGACCAAGTTTCACTCCTTCACGCACCTCATTCTGATATTCATCAAATAATTCATATTCTTGAATGAGTCTCTCACGTAACTTGTCTTCTCGTGTCAACGTTGAGGCCAATGTAAATTCATCTTCTGTGAACACATTGAGAGAAGAATAAATGGAATAAATTTCAAACAAATCAGTCCAATCGTCTCGTTCTTCTTTTGTTTTAACCAATCCCACAAGAATTAAAGGTTCCATCACGTACAAGTAATCTCCTTGTTCGACTCGAATTTCAAACAAATAATATTGATTTTTGTAATATCGAACTTGACGTTTTTGTTGTTTCAAAATGACAGTATCAAAACTTCTTTCTGTGGGAATGATACTATAAGTGACATTTTGATTCCATGAAAAGGTGTGTTTCACAGGAGAGTCTTTGGTCGATTTTTCAAATATCGTCACCACTTCATTCTTGCATGACATGAATCGTTCGACAAAAATGTCATTTGGTTGAAATGATTCTTCCATGATGGTTGAAAAATTTAAATCTCCACTACTACTACCTCCACCACCACTCGAATAATGTGAACTATTTGAACCACTACTTGAACTATTATTTCCCACCAAATTCTGACCAGAATTCAATGGAGAAGCATACGATAAAGAGGATGTCTTTTTTGGTTTGATTTCCTTTTTAAAAAAATACACACTTCCTTCCTTTTCAAATAAATGTTGAGCTTGGAATGTTTGTGACTTGTCTTGAAACCATTGATTGAAATTGGATTTTTGACGAGATTCTAAATCGAGTTGATAATTGTTGGCTCGTTGTTGTTGAGAAGTGTTCGAGGACGAGTTATTATTTGATGTGGAATTTTGTGAAGATTTTTGAAGTGTGGTCGAATGTTGATCGAGAGCGTCGATGGCAGAATCTCTAAAAAATTCATCGGATTCAGTTCCTGAATTAAATAATCGATTGGTTTTCGATCGATTCGAATGTGAGGATGTGACACTTGATTTTCCATCCGTGTTGGAAAGATTCAATCCAAATATTTTCGAAATAAAAGTAGTGAGCTTTCGAGATTTTCCAAAACTGGATCGTTTCGAAAGATGATCTTGATCGTTATTGAAATTGGAATCTTCATTTGGAAAGGATGGAGAAGAAGAAGTAATCACAGGAGAAGAGGAGTTGGTGTCATTGCCACCTGTCATCATGACATGTTGTTGATGATATACTTCTTCCCATGTGGAAAATTCAGACATGACGCTATGTTCAGCATGACTTTCAGAATTTTGTAATGAAGAAGAAACGGATGAGGAAAGAATGGGTGAATTTCCAAAAACCGAAGCTCCATGATGATGTGTAGAAAGAGAATTTTCCAAATGATTTGAATTGACATTTGACACATGTTGTGAATGTTGTGGTAATAATAATGGAGAAATTAGAGGAGAGGCTTTGAGAAGAGTTTTTTTACGTTTTCCTCCAGAACTCGAGTTGGTGGATTGATTTTCATTGCTTGTTTGAGAAGATTTTTCTTGAATGAGTGAATTGACACGTGACAGACCCGAGTTGGCAGGAGGAGAATTTCTTGGATAACTACTCGAAGGAGATCGATTCAATGGAATGGGAGAAGACCTATTGTTTGTTGAAATTGTTGTTGAAATTGAATCGGATGATGATTCGGTATTATTTTCAGACGAGGGAGTTGGAGGTGTGAACATTTTTTTTGTTTGGAATTGAAAGTTGATGATTAAGAAAGGGTCAACCTTGATGGAATTATCGAACAACAAAAACAACAACAACTACTCCAATAGTCCATCCAAGTACTTGGTATTATTTCCAATGCCAGTGATTTGTAGGTATAAGTATGAATTTGTATCATCTTTGATCCACACCACTTGATCTATTTTAATAGTTGCATTATGATGATCATGACCCGAGAACAGAATCTCTTTTGATATTCGGATTCTCTCTCGACGAATAATTCAACCTCCAGAGCTCTTGGGCAAAGACCATTTTTTTTTTTCAGTTAGGGGTGATTTAATTGATAGACTTTCATCGACCCTCAGAAACAAGTTCTTGTTTTAAAAAAAATTCATCCTCACATTTCCTTTGAGTTTTACTCCTATTCTTGCTTTTTTACTTTAAAATGAACGCCGTTACTGCATTTCGGGCTCTTGTTTTGAAGAGGCTTGATATCGTTGCTGGTTCTGAAAAGAAGTACTCTAAGAAGATTGATGTGTTGTTGGCTTGCTCTCCCGTGAAACAATTTCAAGCAGGTTTGAAAAACACTGTTTATATTCCTTCTGCTGAAGAAATCTCATCCAAATCATGGCCTCAGTTGGTGGAGAGTTTTCCCTTTGTCCAACAAGTTGCATCGGTCTTGGAGAAACGGAACGTCCTTGTTGAATTTGTCAAAGGATTGGTACGAGGACAACATCCTGATGAGGAGGGATTTGCTAAAGAGTTTCTCGATAAATCTCCAGATCTCCAAACTTGCTACGATCTACTGAGAAGCAACAAGTTGGAAGAAGAGCTCAAGAACATCATGTTCAAAGCCATATTGAAAGATACGCCTGTACAGATGTTTCTTGATGATCTCTTTTCTGAATTCAAAGAAGAAATTATCAAGGAAAACCTTTCATCTGCTTCGGTTATTGAGGCTGGGCTTAAGAAAAAAGGGATGCAAACAACACCATTAGTCGTCTCCCTTGCTTTAAGCGTAGGTGCGGATGGCTTAAAGAGGTTCTATGAGAAGAGCAAGCACTTTAAGTTGTGGCAGACAATGTTGGACGAGAACTCTCGTCTAAACCAATGTTGCGCTATTTCGAGATTTAGATCAGAAGCTGACAACATTGAAGTTGCACAAACACTACTCCAAGCTACTCGTGAGGCAGTGGCTGAAGAGTATAACGAACTTGTGTCCAAACATTATCAATCAACGCTTCTCAAAAAGGAGGCCCAACCAATTCCATCCTCAACAAAAAAAAAAGCGATGACCAAAACACCCACTCCACAATCATCCAACAACAAGATTGAAATCACTTCAGCTTCATCGCCTTCCTCTCAACAATCATCCAACAACAAGATTGAAACCTCTACTGCTTCATCATCCAACAACGTGGAAACAAATACATCGCCTTCCTCTCAACAACCATCCAACGTTGAAGCATTGGCCGTTTCTCAAGAAAATATGGCTGATGAAAAAATGTCGGTAGATCAAATATACAACGCCTTAATCAACAATGATCATAAGGCAATGGCTTCGTTCTATTTTTCTCTTTCCGACTTGCCTCAACAAATTCGTGGCTTAAATGAAACACTGACAAAAATGGATGCGAGAATTACAAACTTGGATATGAGAATGACAAACTTTGAAAAGAGAATGGAGAAGGAGATGAAAGAGATTCGTGATGACTTACGAATTATTAATACAAACATTGGTTGTTTATATGAAGGTCAAGTGAAACTTCAATTCCAAAAAGATGACGAATTTATAACTCACAATCCAACAACCACCAACCTTACAACCACCAACAATGCAACTTCCAACAATCAAAGGTCCTTACTCCCAATCAATTCTTTCAAAACTTTCACTCCACTTTCTCCCAATGACTGTTAATGAAGGATCAAGTATTGAAAAGGTTGCGGGAAAACGCAACCAACTTTCCATCGACAACAATAATGTGATTGCTATTGAAGAAAGGAAACATGGATCAACCCACCCGCATTGCAAAATCCCCCACTGTATTGCCAAACATACTGTTTCAAATTCAATGGATGGACCTTGGGGGAATTTCACAACAAGTTCAACAAAATCCACTGTCAACAAGACGAAACATGCAGGTGATTCCAACGTTGTCAACATTTCCCCTAATAATATTAATTGAATTCGATTCGCGCAAGTTGACTCTACAATGTGGACGTGACCTTGAAGTACCAGCTCCTCAACTCTTTTATGAAAAATTCCTTGCTTTCATCAAGTCGACTTAACATGCAACCTCAACCACTACCACACACTTACCTTGTACTCCACGACGAAATGATAACCTATCCTCGAACTCTAGATCATCCAACCTTGCGTCCACAACCACCACAAGCTCATCTGTTGTGACCGCTGCAACTACTGTTGCGTCTACCAGCACAACACAACCTAATACAACATTGACCGCCACATGAGCCTTTTTGACCACTCTATTAGACACAGCAACAAGAAGATCAAGACTTCCATTTACAACTCCTTGGCTCCATCCAAAAAGAAATAAGATATATATATATTCTGATACTTTTTTCATCAATTAGCAACCTTTAATCAAGGTGTCATCGAACCTCCTTCACCTGTGTCATTGAACGCAAGCCTTACATTCATTTTACCGCCTCAATTCATTACATTCCTAGAAGAACAATAAAGTTCTTACCGCTTAATTACTACAAAAGCATATTAAAAGCCTTAAATACGTGGAGTGTGTGCTGTTAGGAATATCATCATCAAATAAAAAATCAACACATCCAATGCATTTCAATTGCGTGGCATGCAAATTCCAACACAACAAGCAACAACAAGTCTCTTCTAAGTCAGCCCTAACATTGACTCATGTTGTGATTCATATCCAGGTATCGATGTGTGATTTTGCCTTTTTGAGTCCTATTTCTCGCCATTCCTATGAATGCACATTTTCGTAAGTATGATGGTTTCAAAGTTTAACGCTGAGACAATTTTGGACTCTCATCTTAGCATGAGAGAGTTTCATGACGGAAAGAAAATTTTGAGGTCAAGTAAAAGAGAAATAAACCTCAAGAAGGGTCATGGTTCAGTGAAAATGGTTGACATTAACAGATTTTCACCACAATCGATGAATTTATTGATTACTGATAATGATGTCTTTCAATGTGTTGAGCAAGAAGTACAAAGCAACGGGAGCTGTAGAAATTTTCGAAGCTACTATTTCGTCATTTAGTAGCGATGAGAAATTGTTGACGAAAATGATACAATTAGAACGTCAAATTATGTTCTACAAGGAATGTTTCAAAAACACCATCATCAGTAGAGTTGGATTAGTCTCACCTAGCAACTTGACACTCCAAAGAGTGAAGCAGGTTATTGAAAACCATAACGGCCTCTTTGTCAACATTCAATCTTTCGTCAACAACAACACTTTTGACATCATCAGAGAAGGACACAAGCCTGAAATTGATTAAAACCAATATCTACGCTTAATAAAGTAAAGGGGAAGAATAGTTCAATTGTACAACTTATTTGTCGCTCGTAAAAACTTGAATCTTTCCTCTTGTTCCCAAGATGAGAGTGTGGCCATTTGTTGTTCTTGACGCTTTCGATGACGTAATAAAAAAAAGAAAAAAATGATCACTCATTTCTTTATTCTTTCATCGAGAGGAGATAAAATTATTGCGAGAAATTGTAAGTAGTGTTGAAGTGTTGGTGTTCTTGTACAGAGGCATGTTATGTTTTTTTGTAATGATCCGAATGGATTTTTAAATTCGGGTGATGATGTTATGATCATGGAATTTACATGGAAACACTGAATGAATACAATGATGAATATATATACATATATATACACTGAATAATATCTATTATCAATTTCAATGCATGGGTGATGTGAACCACAACCCATCAATCAAATGACAACAACAACATTTTCATCATGACCAATCTTGAACAATACTTGGTAACAACACTCCTCATCATCACTCACGATTTTATGTAACCTCCTCACATTCCATATTGACATAATATATACCCGTCATTCATCACACATTCACAACATACTCACATACATAGATCGTTACGACATTTTTGACGAGGTCGAAGATTTATTCTTTCGCAATGTGAGGAACGAAAGCACATCCAATTTTGGAAAACCAATTTTCAACCAACAAGGAATTAATTTTTTCCATGTCCGTAAATCTGGTCTCTATATTGTGTGTACGAGTAGAGAGAATGTTTCACCAATTACTATTTTTGAATTATTGGAACGAGCATGCATTTTAATTCGAGATTTCACAGGTCAATTGAGTGAAGATTCAATCAGAAAGAATTTTGTTTTGGTTTATGAATTGTTGGATGAATTATTTGATTGGGGAAAGGTTCAAACCACTCAAACAAATATTTTGACTTATTGTGTGTATAATGAACCTATAGAGACAGTGGACGTACCAACTACGAATGGTTTGTTGAATATTGCATTTACGGATCCAAAGACTGTGAAATCTACTGCAAGTAAGTTTTGGTCAAAATCATGATATAATATTTGACACATGTTGAAAATGCAAATGTTGGTAACACCATGACTCGTTTAGCCTGTCTTCCAATCACGAAAAAGAATGATCAAATTTTTGTTGACGTTTTAGAACGTGTGAATTGTGAAATGAATAGTAATGGTGAATTACTTCGTTCTGAAATTATTGGATCTCTGGTTGTGAAAAGTTACTTGATGGGAACTCCTCTCATTAGAATTGCTCTCAATCAAGATTTAGCCATTGGTGTTGAGAATAGCACTTATTCTGCCATTCGAGTCGATGCCATCAATTTCAATGAAATTATTAATCGAGACGAATTTGAACATGGACGCCAATTGTCATTCTATCCACAAGATGGTGAATTGACACTCCTCTCTTACCGTGTTACCAATAATTTTAATGTTGTCATGCCATTCCGTATCACACCTAGTGTCACCAAAACTGGAGATTACAAAATTGAAGCAGCAATTCGAGTTCGATCCGATTTTCCAAATTCAACATCTGCCACTGGTGTTTTCATTCGTATTCCAGTTCCAAAGAATACTGTCAGTTGCGGTATTAGCGTTGGTAATGACAAGGACTCTCAACAAACCTATGAATATAAGGAGAAAGACAAGGTAGTCGTTTGGGGACTCAAGAAATTCCAAGGCGCCACTGAACAATTAATCAGATTGAAGATTAATATATCTGAACCATGTAAAATTGATGAAAGGAAACTGATTGGACCTGTCACTATGAAATTTGAAATTCCCATGCACAACATGAGTGGTCTTCAATTGAGATATTTGAAAATTGGATCTGATTCTTTGAATGATGACAAGAAACCAAAACAAAAGAGATGGGTTCGTTATGTGACTCAAGCTGGATCTTACAGTGGAAGAGTGGCCATGTAAATATTGTTAAATTATTGAACTGATTATTATTAAATTATTGAATTGATCATTATTATTAAATTAAATAAATTTTAATTGAACTTTTCAATAATTTAATAATAATAAACTTTACTCACAAAAAAAAATGTTGAATTCAGATTTTGCTCAATCCCATCTCATCGCAACATCATCTGAAAAAACGCATCAGTTCCTCGAGCTCATTAAAAAACAAAATCCGACACTATCTGGATTTGTAAAAATCTATGCAAGACGAGAATATATCTATGCCATTACCTATCCCGATCATCAAATTTATTATTATCAACAATTGTATCATCAACATCATCAACCAGGTAGCCTCCAAGCAAGTCTACTGTTGGATCCCTTAGAAAAGAATAATGATGGACAATGGATTGGGTGGAAACGAGCCTATTTTGTTGCAGCTTCGTATAATTGTTGTTATGTTTTAGTAGATCGGATTGTGGATGGAATTATTTCACCAGATGTGAGTATTTCCTTAATTTTAGAGTCTCAAAATTAGCATTGTTCGATATTATTAATGTTGGAACAAAGTTTCGAGAGGGATACGTCAATCATGAGCTACCCAATGGAGAATGTTATGAAATTCCAAAAAGATCATCTGTAGTGGCTTCTGTAACATGCGACATGGATCCATCAAACAGTGAGTTTGTTATATTGAACCCATCGAATACAAAGCTTTGGTTGAAAGGCATTGATGAGGCTCTTAGGCAGGATGAATTCATCACTTATATGGCATGTGGTGCTTATACATTGGTATTGGTCACCAATCAAGGAAGACTAATTGTTGGAGGTAGGCTTCAATGTTAAAAATCCTTTACACACCATGATTATCATTATTGAAAAATTGTAATTCGATGGATGTGTTTCAATTCACACAGGATCCAACGGATTTGGAGAATGTGGATATGATGGATACAGCACTGTCCCAACAGCTCCTCATCCATTCTGTGAAAAACATCCAAACGTGAAGTTTTGCAAAGTTGCTTGTGGAGATCACAACATTGTTGCTCTCACTCAATGTGGACGTATTTTCGTATGTGGATACAACTCTTCAGATGAATTAGGAATGAAGAACACGGGCAATCAAAAACAAATTACAGAAAGTGTAGAGTTTGCGAAAATTACACATTCAGATCCAGCCATTGATGTTGATTGTCATTATTATGGAGTGATATTTTTGACAAGAAATGGTTCAGTATATGTTTCAGGTAAGTCTTAAAGACACAAGGTACCTGAAAACTCTATCCATTGAATACTCATGATTCATGGACATGGTTTTCATGATAATTTAAACCATCCATCCACGATACGCTGGAAATTAACTTGCTACAGGAGGATCCAATAGGTCACTCTCTAAACTTACTCTTCCCTATCTACACAGTGGCACATTATTCAACACTGTAACATCGATTGGAGCTGGTAGTCACTCATTTCTAATTTCTCTTACCAACTCCAATTCTGATTTACTCATGTTAAAAGTTTCAAGAGACGCGTTGAATATTTCTGAAGCTGCTCAAATGAAAAAAGAATTCTTGAAAGGAATTTCATCTCAACAACAACGAATAGGAATGACAGGAAGTGATCAACCATCATTTTCATATATTGGCTATATTCAACAACGAGCTGTACGTTCTATTAAGACATTGCAGAAACAATTAGCACAACATCTCACAAATTGTTTTGAGGACAAGTCATTTGCAGATATTAATTTCACATGTTAATTCGAATCGTGTGCAAATCAAGTTCAAGGCAATCACATTGTGATCATGTCTCAATGAAGATATCATGATGTGTATTGAGATTAAACGAGACATCAAGTGAAAAAATACTTTTCTGAATATGAAACTTCCCTTTATTCAAATCAGCACTGTGAACAAAATGAACAAATCGAACCAAGTGGTGCTGATCTTGCTTGTATTTAACACCCTAAGGGGAAAGACCTAAACACACACAAAGTGCTAAAAACTAATTCAAAGAGTAGGAAGGATCGAATAACAATAATTCTTGCTTCATTTATATCTCTGTCAATATAATTAAGCCACTTGATCATCATCCAATACATAAACAAGACACTATAAATATGATGACCATGGAAATTCTCTTGATCTGGACTCACATTTATATGTTAAGGTTAAAAAAACTCCTTGCTCGTAATAACACTTCAATAAACGTAGAGGTTAAGCTGCAATAAACGTAACGGATGCAGGGCTTTTGGATTGAACCGTAGGCGTCGTTCTGGCTGTGATTTTGAATTGCAGAAACAAATAGCAACACATCTCACAAATTGTTTCGAGCTTTATACGTAACGTTTATTATACATGTACTAAATCAAAATGACGGGCTCAAAAGGTCATTAATTTGTGAACACAAATCGAGATAATTCCAATATACAATGAACATGACAACATTCCAACAATGGGTCGCAAAATCCTTGTGGATCAAGAATCATGATATCTATTCCTTTTTCCTCATGACTGAACGATGATTCTTTCGTGCAAAAGTAGTACTAGAAATATTCGACGACGAATTTGGGGAATGAGTTGAAGTATCCTCTCGTTTGGAATGCATGTGTTCATTTCTTCTATTATTTCTTCTCTTCATGAATGCTTTTACTAAATTTCTTTGAATGGTCAATTGTTCGGTTTGTTCATTCAGATCATCCTTGTCCGCGTTGGTATTGGAAGGATCTCCCATGGCTCCTCCTCTTCGTTTTCTTCGATTATTTAGAGATAATTCTAATAGATCGATACGTCTGTTTTTTGCTTCAATGTCGGATTCGAGTTGATGAATGTAGAGAAGCATGTGATGAAATCGTTGTTGAAGAATGGAATTTTCGGAATGAATGGAATCGTCCCATCGTTCGAATTTGAGATTGGACATGGGATTGCATTCGAGAGCTGATAGTTTTTGTTTGAGAGTTTCACATTCAATTTCTTTTAACATGAGTCGGATTTGAAGAGGGGAAGAGAGATCGAGTGGTGGTTGTGACGACATTTTTTTTTTGTGGGCATCTGAATGGTGAGTGAAAAGTGACAGACGATGGGGCATGGTTAACATTGTTCATGTGTTGTCTTGAACTATTTACACTTTATTACGGATGTCACTCTTAATGGAATCACTAATTTTGTGTTGCTGTGGGTTCAGTGGTTGGTTGTTCTTGAAGTTCGACATCTCCACTGTTGTTGGTAGACTCTGACGATGGGATGCGTTGTTGAATAAGGTTCACAACAAAGGCAGGATCAACGGCATGTTCAAAGAAAATTCCAGTCTTTTCATGGGGAAGAAGCTTGAGATGAATCTTGTTACCATCTGCCCAAACACTATGAATCTTGTCAAATGACACATATCTCAATGTTAACCGCAATCGACATGGCAACTCATCCACTCGAATCACACGCTTGTCAGTAATATAATAGTGAACCTTTCTCATTCTGAATAAAATCTTTGAGATGACAACACCAATAGCAGCAATGCTCAAATGCAAAAAGATGAGTCCCCTAATGACAGACTTGTTACAAAAACTAATGACTGCAAACGCAATAAGAGTACCAACAGCAAGAACAAACAAGACGCCTAACAAAATCTTGATGGCTTTTGCAATTCTTCTCTTTCCATTGCAAGATGATTGAGAGTTGTTTCCATGGAAATGAGAACACAAATTCTTCTTGGAAACCTTTTCATAGTAGAGTAAGGTTTCGTGTGGTTCTGTGGCAGTATGTCTGAGAGCGCCATAGAACATTTTCATTCTCTTGGCCAATGCTCTCTCCTTACGAGGTGGGAGTTCCATTTGCAAAGTTGCAGATGAGAGAAGGGTGTGATCTTTTGGTTCTTTAGGCTCTTGAATAATGACACAGCTTTGAGAGACCTCGTCCAACTTGTAGACTTGTCCAGATTCCTTGAATGGATTCTTAAGGTATTGCTTAAAGAATCTGTCAATGGAGCATTTTGATCTTCCTTCCAAACGCTTGTAACCAACCACAATAAAGACGACCATTGCAATGAGTGAAATAATCAACCAGATTGGTACTGTTCTGTGGAGATGCTTTCTGAATGATCTCTTCACTTCTTGTACAGTCTTGACCATTTCGCTGTTAAATTGTCTTCCATAATAGTCGCTACGGTGAACATCATGTGCTTGTTCATTGGATTGATCATGATTTGGTTCTTGCTTGGAGAGAATTTGGGAGAGTGGAATTTCACGAGTCATTATGTGTGGACCGTGACGAGGACCAGAATGGTGCAATTCTCGAGTCATCATGCCAGGATGATGATGGTGACCATGATGCATCATTTGTGGTCCAGCGTTATCTTCCTTGTGGTGATTGCCAGGAGCCTTATTCTGTTCACCACCATGTCCATGATAATAATGATCCATGCCAGAACGTTTTCTCAATCTTCGATTTACCATGCAAGTCAAACTTCCCTTAGCAATAATACGATCTCTACAATCTGAGGTCTTTTGTAAGAGTGGGCTTGCACATACTTCTCTCAAAGTGTACATCTTTTTAACGGCTGAAGTCGATGATGATGATGGTGGTTTAGCAACACACGAGTCACATCCCATGTAATACTTTGTTCCACTGGCAAGATCAACATTCAAGTTAATATAATACATGTCACGATCATAATCGAAATGAACTACCAAATTGTCTGGATCTTTCATAATCACGCATTGATCTTTCTTGTATGCCATTTTACCGTCAATACTGGATCCAACAGTGAATAAGAAGATCAATGTCAAGATGAACAACAATACTCCACCAACAACCACAGCTCTTGGAATACATGACAATGTCTTGCTTTGAAGAGCATGAAGGAATTTGTGTTGTTCTCGACAACGTTTCCAAAAGTTACAACAATGGTTGTTGCCTCGTGCACAGGTTGGGCTGTTGTTTGTTGTGGGAACTTGTTGTTGTGGCTCGACTTGATGAAGAGGAACGTTCTCAGGAATGTGTTGTTGTTGTTGTTGTTGTTCGTTTTGAGCCGTTGGTATCAAGTTGATGATGGGTGGTTGTTGCTGAGCCGACAACGTTCCGACCACAGGAGGTATTTGAGCAACTCCAGCACCATTTGTATAATAATAGGGATTTGAAGCATAACCCAACGATGGATACATGTTGTTGTTGTTGTTTTGGTTATTGTATTGTGGTTGAGCATACATCATGTGGTTAGGGTAAAGTCCCGATGATGGCACCACTTGCTGCGGATGAGCTTGCGGGTTGGATGGTTCCATCTCTATATATTCTAACGGTCTACTCTCTGTATCAATGATTATTATTCAACTTGTGATGAAAAGGCTTTCAAGTACTTTTTCTTTCGTGGCTGATCGGTTTATGAAAAAGCAATGCGTTCAATATTTAAGGAGCGATACAATATGCGCAGCGCACGTTTTTTTTACTTGTTGATTCGAAATTTTGAATCCAAATGGAACTATTTCAAAATACCGCTTGCGAGCAATGAAGGAGATGTAAGATAGAAACACACGTGTGTGGATGATGATCAAGTGCAATTGTCCACCAGAAAAATAATTTCAATATGTGCGTTTTTTTGAGTTGATGTCCCTTTCATCACATGAAATCGATTTTTAAATTGTTTTTTCAACTTCTCTCAGTGAAATTCCAGAGTTCCTTACTGAGAACTTGCTATGGGAACTTTTATTTATTAAGGTTGGATTTCAACAATGTCGTGTTTCTATTATTCACAGAGGATTGTACAGAAAGTGGTGAGGTGCGTTGAGGAGGAGCATTTGAACTATTATTCGAAATGGAATTTCCTGAAGAAGAATTGAGCGAGCTGAGATTCAATGCAGTCACTTGAGGTGGTGATGTTTGAGAGGATGACGTCAATGACTTGGTAGATAATGTTGACTTGTTCAAATAATTTCCAGTCGTTGCTGTCGTCATTGTTGATGGATTGGATTGGATGGTCGGTGATTGCTGTTGTTGCATATTGGACTTGCTTGATTGAACATTCAATGCTGAGGATACTCCCGTGCTACGAGAAGCAATAGACGCTGAAGATAATGACGACGAGACTGGCAATGAAGATGATAATCTCTGACCTTGTGTTTGCTGTTTCTGTTGTTGAACGTGAACCGTATGCGAAGGTGGTTGTTGAATGGTGGCCATTCGAATCGGTGACGAGGTGTATGAGGGAGATCCAGAAAGTGTGGGAGATTTCGTGGGAGAGGCCTTCATGGAAACGGGAGAAGTAGAACTATTCTGTGTGTTGGTTTTGATTTCATTGTCTTTTAAAATCGTTTTTGCAGTTTCTGAAATTAATATTTGAGGATCCTTCTTGTTGCCACTCAATCGATTTTTTCTGCATTTTCCTTTGGCAAGTGCTGCAATTTCTATACCTCTCTGTTCACTTGAAAGAATCTTATTCAGGACAATGAGAGGATCGGCTCCTGTTCCTATATAAACATTGGATCCCATATTGCTATAAATGTTGTTATTTACAATATTTCCCAATCCACCTTCCACGATTCGAATACCTTCTTGATGTCCATCATGAATTTGATTATTCTCAATGACTGGATTTCCTCCTCTCTCGATCAAGATGTTTGCTTCTAAATTTCCAAAAATGTCATTCTCTGTGATGGTTCCATGAGAATCTGAATGAATGTGAATTCCGGATTGAGGCGAGTCACGAATTGTGTTGCCTGTAATGGTTGGATCTGCCTTATCACAAATCTCCAGTGTCACACCCTTAAAAGTGCATTGTTCAATGGTGCTGTCACATTTCGATCCTCTCAACACGACCACTCCAAGTGGATGTTTCGAAGGAACTCTTGTATGCGCCCCAGGTTGTTGAGGTTTGTATTCCGAGTTGTAAACAATGATATTTCTAATTTTCGAATATCTCACATTATCAAAAATAATCACCTCATTCACATCCTTTGGTTTGTACAGAATGACATGTGACTTTCCTTCCGACATTCCTTTTAACACAACACTTCGATCAATAATGACTTGTTCTCGATAAATTCCTGGCTTAATCTTAATGACAGGTGTTGTCAATGGTCGTGTAGGTTTGATAATTTTTCTGCCATCTGAAGGTCGAGTTGTGAATGGTAAATTAAATTTCTGCATCAAGAGACGTTGCTCTGAAAAATCACCCGAATGCACTGGGTTGTTGGTTCCCAGAATGACACCACCACTTGTATTGCGTCCATCATCATCGCTTGAGGGAGATGATACTGACGTGGTACTATCCTCCAAATCCAAATTCTTATTCGTTACATTACTATTATGTAAGAAACTTGTTGTTTTTTTGAGAGACGAATTACCTAATGTGAAACCAGACATGCTGGCAGCAGAAAGTGTTTTTGTGATTGAACTCTGAGATGATGGAATGGGTCGTTTGGGTTTGAGAGTAGTAATGTCAGGAGGAATGGCATTAATGGCTTTTTGAATCGAGTCATAGTCTTCACTTCCATTCACATCGACTGTTAATTTTAAAGAATTATTCAGTGGTATACTTCTCAATTCATTGAGAATGTCAGCAAATGTAGGCCGTTCGTCAGGATCCTGTAAACAACAAATGGAAACAAGTTTGATGAAACATTCGAGAATGGGAGAGGACTTGGCCAACTCGTCTTGTTTGTCAATCTTGGGTCGCATTCCACTAATGACATGAGAAGCCACAGCAAAGGGATTAGAAACATCATGAAATGGTATTAAATGTGTCACCAATTCGTACATGACCATTCCAAAACTATAGACATCAGCTTTTTCACCGGAGGAAGCAGCCGATGAAAACATTTCAGGAGCCATCCATCCCGAAGTGCCTAAGTTTCGCCATTGTTATGAATGTATTATGAATAAAAATCGATTTGAGTGTATAACTACAAATTTGAGTGACATACCTTTCATTCCTGAAACTCCTGAATTTCGATTTCTCATGGTAGAAAATCCAAAATCCGAAATTTTTGATGTTAAATTCTTGTCAAGCAAAACATTGTGAGATTTCAAATCTCGATGAATGATAGGTTTTGGTCTTGAATGAAGATGATGCATTCCTTCAGCAATATCAATCGCAATTTGAAGTTTCATCTCATTACTCAATATGGGTTGTCTCTGTAAAAACTTTTGATACCGATCTGCTTCTTCCTGATCATCCACAAGCGCCGATCCTTGTAAAACTGGTTTCTTTTGTAATGTAGTAGAAGTTGTTTTTTGTTTTGACTCAAATTTTGATTGTTTGCTGAGAAAACTTTCACCCGCTGACTCATCTTCCATGGGTGCTAATTGTGATAAATTTTGTTTTTGTGACTTCATTAATGGTTCATAATCGTATTCGGGGAGAGTGGTCTCCAAAATTTTGTGAAGTGAAAATGGCATAAATTCCATGACCAAATAAACACAATTTGGATCTGTACTCCATCCATATAAATTCAAAATATTTGCATGTTGAACTCGAAGCATGACTGCAATTTCATTCAAAGTCTCTCGCCATAATTCGTCATCTTCGGAAGCAATGCTTGAAAGACCGATTCGACTTCGAGGTGTACGAGCATTTTCCGGAATGAAGAGTTGTTTAATGGCACATACTTCTCCTTCGTATGTTCCTTTGCTGATGATTTTTTTGGAAAATATATGGTTGATTGAATAACAATGTATAGATGCAAGAGTTGAAAATGTTAATAACAATATTGCAAATAATCACATGATTTGTAAAAGAAAATGTTGTCATTTCAAAGCCAGCGAAAATGTCAGATGACAAATGTCAGCCATCATCAAAAATATTATTGTTGCTTACCTGACAAAGCCTAAGATAACCCGAGCGACAACATTTCATCATCATGTAATTGATAGAATTCCTCCAATATTTGTCAGTGTTCAACACTTACCAAATCCGCCCTTTCCTATCGTCTCACCAAACTCCAAAGCCTCTTTATCAATTTTAAATTCTTGAATTTCATCTTCCAAGTCTCCGATCGATAAAGACATGTTACGTGTAAATGAATTTCAAGAATGATTGGTTCAACGTCTCAAAGAGATTCAAAAAGGAAGTCAAAATTGTTTGTTGTTGTAGAAGTATATATTCCGTTGTATCGTTCTTCTTGTGATGATATACTGGAAAATTGTTCCGTGATTCAGTATACACTTGTTGATCGATGGGTGCGTAGAAGGACGAGTCGTCTCGGATGAATTGTGTGCCTTGATGATCTGTTTTGCGAGATTGAGAACAGGTGTTTTTTGTGTTTTTTTTTGATGACGGTCAGCTGGTGGAAGAGATGTTCTTTCCTGATTGGGAAGGCAGGTTGTGTTTTTCCAAATCTACCCAGAGTATTGCAATAAGTGAGTAGTGTGTGATAATTAAAAGATCTCACAGCAATGTCACAAGTGCAGATGAAGATGGTTTTTTCAAATGAAGAGTGTTGAACTAGAAAGTCATAAAAATAATTTAGTGATGAAGTTGTGGTTAATTCAAATAAAGTTGTAGTTGGTGGGTGCAATAAAATATTTCCTAGTAGTATTTAGTTAAATGAATGTCTTATCGTTGTTGTCTTTTCGAGGAGACTCTAGCAGCATTTCCATCAGATTTACCTCCGTGATGCTTACTTAGTCCAGTCATGAGAATTGGTTTGTAGTTGAAAATGATCATGTACTTGCTATTTCCAAATATTTTCACATAAATTCTCCAAAGTTTGTTGTGTGTTGAGAGTTGTTTTTCAGAGTAATTGCAAGGCACTTTGAGGACGACACAACACACTCCAAAATAGAGCATGTGTTCAATCATTTCATTGGCGTTTCTTGAGATGGTTTCAGTTTCAATCCTCAAATCTTTAAGAACCACAGATGGGTCAAATTCTTTGCAGGAGGGTGTCAAGTCGAGCATCACAACGGAGGAGCGAACATCATTCTTTGTGTCAAATAACCAAGCAAAAAAGTCCACATTTTCTACTGTTGATTTAAAAGAGCTTGTTGCGAAAATGTTTCGTTTAAGTAAATGCTTGGTGAAGGTGTTGACGTTGTGTTTGGTCCATTCGAAATGCTCTGGGTTGGGCTCAAATATTAAAACTTCAAAGTTAGTCCTATTGATCGATTGAGCATAGTAATGTAAAATTCCAACTAGATAGGTGCCCAAAGATCTTGTATTGTCAAGGAATCGATTTGGAAAAACTCCACTATGCATCCTAATTACTCCACCAATGAACGAGACAATTTCAATGGATTCATCAAAGGTTAAAATTCGGGATCTACTCAACGACACATTACCAAGTTGCAACTCTTGAAGCATTGAATCTGGAAAGAGAGAAACATTTCGTCCATTTGAAACTTCTGTACGTGTTGTGTGAGATTGCTCGCTGCATGATGATTTTTCCAAATTATCATTTCTGCTCGACGATTCATCGCGCAACTTTTTGATGGAGGTGTCTAAAACTCTTCTCATATTATTCCTTATAATGGTCAATTCGTTGATTTTTTGTAGATACAGTGTAGAAGTATTTTGACCTTTTTCAGCAGCTCTCAAAAGTTCTGCCTCAATATCTTCAAGCCGAAATCCTTCTTGTGAATCATCGTATAACGGCTGTTGCATGTATGATGAATGGACGTCACCACTACCACTGTTCATAGAAGCCTCGCTGAATAAATTAAATAAGGATGCTACAGCGCCTCCTGGTGCTTGTTCGCCGAGGTGTGACGACAAAGTACCATCTTGTTGCTGAGAAGATTCCATATTTTCAGATGTTGTTGCAACATTTTCCTCTTCAAGAGACGGAATGGGCATGAATATTATTTCTTTACACAACTCCATGGCTTGCATACAATCGCTAAAAACATTAGATGAATTTAAGCTTGCATTCAATTTTTCATTCATCCTCCTAACAATTTCCTCTACTTCATCCTCATCATCGTCAGCATTTCCATCCTCGTCAAATTCATCTTGATGATGACGGTCATCCTGAGAGTCTGTATCGTTCTGGTGTTGTGCTTGCTGTTGATGAATGCGTTCGCGAGGAACGGGCATCTTTGTTAATATTGAAGGTGATGACGACATTGTCATTTCGGAATTTCCTGGATCCAATGTAAGAGGGTGATCTTCTTCTCCAAGAGAATTTTCTTCATCTTCTTCTTCCTCTTCCACCCACACTTCATTGCTACCCATGAAAAAAGTCTCATCCTCCTCATCCTTGTCTCGGAATTCTTTGAAACCATTCCCAGTTGTTATTGTTGAGTATTCAATATTTTGATTGGTTTTTCCTTCATTCTCCAATTGATGATCATCAATGTTTTTCAACGGCCGATTTATGGATGTGCTTGACGATGTTTGAAACATTTTTTGTATTTTTTTAAAATAGAAAAAAAAATGTATTCCCAACAACAGTCATCCACACCATCAACATCATCAGGAACACAATCAAATCTTCTCCATTCATTATTTGGCATGAATAATAATAGTTATAATAATGCCATGAGTGGGAACAATAGCAGTGGGACAACAAACGATTTAGATCAAAATAATTTTCAAGCCCTATCGGGATATGGTTTGATGGGTTTTCCTCATCTCCAACATCAACCACCACAACCACCACCACAACAATTTATGATGTGGCCAAATTTTCATGGTTATAATAATACTTCCAATCTTCAACCCACATTTTATTCTTCACAACCACCTTCACAGTCTTCCAATACAGAATTTCCATCATCATCATGGAATCAAGACTCCTCACATCATTATATTCAACATACAGGATTTGATCCCATCTCGCAACAACATCAGCAACAACAACAAATTGGATCAAATGTTCCTCCTCCGTGGATGATAATGAACGAGTGGGGTGGTGGATCCGTTTACAACGATCAAGCTTTTGCAATGTTTTCCGAGGATGCTATTCTAAGCTCCCTGTCAATTCCATCCTCTTCCACCATCTCTGAAGACAGCCATTCCACCAAACATCTTCACGATGATAAATCATCCATACTAAATTCTCTTCTCACAAGCACATCAACAGTGAGCAGTGCTAACACACTTACATCATCTCCAAGCATGAGCAGTAACAACAGCAATGGAAATTGCAATATGACCACCACCATCACTGCTAGCAATCAAGCGCCTTGTCCTGAAAAATCAACCCGAAATGACATTAGAAAACTTCACATTCAATTAAGAGCCTCATTAAGATTACTTGAAATGGAGAAGCAAAAAATTTCCAAAATTAATTTAAAAGACACTCACTATATTGTTGCTGATCAAGCGTTGGAGGAGACAATTGCTCACGTTAAAAAACTGCTCAACATTGTAAATAAGAAACAAACGAAAGAAGAAAAAGAATGTACAAAATTGAACAAACAACCAAATCACACCGAGTCTACTGAACAATCCAATACTTTGGAAAATTATTACAATATGAGAAAATTCTCTGAAAATATCTATGGCTTCTTTCCAAAGCATTTGGTGAGTAAGGTTAGATACGACTCTGAGTTGGCTCTCTCCTATTTGACACCCTTCAATGACGCCTTCGAAATTGCTTCCATCATGAATGAAATGATCAAGCAGCAAACAGGGTTTTATCCAAATCATATTATAGATGGAACAGGCGGTCTGGGTGGAAATGTAAGTTATTTTTGATACATGAACTTTTCATGCTAACAATTATATCTTTTACCTGATATTTATCTTAATTTTGCCCATTTGTTCAAATCAATGCCGCATTTTACCTTAACATTGGTCACAGGTAATTGGATTTTTGAGATACTTTTGGTCGAAAAGATTACACCGAAAAACAGTGACCATGATTGAGCTCGATGAGAGACGATGTAAAGACGCACAGTACAATATTAATTTATTTGAAAACGAAGAAAAGAAGTATGACAAAGATTGTGTGACATGTCATGTTGAATGTGGCAATTTCATTGATTGGTGGAACAAAGAAAAACCTAAAATGCCCGAAACCAAGAGGAGTGAAACACTAATTTTCTTTGACCCTCCATGGGGTAATGCTGATTACTCACTGCACGAATTTATTGACGACTTGTACATGATTCAGGAAAATTTATCACCTGTTAGCGTTAAGGCCTTCTCACAACAATTGCTTTTGGAGGATGGTGTTCATTGCGTAGTGTTGAAGGTACCTTATAACTTTTCAGAACACAGCCTGTCAGAAACTCTTAAAGTTGAATATATTTTGATGAAAAAGGTGAAATATGTTCTGTTATTTAGAAAAGAAAACAAGTAGAACGTGATTATTCAAGGAATTTCTCTTTTTCAAAAATTTACAATATTGCACAAGCTTGTTGAGAAGTACACCAATGAACCTACTAGTTCTAGGCTGTATGAAATTCATTTCAAAATTAAAATAATTTATTCCATTTCTAGGTCAATACAGTTTCAATCCAATTTAAGGTTCCAGACCAACTTCAATCAGGAGAGATACTCAAAAGTACATTCAGCAAAAAAAATATTGCTCTGTACAGATCACAACCGCTTTTCAGGAAGAGTCCGTTCATCATCTTCATTCCGATCTTTTGAATGATTAAAATTATTGCTTAAAATTCTCATCGTTGAACGAACTGTCCTACAACACATACAAAATGATCACCACACTATCATCAAAACATTCGGATTCCCGAAAAACGAGAGGAACAATATTGTCGTTGTCTCCAACGCTAGCATTGTTCATTGCAACACTCACTTGTACCATATTATTTCTCTTCCAAAGCACCAATGCCCAATATTCTTTACAATCGGTTGATTCCTTACTCACCCTGTCCTCTTCGGATTGCTCCGTTCAAGTCTTGGAAAAGTTTACCTTCTCCTTTTCAACACCTTATTCTGTATTGACACGTGCATTGCCGTCTTCTGATAGTTTACCTTATACACTGCAATTAGATCAATCAGCGGACATTTTTATTGAGAGTCCAGACGTCACATTATATTCTCAAACTTTACTCATTTCAAACGATGGAAAATATATTGTGTTTCGAGTGAGGTATGTTTTGGATTCGGATTAAGAAATGAAATTCATGACATGAAAAATTAATGTATTCAATAATTTTGATACGGTGGTGATAATGAATTTATGTATATTTTGTCTTAATGAATACTTGTTGCAATACTGGTGCAAATTTTTCCAACCAGTTTTGCGGACCCTAAAGAACTTGTTCAAAAACCTCAAGTTTCCATTGTCTATAGCTATCGATTGAAACGAGGACCTGTCAATGTCCAGAACAATAAGGCACAAGTGAAGTGGCACACTCTCTTTGGGTCACCAGTTTCGAGAGTTTCATTTTCATTTGCATTCGAAGAAAGTCTGTACGAATCGATTCAACCCACTGCAAGCATTGACTCGTATCACAAATATTCGAATTGGATGGAAGGAGTTAAATACACCATTCTCAATTTCAACTCAACGCTACTCCCATCCAATACAGACTTTATAGTTGGATTTAATGCTACAAATACGAAATTTGCACAGTGCGTATTCTCTGCCACTACAACACCCTACATGGTTGATTTCATGTTTGTTTTCTTGTTCATCATATTACCTGTGAGTGTGTTTATTTTGCTTTCAGCTCTCATGTGTTTGTTGGGACATGCTTACAAACGATGGTCACGACATCGCATGGCCGTGCATAACGCCGTTCAAGCGAGTGCTAACAATTTGGACGACGACATTATCAGGAGACAACCAATGTCGCCTTCACTCCCTGCAAGTCACACACCAACGTTGCCTTCTTCGAACCATACTGAGAAGGGTGCTGAGTTACGAACTCAACAAACCTCAGTCACCATGACCCCCTCTGGCTTGAATTATGTTGTGAATACTGTAAATAATCACGAAACGAATGACGGCTTTACAGGTGTTGTATTACCTCCCTACGTACCAGCATCCTACTTGACAGATAATAATAGTAGAAATAATCGTCAGCATGAAACAGAGGCTGAAATCGAACCCGTTCAATACACCCCAAGTCTTGTTGTGGAAGAAAATAATAATCAGCAACGTCCAAGCGTGTAGTTTCATTGGTCAAACTGAGTGTTTACACAAAATTTCTTGAACCCTACAAGAAATTGAAATACTGATAATTTAAAGTGGATGCATTCAAATGCTCTGCCAAGTGGCGTAATTCACCAAGTTCCATTTGCCTCTAACGTTTCGTTGCACCAAACAGCACTAATTAGATTATGAACGAAATTTGGAAAGTATCGTTCAATAGTATTCGATTTCATGCTCTTTCATGTATGAGACGCTCTCAACACACCATTTCATACGAGAAAAACAAATCAAAAGTGAGCTCAATCCTTCCTACAAGATGGCACTTGCTTTCTGAATTCGATACACCTTCCACCACTCTTCATATTCTCTCGTTTCCATAAGCCTATAACGAGTGTCTGTTAAATTGGTCATCACGTCCTGCATTAACACATTTTTCAAATCGGTGATGGTTGGCATTGAGGAAACATCACTTTCCCTTAAATTCTCATGTCCAAGTTCTACTCTTGTGTCACCATTTGGAACATGCACTACATTCTCCAATGCAATATTCTGTGTCTGTGGTTCTGTTGAATTTTCTTGTTGAGACAATGTCACGACTCGATCCATTAATTGATAAAACGCTTTTTTCGTTTCAGATGAAAGATTCAATTCATACGTTCCAGTGCTCTTGATAAAATCATGATCCAATTGTTTCATCCATTCCACACTCAACACATGATTGGGACCTTTCTTTTCCAACACGAGATGAATCTTTTGAAAACACAACAAATTTTCCAAACTCATTTCTTTGGTGGCGTATTCCTCAAATAATTCTTTAAATTCTCGATTGGTCAATAGTAATGTTTCTAATTCGGATTGAAGAGGTTCTTGAGAAGGTTCATTGCCTTGAGATGAGGAATTATTCCATCGATTTCGAACAAATCTTCGACATTTTGTGAACAGTTCAATCACCAACACATTTCCTCCACTAATTAACATGACAATGCAATGCAATAAAAATCTCAACATGTAAATAATATTCGAATTAAATCCACCCACACTATTGACAATAATGACAATAATGACCAAAATGAAAATCAAGGAAAGAAAAATTAAATCAATTCGAACCATGAGAGGATCGTCGAAAAATAAAAATCTTCGAATTCCCTTTTCTCTCAAAATGGAACGATTTCGAATAGCGTCCAATGCCACAATGAAAACTCCTAAAAAAGTAGCAATTAAAATGAATACTGAAAAGGTCACATTAATCATCACAACAAACATGGAATAATTCACATAAAAATAGGAAACGAGACAATGAATGGTCAAGACGACGGAAAGAACAAGCGAAACGACGCCAATAATGCAAAAGCTCATCACAAATCCAGTCATTGGAAACAACAGAGTTTTTCGAACATTGGGCCACCAACGGTGTTTTTCATCTTGTTGTTCTCGTCTCATCGTACTGCTCCTTTTCTTCTTTTGAGTGGTTTGATTAAATCTCAATGAAATTAATCGATACAAATTCCTCAAATATAAAAATCTCAAAATACAACAACTGTAGGCACATATACAAAACACGACGAGAATTTCGCCCAAATATTTGGGAATGAGTTGGCATGGAATCCACAAAAACAGTTGAGTCAATTCAAAGAGAATGAATAGGAGAGGTAAATAGGGAATAACCAGTCGTCGTTTGATGGAAGGTAAGCGGAAGGCTCTCATGGAAAATAAGAACAAGAAATAAACCAAATAGATGAAGGCTACTGCTACGAACCAATAATCAGTACCGAAAAATATAAACTCATCGGGTCCTAAGAATAAAGCAATTCTCGCATCGTATTGTTTTAAATTGAGGGAAGGTAATAGAATGGAAGTGAGGGTCGTTAAATTATATTGGGCAAGATTATTTTCATATAAGGAAATATTAAATCGTTCCCGAGTGTTTTGCATCATGATTTCAAACGATGCATCATGGACTACGTTCTCTGTATTAATATTTGGAATCAAGTATTGTATGAATTGAAGATCTTCCTTTGAAACATTTCCGAAATGGAAATATCTGGCTAAGGCAATTTCATTCAGAACGAAATACTTGTTATCAAATGGAAAGGGATTTGAAATTCCAAATGAAAATAAGGGATGATATTTGAAACCAGGAAATGCAATACGCAATGGAACGAGTCGAATCGGCACAAAATCCCAAGGATCAATTTGAGTTTCGCTTTTTGAGATGTAAGTTTTGGTAGGTTTTCGATTTCCTAATGGAGTTTTGTAATAATTGATGGTTCTATAGAATTGACTCGAAGATGTAATTAAAATGTCACTCTCTAGAAACATTTGACTTGGCTTACATAGGTACATAGTGACAATATGCTGTTTGACATGTAATGCGTTGAGATTTAGGTTGAAAAATTCGAGAGCTTTTTTGAATATTGGATAAACAGTTTCTTCTACTCCAATCATGAGAGGTGAGAGTTGATTAAATTCGTTGCTGCTACTACTCTTTTTTAAATATTGCAACAAATCTTGTGTTGTGAAAATATTGAATTGATTGCTGACATCTCTCCACACAAACGCAGTAAGATAAGAAGCAATGAATGAAATTCCACGTTTTTGAATCAAAGACTCTACATCGGAACTCAAACTAGTTATATTCACATGAGTGTCAAAACTAAAAGAAGGTCCACTTGAATCATTCAATATTAGAGTCATGTAATTTTCAACCTTGTCTAAAGGAATGTTTGATTCATGAAAGATGTGATGAAGAGATGACGATTGTTCTGGACAGGACAGAGCGTGTGAGAGAAGGAAAGATTGAAGAAGAAGGATGGATGAGAAAAGAAGCATCGTGATCGGCGAGAGTGGCAACGAAGGCGTGAGGGGCCATCCACCACACATGCCCTTCACGTTAGACTCTAACTGAACTAAATTCAAGCCAGAACGAGTAGCTGTCACTTGTCCATCCATACAACAACAAGTCGAAGGATTACAACCAGGTTGAACACTCCATTGACCCACCCAATACTCTGTAAAATCCTTATTCTCTCCTTGTCTATTATTCACACGCAAATTCTTCGTAAATGAATAATAAGAACTACCATACACCAAGACAGCACGTAACATGACATCTGAAGTAATACTTGTGGTGATGGAAATGGCGAAATTGGCGACACCGTTTTGAAGAGTCGATCGAGTAGTACCTTGCACAGTTGCTCCAGAACTTGCTGCTCCAATCGAAATGGAATATCCAGAAAGAGGTGCAACGTTTCCATTGCTGTCATAGGCAGTGACTGTTCCTGTCAATTGAGATCCACTTTCGAGTGAAGTGGTTGGAGTGTCTATTTTGATATAACTCACAACAACTTGTTGTTCGACAGAGGTTTCATCAGCTTGAATGGTAACAATGAGGGAAGTAAAGAATAGCAATAACAATAATGGAATTAGTCTGGATGACATTTAGTTATAAGGATAAGAAGCGGTTTAGTTGTTGTTTTTTTTTCAAAATGAATAGAAAATTGAATTCTCAAGGACAAGTTTTAAAAGCAATTGAGAAGAATTTACAATAACAAAGGTGTTTAATGATTGGAGATCAGAATACTCGACTCGTTTAACGTTTGATGTGAATTCCTAACTCTCCAACGATGTCAAGCGTGTGTCCTTTGGGGTCTAGTGTTGTTTATTTATTTTCAATGAGTAATCTTTGGAAGGATTTGTAAAACAATTTAGTGAACGATCGTCATTAAGGAAGAATAAACAGCGGACCCTGTAATTCTTTGCCCTGTGATTCGTTCTGAGCTGATGATACTTTGCTAACCTCACAAGCAATGTTTTGGGTCTGCTCACCAAAATCACCCCAAAACGTCAACTGTCAAGTCACTTCACGCACTGTTAAATTTATCGTTCTGTCGCTGACTTGGCGTTGACAGCATCCATAAAAAATCCTCAACAACACCCCATGAACAACACTCCAATCAACAGAGGTGTATTCCTCTTCCTATTGGGTGTCTTGTGCGTTGCTGTGGCCTTGCTCTCCAGCACCACCGAAGCTCGTCGCTCTCGTCGAGGTGGTAATTTCATCAAACGAGCCGCAGCAGCAGCTCGAGCTCATCATCATATACACCGTCATGTACACCATCATCCTCGTATTCACATTCGTCGTCATCGTCATATTCCCAAACATCATCGTCCCATTCGAGCCATTGTCGATAAAATTGTAAAATTGGGACGTAGACATCGTAAACGTCTGGCACGTCGTAGTCGTCGTCGAGGTGGAAGAAAGAACAATAATAACCAAGAAGGAAATGAACAACAACTCCCAGCAGAAGAACAGCCACCGAAAGAGGAACAACCTCCTCAAGTTCCTGTTCCAGCGACCACCATGAAGAAGTGTCAAGCCATTGGTGATCCACACTATACCGATTTTCAAGGAAAATATTATGATTTTTATGGAGTGGGTGATTATATTTTGGCTTCTTCCAAAGATGGAGATTTTGTGGTTCATTCTCGAACTGGAAGATGGGGAAGTGTCAGTGTCAATACTGCATTCGCTGTCAAGGTCAATCAAAGAAATACCATTGAATTCGATATTGAGAGTAATACTTTTTATGTGAATGGACAAACAGCACAAGTTACACAAGGTGAAGATTTCTCATTGGGTTCAGGAGCTGTTGCCAAGAGAACTTCTGAAAATTCCATGACCGTCTCTGCCAAGAATGGAGCTCACTTGATTGCTACTTGGTATAGAAATCCATCATGGAAATCCTCTCAAGGATCATTTGGTCATATTTCATTGGTAGTTGAAGCTCCTTCGAATTTGGAATTCAATTCTGGTTTGTGTGTCGATAAGAGTTTCATGTCACAAACGGCAACTGGAATTTTACACAATCATGTCGAAAGAAAGGTCGTCCGTTCTCAAAAACCAAAGAAACCAACCAAAGAAGAAGTTCAAGCAGCCATCAAGGTTTGTCGTAAAGCTGGATTGAAGGGAAAGAAACATCCATTGGCTTTGAGAGCTTGTGTCTCTGATCAAGTTCAAACTGGAGCCAAAGTTGGTAAATCCATTGCCAAAGTGATCAAACAAGTCGAGAGAATTGCTGACAAGAAGAAGAAGAAGTGGGCTCGTCAAGTCGATCAGAGAAATGAACGAAAGGGTAAACGTGTTGTGAAATCCACACGACCAAAGATTCTTCAAAAATGTCAAGCTCTCGGTGATCCTCATTACACCAACTTTAAGGGACAATATTATGATTTTTATGGAGTGGGTGATTATATTTTGGCTTCATCCAAAGATGGAGATTTTGTGGTTCACTCTCGAACTGGAAGATGGGGAAGTGTCAGTGTCAATACTGCATTCGCTGTCAAGGTCAATAATCTCAACACTGTGGAATACAATGTCGAAACTAACAGTTTCTATGTGAATGGTAAGAAGAGTGAAGTTCCAATCAATGAAGATATCACTTTGGGTGACAATGCTGTTGCCAAGAGAACTGCTGAAAACTCAATTCGAATTTCTGCCAAGAATGGAGCTCATTTGATTGCTACTTGGTATAGAAATCCATCATGGAAGCAATCTCAAGGATCATTCGGTCACATTTCATTGGTAGTTGAAGCTCCTCGTGATGTTCTCTTCAATGCTGGTTTGTGTGTCGATAAGAGTTACATTTCACAAAAGGCCACTGGTTTGTTGCATGATCATATTGAAAGACAAATTGAACGTTCTCAAAAACCTAGAAAACCAACCAAGGAAGAAGTTCAAGCAGCCATCAAGGTCTGTCGTAAAGCTGGATTGAAGGGAAAGAAACATCCATTGGCTTTGAGAGCTTGTGTTTCTGATCAAGTTCAAACTGGTGCCAAAGTTGGTAAATCCATTGCCAAGGTGATCAAACAAGTCGAAAGAATTGCTGACAAGAAGGAAAAGAAGTGGGCTCGTAAGGCAAAGAAATCCAGAAAGGGTAAACGTTCTTCTTCGACTGGTTCAAAGAAGAAGCGATCGACCACTGGTAAGAAGAAGAGTGGTAAAAAATCAAGAACTACTCGTAAACAACGTCGTTCCTCCTCTACAAAGAGAAGATCCAGTAATAAGAGAAGATCTAATAAGAGAAGTTCCAGTAAGAGAAGATCTTCCAACAGACGTCGTGGTGGTGCCTCTCGAAGAAGAACAAGTTCCAGAACCAGACAAGCTCAACGTCGTTCCCGCCGAATTCAACGAAGAGCCGCTCGTGAAGCTGCCCGTCAACAACGTCTTGCCCGCCGACGAGCTCAGAGAAGAGCCCGCCGTGCTCGCCGACAACAACGTCGTGCCGCCCGTAAACAACGCAAGTTGAGACAACAACGAAAACTCGCCCGTAAACAACGACAACAACAAAAACGTGCTGCCCGTAAACAACGTAAACAAAAAAGACGTACTGCCCGTAAACAAAAGCGCGTATTGAAGAAGTTGGCCAAGAAGGCAAAGAAGCAAGCTCGTCGTAATCGCAAGTTAGCCAAGAAGGCTAAGAAGCAAGCTCGTAAGGTTGCCCGTCGTGCTGCTCGTCGTGCTCGCCGCAGAATTCAACGAAGAAAACGATCCTTGATTAAGAAGCTTCGTCGTAGACTTGCCAATAGAAAGTTGAAGAGAGCTGCTCGTCGTGCTGCTCGTCGTGCTCGTAAACTTGCTCGTAAAGCTAGAAAGTTGTTCAAACGTGCCTTGAAGAAGGGAACTCGTAAAGCTATCGCTAGAGCCAAATGTTCAAGAAGATTGGCTCGTAAGGCCCGTCGTTTGGCTAGAAAACTCTCTCGAAAGATTGCCAAGTCTCAACGCAAGATTAAGAAGCAAATTAGAAAGATTAAGAGAGCTGCAAAGAAGGCTGTTAAGAAGGCTAGTAAGAAGGCAGCCAAGACTGCCAAGAAGAGATTCTTGAGAAGAATTGCTTTCAGAAACAAGCTCAAGAAGCAAGTCCGTCGTGCTGCTTCCACTGTTGTTCAAAGAAGAACTGTGAGAAAGATTAAGGCTTTGCTTCGTAAGGCTGCTGCCATTCGTAGAAAATACGGTAAAAAGTTCAACCCAAGAAAACACTTGCCAAAGAAACTCGTTTTGTTGATTAAGAAGTTGAAACTCTCCTTAAAGTGTGCAGTGAGAAGAAAGAAGGGACCAAAAGTGACCACACTTGGCAAGAGATTGGTAAAGAATTTGATTCGTGTTGCTAGATGTGCTCGCAGAAAATAAATCCAATGTCATAATATTATAATTTTTATCATCACACACCAACCATTCTTGTCCATGAGAATTTGAGCTTGTTGTCGATGTCAACAATGTCCAACTTTGAACGAAAGAAATTCTAATGATTGGTCCAGTCGTGTGAAAACAAATGAACGATCACAACAGAACTTTCCTTAACTCAATAGGAACTTGACAATGTTAACGACTCGAAAAAAATGATTGCACGCGCTAACACCACCGCTATAGAATTATTATACGACGATATATTGTCTCATATTTTACAATATTTACCAATACAATTTCTCTTGAAAGTGTGTTTGTGTGTTTCGAAACATTTTCATCGAATTATTTTGAACATTCCGAATTTGGAATTAGTATCAGAAAAATGGAATTCCTTTCATGATGCACCAATCACTCGCAACAACTTTCTTCAATTTATCAAATCGAGTCATTATTTAAGAAATTTAACATCATTACAATGTGATCTTGGAGAAATGGATGTTTCACCACTGACAGAATGTGAAAATTTTAAAAATTTAACATGTTTACAAATTCGATCCACCGATGCAACTAGTTTGAAAACACTCGCTCATAGTTCCAATTTAACAAAATTGAACAAATTTATGTTGGGTTTTGGCCGCTATAGCGATCATATGCCAAATATTTCCGTACTTCAAACTCTTGTCCAAAGTCAAAATTTTTCAAATGTAAAAGAATTGCATTTGGAATTTACTTGTTTTCATCAAGATATAGTTAAAGTAATATCTGAAAGTCAAGTTTTAAAACTTTCAGGAAATTTAACAGTTTTATCATTGAGTGGGGTAATTATTGGATTTGAAGATGCACAATGTTTTTCTCAAGCTGAAGCTTTTAGAAATTTGAAAACCTTACAATTGAATGAATGTAGTTTGGAATCTCCTCGCAATCAATTATCTCAAGGCCTTTCGATTCAACATTATAATTCATTAACCAAAAGAAATGAATGTCTTGGAGGCATGGGATTAATAGCTCTGGAAAAGAAGTGTCACTTTTCAAAAAATCTCACTTCATTGACCATTAATAGTTCCAATCTGGTTGCTGCTGATTTGAAGGAAATCATCTATTTTGAACAATTGAAAACCTTAAATCTCTATCGAAATAGAAAAATTGGTTCCAATGGTGCTCAATACCTTGCAACGAGTTGTGAAAATTTGAAAACATTGACTTGTTTAAACTTGTCCTGGTGTGGAATTGGAGGTGAAGGATTCATGTACTTGATTCGTTGCCCCTATTGGAATCATCTTGAAACACTTTCAGTTTCCAATAATAACATTCAAGAACATCACGCATTACAATCTCTTGGTGAGGAAGGAGTATTGTTACAGCAACATTTAACGTATCTCGATCTCACTTTCAATGATATTGATCATGAAGGAATCATTGCACTCGCTCAGAGTTGTGAAAAATTTCATCGCTTGCAACATGTACATGTGAGTGCAACGAGTCTCAATGAGTCCGCAGCTAAGAGTGTGTTGAATTGTGAAAAATTTGCCAAATTGAAAACCTTCTCTCTGCATGCTGTATGTCATCATGAACTCTATTGTGAATTAATCATGAAGAAATTTCCAAAAAGCAATGTCTATGGATTTTTCAAACAAGAACGAAAGCAAACGTGTCAAATTTATTGAGATTAAGAAATTCTCAAGTATATAAAATAATTTTTATCATCAACCTTGAGTTTTTTTTCATATTGCAAGTTAAATAAGGAATTGTTGGTTCTTGTTACTATTTGACATGCACAGGAACAGTGCGTTCTTACTGATTGAGATTATTTGCATTCCAATTCCAACAATGATCACTTTGAAATGATCCTTCTCTTCAATGACGTGCATGTGAGAAATATCATTCACCTCACTCATACAGCTTGCAATAATTTCAAATGTCTCTCGATGAGGTGAAACTGAATAAACATTAAGGCGTTGATCAATTCCTATCGATAACACAAGACGATTCAATTGTTCTTCTGTCATATCTGTCAGTCTTGGAGATGAGAACCCAGTTGAGAAAACTCCACTCACTGCTGAACTGTGCACTCCTTCGAGATGAACATTTGATACAAGTCTTAATTGCTGTTGGGAAGTGTCAAATTTCAAAATTGCCAAATTCACAGACTGATCATCACCTCCTGTACACACATGAATCATAGAAGGATCATTTTCCAATGGATGAACATGCATACAATTCACTCCTGATTGATGAATGTCACATTCAAAAAATGCTTCAAGTACATTCAAGTTGGAATTCATTTCTGTATATTCACAACTCTCAACATTCTTTGGATCATACATGCAACAATAGAGCTTTCCATTGGTAGATGCTGAAAAAATCAATCGTTGATGATCATCTTCAAGGCGAACGGTGGCAAGTGAAAGTACAGGTCCATTATGAAGGAATGAGTGAGCAATGGGTCTCAATTTTCTCAATTGATTTTGTGTTGAAAATACCTTAACAAGACCATCGCTACTTCCCACTAGAATGATCAACTCTTCTGAATGTGTAGAGCATTTAAATGCATCAAGACTCAGAATTCTAAAATTAATGACATCTAGACGTGACTTGTTTTTCACATGATAGGTTTTGATCGAGTGTGAAGAATGCGACCACTTGTCGCGATTTTTGAAATCTTGATAAATTTGAGGATGAAAGAGAGAGAGATATTGATTTGTTAAATTGATGTTAAGTAATAGGTCTGTCGTGATGGAAGATGATGAATCACGCTCTTCAATTTTCCAAATTGCTAATTGTTCTTTTCCACCTCCTGAAATTAAGATTTTGGAATTTTCTAGAAATAATTTTGTAATTTTGATGGAGGTATAATAATCATTGTTGATGAATTGATCAAAAACACACAATTCTTCTTGAACTTACCTCCATAATAATCGACTACAGATAATTCCTTCACACTACTTTCGTGTGCATTCAAAATGGACAGTGTTGAAATATTATTGGATTCGGTCCATGGTTTCTCTTTCAATGATGTGCTATCGTCATGGTATGATAATATCCTGATTTTAGTGTCTTCACTGCAAGTGACAATTCGAAGATCATTACCTGATTTCCAATGAGTGGCGTTTAAGACCTCTCTACCATGGAATTGAATAAATGGAGTCTGATTTTTAAATAGTGCGAGCTCTTCTTCTTGTTTTTTCTCAACAAAGTTCATGATGAGAGAATCTCTAAAGAATGATGCAGAACAAACAAGTTGAGGCGTATGATATAATGTTGTGTAAACAAAATCATAAATTCCTCTCGAAGCACCACATTTACAGGATGCAATCTGTTCCATGTGAAAATATAATGTGAAATTATAACCCTCGTTCACAATTGTTAAAATGATTGACCACTTACTCGATATCTCTTTGTATAATTATAAACAATCATGTGTGAACCATAAAATCCAATGAGTAAAATTTCACTCTCCATCTTGTTAAAAATTGAAGCTGGAATTGTGTCCACAAAATCACACCCACCCGCAACCACTTGATATTCAGAGCTCTCTTGCGTGCGATAGGAAATGAAAATTCGATCGAGATGTGTCATGACACTTTTCAACCTTTCTTGTTGATGTTTCACTAACGTAAACATTCCATTATTTTCATCTTGAATAAGGTGATAGAAACATATGGAACCATCTCTTCCCACTGAATAAATGGTCTCCCTGTTCACATACTTGATATCACACACTTGATCTGCGTGGGCCGTTTTCATCACAAATTCGGGCGTTTTCTCGTCAGGTGTTGTGTTTTGGGAAGCTCTCAATACATGGATAAAACCTTCGTCATCTCCTGTAATGAGAATGCGCTCGTCTCGTACTGCACACAGAGCTTGAATTTTACCTTTTACCAAATAATGAGTTCCTTCTGTGATAGAAACACTTGGAGCTGGAGAGGATGATGACGACTCGTTCAAAGACATTTCTTCAAAATTGTGTGAAAATGAAATTCCAAAAGCTTTCATCGTTCCCAAAGGGGATGAAAAATATAATGTAAAAGAATGATCCAAATTTTTCACCCAAAACACAGCAAGGATCCTCGAGCTCATTGCTTTGAACGTGGAAAGAACAGATCCAGTAGAAATATCTAAAATGCAGCAGTAACCAGCTGAGTTTCCAATACAAATAAATTGTTCACATGGAGAGCATCTCACCACACACAACAGAGGAGATTCTTTCGAGGATACAGCTGACCCCATTTCTGCTACCATATTCGTGTTGAAAATTGGTGAATAATTTCCATTGAGAATATTCACCTGGTACACGAAGCCCTTCTTTGTACCGACGTAAATATGTTGATTCATGGCGTGCATACACCTGACCATGTCAGCTTGCTTTTTTGATTGATTCTGCGGGACTGTCATTTGAGGCAATTCAAAATTTTGATGAACAATGGCGTAATCTTGAATTCTCTTTAAGGACCACAATTTTACAGAGCTATCACCTCCACCACTTGCAATGACTTGTTGTGTAGAGTCAATATCAATTCTCCAAACATTTCTTCCAATATGACCCTGCAGAGTTGAGACACAATTTCCATCATAGTCCCACACCCGTATGGTTGCGTCCTCACTTGCAGAGATGATAAAATGTTTTGTGAATTTGCAATGCCACACACGAGCATTGTGTCCATAAAAGATTGTGCTTGTGTACGTCTCTGATACTTGATTGGAGTCTGCATGATGTGAAATAGTGTGGAGAGGCTGTTCATTAAACTTCCACAAAATCAGCGTTCTGTCATCTGATGTGGAACATATATGCTTTCCATCGTCTGACCATTCCACATGAAAAATGACACCATTATGCCCTTGTAATTGGACAACGGACTCTTTCGTATTATGTTTGCAATTCCAAATGATGACTGTATTAAAAACTGTACCAGAAGCAACAGAAATATTTTCACAAATGGAATTAAGGATTGATGTGGAATCTCCATGTGAATACGTAGCACCATTTCTGTTGAAGAAGAGTGACATGGAATAGAGTAAACAATTTGGATAGGATTTTCGTGTTGCCAGTAGATTCAAATGTTGGTTGGACTCTTGAATATTCCTAGAATACTGTGGTTGGTGTGAAGTGGTGTTTTCGTGAATATATTTACGAAATTCGTCTTTCTTCATTTTCAAAACTGCATGATCATATGAAAGTAATTGAATAAAGTTGTGGGCATAGCCTACACATAATGTCCTCATGGAACGATCATGGTTGTGCTCATCACTGTTAATAGAAATACCAATATCCAAAACATCAAGAATCCAATCACACATTTCACCAAAATTCCATATTTGACATTGTTCAATGGTGGCGAACACGTCATTCGTGTTCTCGTTTCTATTCAAAGAAATCAATAATTGCACAATTTTCAATCGTTTTTGTCCGTAAATTATAAATTCTTCGATCATAGAATTAGTGTTCTGTAGTGGTGATGATGACGATGACAATAAATCAAAATTGTGAAGAGTTTTCAGTTGCTCCTCACACTCCTCGTTTTGAATAAATTTAATTCCTTTAATACTTCCTCCCTTTTCAAAGATGGCAATACTTCCAATTTCTCTTCCAGAATGAGTTTCAAAGATATGAAGATTGGGACCTATTCCTGCATAAAGAACGGAAGGAATAATTTTCGAGAAATTAATGCAATAGACTGGACCCATGTAGAGTTTCTTTTCAAATATCGGAATGTGTTCTACAGAACAAGAGTCGTCATGATTACGGGAAGAAATGGCTCTCGTTACGGAATGATATTTTTCATATTTATTTCGCTCATCGCTGTTGGGCAAAATGGAGGAAGAAAAGTCATGTTGTGAAATCATTTTTTTAATTCCAAACTCCACAAACAACAAAAAATTGAAAAGTTTATATACGCGGCCCAGTTAGAATCCCAATTGAATTCGATGTACATGTTTCTTTAATAAAGTTTTTTATTTCCATGTTTTATACCAGCCTGCCTTGTCGGTTGTGACTGTTTCATATCGTTTGGTTGTTGATGCATGTAATCGGGTGTGGTATAGTGGTAGCATTCCAGACTGTCACTCTGGCGACCCGGGTTCAATTCCCGGCACTCGAGAAATATTTTTTATTTTTAATTGACGAACAACTTGTTTGTACTTTTGAGTGGTAAACCACTTTGACACTATTTTACATATTCATCTTTTAGACTCACCCATTATCGCAAGAATAATAGTACCTACAAATATGATTTTGGAAATAAACAATTATTAATTTAATAAATTTTTTAAATTCTTTATAAAATCCAAATTCCAAAAAAAATGCTGAAAAATCTCGTCGTTGCCTCTTTCCTCATCATCTGCGCCGTGATGATGGTCCATGCTTTTGGAGAGGACAGAAACTATATTCAAAATTTGAAACAACAAAACCACAAGATTGAATTTTCATCTCCATCTCTCGCTATTGATGGTCTCGTACAACATTTAGGTTTGGTCTTTAAAGGATTGCCATCCGACAAGGTTGTTTCCGTTTCATCATTGGACCTTTTTGAAAGACCCATTGTTGGTGTAGTCATGATTCCAACTAAATCTTCCGAAGTGAATGATGTTATCGTGAAGAAAGTTGAATCGTTATTTGGAAAGGAGGCTGTTACAACAGTTCCATCATTGAAGAATGTTGATTTCTCTTCAAAGACTTCCGGCATTGTTGTTGTTACCAATGTTGAGGTATGTTTTTTGAGCGTTTATTTTGAAATTAATACAAGCTTTGATATGACAATAACAACATGATGTTGATGAACTACTTTGCTACTCGTATTTTTCGGTCATGCCGATTTCAACCTTTTCAAACAACAATAACAACCTCGACATGGACAATGTGCATGGTCTAACTACTTCATCCTAACAACAACAACAACACCAGAATGTTGAAAGCGAATTGAGAATGATTCCAGAAAGATCCGATGTCGTCTTGTTGAACTTGGAAAAGAATCTTGAAGTCATGACACCAACTCAAAGAAAGCTCATGTCTGTCTACTTGAATAACAACAACACCAATACCAACACATCCAATAGCACCATTAGCGATGCTGAGCGTGCTGACTATCAAATGCAATTGTGGGTATGGGTCATTGGTATTGTTTGTGTCATTTTGGCTGTTTGGGCTGTGACCTTGATTGATTACAGTGGAGACCAAATGTTGTATGCCCTCGAAATGACAAAGGGTCACCATGATTAGAGGAATGATTCAAAGTGAAAACATGAACTGTCCATATCAATTTATTTCATGTTTCTTTTTCACTCCATCCTAATCCCTTCAAAACGTTCTTCCTTCTCCAATAGAGCTTTTTCCTCCACACAATGCAGTTTTTAACCCAATAAAACACCAACTATTTAATTGAACCATGTTTTCTACTTCTGTTATCCTTCAACACTTTATCATGAAAGTGGTTTGCTCATTTATTTGAACCATAATTTTTTTAATACTTGTTGGGGCAATCAAGTTTGCATTGATACCAACTCCTAAACTTTTCGAATGATGTACAAATCGTAGTGTAGGGACAACTGAACAGTGTTGAAGATAAAGCTACTTGGAATCTCATTTAATTGCTGACGAAAAATGGACATGTGTTGTGCAAAGCCTTAAAATCATCATGGACAGAACACAACAGTTCTACCAATATTTGCATTTTTACTCTCCTAATTTCCAAGACAAGCGAGCCCTGATGTGTTGTTGCACCAAAATTTAAACCTACGAAAACTCGTCTTGTTGATTCAAAATCTGAATCAACCAATTAGGTGTAATTTCCTGTTGTTTCGTGCTCGAATAAGTGGTTGGAAATATCACATACAAGTAATCATTCTCTCCGCTCACTGAATATGTATGATTAAACTTTTTCCAACTCACGACAGCGTCTTCCATGCCTGTCACTAAAAAGGCATTCCAACATTTGCCAACTCGAGTTCCTTTCCACACGAGTTCGAATATTTTCTCAACAAACAATGGTGGTAAAATTCCATCAAGCTTGATAATAAAGGTTTGATCGACCCGTGCGAATTTCACATCATGCATGAGTGCATTCATGAAGAGTAAATGATTTCGTTGTGCCACAATGTTCACGAATGATGCATCTTCCTGATGGGTAGTGCTGCTGCTAGTGGTAACCTCAGAAGATTTACTATCATCTGAGGCGCTGAGACATTCTGAACCCATTCCTCCGCTCAATAATCCAACACTTGTCAAAATGGCCTTGGCTGTTTCCTGTTTACAAATTTCTTTCTCTTCAGAAGGGGAAAGAGACTTGTTGAACATGGAGAACAAGTGATGACTCACTTCGTCATGCTCATCGTTTTCATCATTGTCATCTTCGTCATGTTCACCTTCTTCATGGTCATCTTCATTGTCACTTGTTTCGTCCATGAGATTGGATGGTGGTGCATGATGACCTAGTTGCTGTAATTGAGAAAATCCTTCCAATGTGTTACAAGCAGTGCTTGGATGCTTATTCTGTTCACTCTTTTCACCTCCTTTTGCAATAGTTTCAATACTCAATTCAACTCGTGGTAATACTAGAGATTCCTCCTTCAAAATTCTCACATTGAAAATATCCTTTCCAGGTGTCTTTTTAATCAAAACTTTGTTTTCTGCAGCTGAACTCGCACCAAAAGTTTCCTCCGAATTAGTAGTATTGGAATTAATTCTTGACTGGACAAACGATTCGAAATCTGACATTTCAATCCAACAATTTTTCTCAATACTAAAAACTCCAAAGAAGCAATGCATTGGACATGTTCCCTCTTTGTTCAGAGACCACATCAATCGTTCATATTCTTTAGATTTTGGTTTGAAAGGCATCTTGTATCCTACTGTTGAATAATTATCGCTTTCAAAATTAGCAGAGTGAGCACTAGTCTTTTTCGAGTGAATTTTGTTCTTTTCATTGCGTTGCAATCCAATTTCAAGAAGAGTATCCTGATCCAATCTGAACCGTAAATGATGTTCTCTCTCCAATGGTGTTGCAACATTAATACCATGAGTTGATGATGAAGAGGTTTTAAATATGGGATAGATGGCCATTTGGTTGGCACTTAAACAATCGGTATGAGCTCCGAGTGTATGGCAATAGACTAAATAATCCGATGAAGATTCTTCTCTTGTTAAGACTCGTTCTTGAACATAGGAAATGATATCCACGGGTTGAATGTTGGAACATAGATAGACTACACTCTTATCCTTTAAATCCGTGCAGAGATTGAGAATGTTCTGAATCAATTCTTTGGAATTGACCTCTGGTAAATGCCTTGATGGTTTGTTGTTGTTCTCTAACGATTGTTCTTCATCGTAGGCAACAAGACCATAGGAAGCTTCTGTTGTCGAATCGTTATGATTATAAAAATTCAATACAATTTCCATACGATAATTAAATGGATGATTCCGAATAATATCGGAATGATTTGCCTTTTCATGTTCCAGAAAGGTATCACTCCAGAAAATCATTCGGGAAGGCAACGGTTCAACTCCTGCATTGAATTGAAGCATTTTTTTAATTCACTTCAACAGCAACAATTATTAATGTTGTAGCATCAATGAAAGTTTCGTCCAATTTTCACACATGATGAATCAGTCATTACTCATTGACGTTTGTATATATAGAAACATTTGGTGGTGTTGGATGTTCTGCTGCTGCTGTCAGATTTTCCTGCTCTTGTTTCTCAAATTGTTCTTTCATGGAGAGAGCTCCTTGTTCCTTGTGTTTTTCGGCTTGTTGACCGAGTTCAATGATGGATTTAATATCGTCTCGTGTGAAATGATGAGTCAATACTTCGTGATGGCTTCCTAGAAATGCCATTCTCAAATGATCAATTTGGTCAAGATGCTTGGCAAGGAAATTTCCAAACAGTTCACTTCCAGAAACGACTGCTAATGCAGCATCTTGTTTGTTGGATAGTTTAAGTAAGGTGGGTAAATCTTTGGCAGCTACATCTGGAGCTGAGTATGTAAATACAATGCGTTTGGAATCTTTGGTAAGTGTGAATTTTTCGAGATCCGTACTCTCGTTAACTGTTGATGTGTGACTTTCTTCAACAACATTATTCGTTGTGATTGGTTCATGTGGTGCAGTTGTTGTAGTAGAAGGCGATACAGGTGTTCCTTCACTTGAGGAAGGAGCATTCACCATTTCTTCAGCATCTTCGTTACATGCAATGTAAAATTTGGATGTCACATATAATTTACCTCGGAGAGAATTGACCTTTGAGAGCTGTTCTTGCATGATCTTCTTCTTTTCTTCGATAATAGTGTGATATTTTGCCTTTAGTGCTAATTGAGTCCCTTTCGTTGAAGAGCTGCTCTCAGTGGTATTTAGCTTATTTTCAATATCGGTCAGCTCTTTCTGCATTTCATTGAGATCTTTGAGTGCCTTCACCAATGTAGCCAATGTTAAATCTGTAAGTACCGTTTGTGACCAATCCAATACATGTTTCAGTTCTTGAGGAGACAGCACTAACGAGTCGTCAATCACGGCAGAAACATTTTCAATAGGTGTCGATAAAAGTATGGCCATTAAATGTTGAGCAATCGTTGGTGCCGTCGATACCTTCACGCTCGAATAATCCCTCTTCAATATTTTTGATTCAAATCTTTCCAAATATTTCTGATGTTGCAGCTTGCTTGTAAATAAATAAAAGGTACCAATGCTACCATCATCATGTTCTTTAGTGTTACCTCCTTCAAGCATATTCATTGCTCTAAAGTGTGAATATTGAACAATTTTTCGATAGAAGAGAGTGTGAAATTCTTCAATTTCCGCTTGTTCCTTTTCAGTGAGCGACTTTCCATTAGTTTTAGCATCTTCTATTCGTTGATTATATTGATTTTTTAGTGCTATTAATTTTTGCACTTGTAATGTTTCCTCTAATTGTTTCTTATCATGAATACAATCTTTCTCTGATTTTGTACCAAATTGTTGAATTTTTTCCTTTTTCAATTTTTCTTGAGCTTTTGCAAAATTAGACTTTTTTGCTGGCTGAGTCTGTTGTTGGGAGATGTTATGAACCGATTTATTTCTATGGCAATTCCATATTATAAATAATATAATGTTTCATTATAAATTACCACGTGTTGAATATTCAATCATCACGAATGATATTTCAAATATTACCCGCATCATCATGGAATATTTAATTCAATCATTCACTTCCGATCATGACTCAAAAACCTACACAATAATTGCATAACTTCTGTGTTCACTGCCTTTGGAAAAATCACATACGAAACTAGCTGTTGATCGTGCCCATAGTGGATAACTTCGGAACCATGATGATGAGGATTTTAAACATCCGTCAGTTACAAATCTTCCCACTCCAAACCGCAACATTTTTTTTGTAAAATTTCAAACCTTTTTATCACAATTTTCATCATTTCACTAACAATCAACTGTTCATGAGACTAGGTTGTTTTGCATCCAAAAAGAGAGTTAAAACACGTGTTTGAGTTTTTGAGTTTCGGAGTCTCACAGGAGATTACAAAAAATCAAACTCCACAACTCAACCCAAAAACAAATTCCGAAAAAAATGCAACCAAGGCTTTCCGTTGTTGGATGGATGGCAATCATCCTCCTCTTCCATGTATTCATATTATTGGCAAATGCCTCTGAAACTCCGAAAGCTTCTACTTTATATAAACCTCTTCGGGATGTTCTTCAAATCAATTCCCGAGCTGAGAATGGAAGTTTGGTACTCATGTTATCCTCTCTGGATGATTTTTTATCGAGCTTGCAAAGTAATCAAACGAGAATGGTTTATCATGATGCGAATCATCATGCTCTTTCTTATTATCATTCCATATTATCAGATATGGATTTATTAATTTATTTTCATACAACGGATGATGTGTGTGCTAGAGAATATTCTCTGCAAGCATTATCAACGCTTGATTCCATTGTTCATACTGTGGAAAAAGTGAGAGCAAGTTTTGGAAAGAATTTTGATACTCCCGATGAGAAATTATTTGTGGTGAAAGGAACCAAAACCGAAGAGTCAAGTGGACAACAATTGAGTGTTTCACATGACGTGAATTTACGAGTGGCTCAATTGAATTGTCTCTCTTCCGAATATAATGGAATGTTGTGTGATAAATTATTGGGTGGATCTTGGTGGAGAGAAGAATCGTGTGACACGTATGACTTGCCAAGCTTTTTTGAAATGTCACTCGGAATGAAAACTGCGTTACCACCGCACAGACAAAAGCTCATGAAGGACTTTTTAATGGAGAGGCTACGATTTTTTAATTCGAAAAAGAGAGTTGAATTTTCAGACACTTCCAAAGAGAGAGTGTTGCTTCGTGTGAATAAGATGCATCTCTTGGGACAAGATGTACCCAACGTCAAGATTGCTATTCAACACGATGCCTCTCAAGAAGAAATTTTAAATGACTCTGTCGAATATATTCGAAAGGGAGAAGAAGTGTCGAAGGGCAGTAGCAGTAATAACGATGCCAAAGATGAAATTTTACAATTTTTACATTCCAAATATTACTTTGATGAGAATAATCGTAAAGTTGGAGAAATGCTTTTGAAGAGAAGTTTCCCAAGACCCTATCTCTTCTATGAAGAGTGTGACTTTACTCAATTGTATGCAGAGGGAAATCCATCCAAGAAAGTAAGACCTATCAATTTCTTCTTACTTCACAAGGGACCATCTCACTTTGATTTCCCAAGAACCATGATTAATGCATTTTTACAAACCTCAGTTGCCCTGATTGAGGAGCAATCCATTGGAATGATCTACATGTGTTCAGGAGAGGTCATTAAAGCATTCGAAGCGACCAGAGACATTAATGGAAAGGGTAATTTTGGAACCATTATCACACACAACTTTATATATGGCAAGAGACAATCTGAAATTGTCGATCGAGGTCTCTTACTCTTTTACAACCCATATGTGAAAAATAAGAATTCTACCCGTGCCTTGACTCTTCATCGAGGCGAACCCTACGATGCTCAATTTGTGTTAGCAGATGCTAACAATGTGCTAAAGCATATCAATGTCATGCTTCGACAAGGAAAGGCTCTCAATAGTTATGCAGATTGGAGAGATACTGCCTTCTTCATGTTCAGAGGAATGACTTCATTGAGCGAAGTAATTTTAAAGATGGTTCGAGATTGGATGATCAATACTCCAGAACATGCTAAACATGAACTGAGTATCGAAAAGAATATCACTCCATATGTTGAACTTGTAAAGCAAGTTCTTCAAAATTCTACAGTATTGAGAGAGGAAAAATTGAAAACTGCTCTTCCTCCTTCTCAATTTCCAGACGATGATATTGAATATGGAGACAAAATGTTGGAAACTTGTCATGTCATGTTGGACTATTTGAATGAAATGATTCAACATTTTTCCAATGACAAGCAAATGACAGTCATTCAAAAACAACATGTTTGGGATTATATCGATGGAACCATTTCCTCACTTCAAAAACAAATCACACAAGTGCGAGAGGAGAGAGGCGATGACTGTGGAGCGGAATGTCAGGACTTGTATGTGAAATTATTTGTGGCCAATTCGTTTAAGGTCATTGAGGCTCAACAAAAAAGTGCTTAAAAAATTGTGAATGTGTTGGAAAGGGAGCAAATAAAAGGTTTTACAAAACTTGTGCAAGAAGGATAGTATACATAGTATAACAAATAAGTCAATGGATCCGTCCTCATTGATCATTTAAAGTCAACTTGAAGTGTTTCAACAACACTTGGTTCCAGGAGTTTGGAGTCCTTCCTCCGGAGATGGTCCAAGATTTCCGAACTTTGATTTAAAACTTCCAACTTCACAACTCTTTGACGAACAAAAAAAAAATGCATCAACGCCTGTCACTTGCCATTCTCTTGATCCTCTCATTATTGAGCTCCCTTGCCCTATCCCAACCCAATTTCCCACCTGAATTTTCCACTCTCGTCTATCAAAACGAAGGTGGTTTTGTCGATTCCAATTCTGCCAAAATTGCCTTCATTCGTATCAGCAACTCGTGGAAAATCAAATCCGAACGACTCGAAGTTCAATTTTTCAATGAACCTCTCCAAATTCAACTTCACAATGGAAACACTCAATTCATCTTTTATCCACACAACAAGACATGCACTGTGACTGAATTGGGATTTCCTCCACTCCCTCCTGATTGGCTTCTTAACTCCACATTTATTGGATACGAAACTGTCAATAATGTACCATGTAGAAAATGGAAACGTTTGACATCTACCTATTGGGAAAGTGCTGTGAGTGGAGAGCCAGTTCGTGTGAATGAATCGGATTTCTTTGTGTGGAATTATGTCTCTGGAACTTTCAAGGCAGGTCCACAAGATCCCTCGGGTTTCATTGTTCCATCGTATTGTTTAAAGAAGTAAAACATCAAGCGTTTGTTTCAATTACATCTTTTTGGAGTTTTTTATATTGTTCTCCATTCATGTCATGATTAATTTTCGGTGTGCAATATTTTCTCCAAATTCGTTGAACTCTTCCAAAGTGACCCATAAATCATGATTTTGTGAGCATCTAGCAATGGCAAGTGCTCCCATCCATACAGAATAGTTTCTCTCTTGAGGTGCATTCACATGAACATTCATGTCCGTAGGAACCAAAGAATTCAACTCGTTTCTCAATCGAGTGTCAATTCCTGTAAACATGGTATTTCCTCCTGAAAGGACAATATTCGAATACAATGTGGATCTAAGATCGACGTGACATTGTTGAACGCATTGATAGATCATTTCGTGTAGTCCTTGTGTTGGAATGGAATTGTTTGAACAAACCTGTTGTGGTTGAAAAATTATTTCACACGCTTGAAATTTCATTCGTGAATCTAAAAGAATTTCATTCCCGTCTGGTAATTGATATTTTTCACGACAATTTGACAATTCTTGTTGTTTCAATGCCAATTCGCTTTCATAATCTTGTGAAATATAAAAACCAAAATTTTCCTTCATTTTGGCCAAACATTGATCTTTCAGAAAGGAGCATTTCGGCATCCATTCCTCACTTGTTGATTTCAAACATTCGGTCAAGAGTCCTTCCAAATGTTCATTCATCACTCTTCCTCCAATGGATTCAGTTTTCAAAACGGCATGAGACAAGACCACTCCTTCATGGATGGGAATGACACATGTCATGTCATGTCCACTGCTCACTTCCAATCCACTGTTTCTTCCAGATCGCAATAAGGAACATAAGGCCTTATTGGCAAGATAGAATTTTGGAACCAAAAAGCTTTCGAACATGATATTCAAGATTTTCTTCTTTTCCAAAATTGGTAAACATGAATGTGTCATGATGCAAGGATGATCTTCGGATAAAATTCTCAATTCCGATTCATAGATGAAATGCAACAAGTGTTCAAAATCTTCCCAATGCTGAACTTGTCCATGTTGAATGGGATAATGAAAGAAATTGTTTGGAATGGTACCATTGACTTTCTGTTTTAGGAATTTACCAATTTCATAATCTCCAATCTTTATCAACGATCGTTCTGAGGTGGATTCGAACGTCTTTGAAAGTTCATTGTTATTTTTATCATGATCATGAGGAGGATACAACAGAACATTCCGAAAAACACTTCGGGGAATGAATTCACGATGATCAACTCCACATTGAACGTGATAACTGCCAATGTCCAAGACACATGAAAGAGCTTGCATTTTTTTTTGTGTGGATGATGGAGGGAGACGTTGGAAAGTTCATCCTTAATCATATCATGGGGGTTCATGGTTTATTGAAACCATTCAGCTTCCTATTGATCCAATATGTTTTCATTTAATGATTTCGCTTTTCCAAGATTTCAAAAAGTTTTCATCCTTAATCATGCTTGGTTCATGGTTTATTGTTTAATATATATTAAATGTCAGGTGTCAATTTAGCAGCTCCTGTATTTCGTTTGAACATGAAAATTCCCCAAACCACGCTCCATATCCACCCCACTAATAAAAACGAAGTGAAGAATTGCAAGAACCCAAATATGATACTGTATTTCTTCTTTTTTTTGGCCACACAAGCAGCAACAAGAGTTCCAATTCCAGGAAATATAATATTGAGTATAAGAATGATAATATGCCAATTGCCGTCCAGTTTCGGAATGTATTTGAGAATGGCTTTTAATATGGAGGATGTCTTGTGAACATGATGTCAATGAACTTGTTGAAAGAAAATATATTGAAATACTCACTGCTGACATGATGGTGTGAAAGGTTTTTTTTGAGACAATTGTGTCCTTGGAGATGACGAGATTGTCTTGGTTTGGATGAATGAGATACCAAAATGAAAAAATGGCAATTTGACATTCGACATTTTCGTTATATATATTGTTTCATCTAATTTTCTTGTCTTTGGAGCTACAGTTCCCAGTCCTGTTTTGAGAAGTTAGGTCCATTTGAATTAAGGTAATTCAATTCTACCTCTCTGAATTAACTTTTAGATGAAACTGAAAACAAACGCCTTCATAGAAGATCAATTTCAGACCAAATTTTCAACAATTTAAATTATTTGAAAAGTGGCAGAAGTTCTGGAAGTGTTTTGATGGTTAATCCCAAACTCCCAATCAAAGTTCTCACTGTGAAAAAGTAGTTACTTTTTTGAAATCATCTCAACTACATGTTCTTTTCGTTCTTTTGTATTTAAAATTTTTTCCTATTAATCCAATAGTATTTCACAACAACAACAACTTTTTGAAATAAAAATTAATATACACCCTTAATAAAGTTCTCACAAATTATCTGAATGAAAAACACACGTTCTCTCATGATGATCATTTCCCTTTTGTCTTATATTTGCATAATCTGCCAAACATATAAAACAAAATTCATATCCACATCGACAAGTCATGTGATCACATCCTTGATTCTTTTCAAATGGCATGTCCACAACGAGGACATTGTTTGAAATTTTCCTGAATCCATTGTTGATCTTGTTGTGTTTGAAATCTCTCTTCGAATTGTTGACATGTATATCCGTCATGCCACACTGTTCGATGTTGTAAGTACAGAGAGACAATGTTGGCAGTTCATTCGCATAGTTCCGTGAAAAGTTGTGACACGTCGAGTGTCGTGGGGATGATTACATAGAGGACAGGAGAAGAGAAATTCAGCATCATTCAAGGCATTATTGAGAATGGCAAGTCTATTTCTATTTTCTACAAAAGTATTTAAAACTTGTTGAGGAAGTTTTTACGGACAAGTTCCTTGATTTCAATATATCGAAAATTGCCTCGACAAAGTGGACATGGGACATCAGAGAGTCCTTCTTGTACTCGATGTTCAATATGTTGAATTAAACAACCTTCACAAATGGCTTTGGTATGACAGATGCAATTTTTGAAATTGACAGCCGTGAATGGAATTCTTGATTCCAAACAAATAGGACAGTCCTCTTCTTCTTGGTATTGAATATACTCATGTGTCGTAGAGGAAGATTCATGCATTGTGGAATGTCTTCGATGGTCAATGGAAGAAGAATTTCCATTTGTGTTAAAACTCAAACTGGGACGATAATTATGAGAACTGCTAGAATTGTTGTTACTTGCAATGAGAGTTTCAAACATTTGTTTTCTATTCCGAACAGAATCAACATTTCTGCTATTTGAACTTGTTGATACTTGACGATGAATTCCTTGTTGTGTGGAATTGTTACTTCTACTCTCTCTAGCTCTTCTATTTGTTGATGTCTATTACTACGATTCATGTTGCTAGTATTCGACGATTGCGAGCCACTTGCATTGTTATTTCTTTGAATATTTTCAAATACTGCTCTAGATCTTCGGAATGGTGAATCCTCATCTGTTTGTGTCATTGATTGTGTAGCACCATGTTGAGAAGTGTTGTAAGCAGAAGTGGATGTTAAGGATGTGTTGGTATTAGTAGTATTAGTAGTATTCGAGCTAGTAGTGGAATTTCTCAAAGAAGCCAAAGATGTGACACTTCTTCCAACAGGTTGCTGCGACGTTTGTGAAAGCGTTCTTGTCTCTGCAGAGGATTGTTGCGGTGATGACACTCTGTTGGATGTGACACTCATTGACTGAGGTTTTACATTCTCTTGATGTCATCAACACCTTCATTTCGGAATTGGAATTCCAATTTCATTCCGGACAATCTTTCGGAAGAGAGAATTCTTTCAAGCAAGGAAGGGATAGTTGCTTGATCATTCTCTGACGTGTTGACATTTTTTTTGAAATGTTAAATGGAAAATTAAATTACATTCGAGGATTATTTTCAGAACATGATCCATATATTTATCTCGTTACTGGTCCATAAAGTATTGAAAAATTCTTTTATGTTCCTAAAAGTTTTTTTATTTCAACAACAGTAGCGTTTCTCATCAAATACATCAATTTCACATCTGCATTTGCGAGAAAATAAAAAAAACAAAAAAAAATGAAACCACCGACAGAATCATCACACGGGATGGCAACTCTCAATAATAATCAACCCATTCCTCCGTATCTTCAATGTGGTATTTGTCACAATGCTTTGGATGATCCTATCATTCACATTGAATGTCAATTGTTATTTTGTCAAAAATGTGCAAATAATTCAACAGCCAAGTGTCCGCAATGTCAAACTCAATTCACAGAATCATCACTCTCTAAAACTGTTCCACGTTTCGTTACAGATGCTTTACAACAAGTTACAATTCCATGTACAAATTGTCAACAAATGGTTTTGAGAATTCAAATGCAACAACATTTACAAAATTGTGAAATTCCATGTCGTTTGGGATGTGGATGTCGAGTCTCTCCACAACATCAGCAACAGCACGAAAAGGAATTTTGTACAATGTTTCAAGTGAAATGTTCAGATTCAAATGAATGGTGTGATTGGAAAGGTCCAAGAGGTGAATTGAAAGTTCATGAAAATTCATGTGTTTTCTTGAATCAGAAAGAAATGGTTTCAAAATTTAAAGAAAAATTAAATGAACAAACAAAAGAAATGGAAAACAAAATGACCATGCTTTTACAGGAAATGGAATTTAGAAATTCGAAAAATATGTTTGATCTATGTATGGAAATCAATAAGGAATGGATTTCCAATTTGAAACTATACAAGATATATTTGGATAATTACAAATACGATGATACTGGAATATTGCATTATTTCAACGAATGTGAATTTGTTGAATGCACTGTGAATTGCTGTCACATTTTTCACACATGCATTTTTAAGAATTGTCAACAAGTCCATTGTCAGAGCGCGAATGAATGCACGTTTGAGAATTGTGAAGAATTGAAATTTGACACTTTGACCAATGTCACGATCAAAAATACAGCAAAATTAAGAATTTTAGAAGTACAATATGTCACACTCGAACAACTCATTCTCCTTTCTGAACAAATGAAAGATCAACATTTAGAACTGAATGGCGTTAAGGGAACTTTTTGTGAAAAACCAGGATGGTTGGAACAAGTTGCAAAATATCCAAAAAAATTAACATTCTCAAGCATGACTCTTCAAAATGTGACACAGAAATCATCATCCACTCCAAAGAATGTAGAGTTTACAAATTGTCGCTTTATCTAAGACAAGGAAGAGAATCATTGGTTTGTGAAAACAACAATGAGAGATGTTTTAAAGTTTTGTTTTAAATAAATTTAATTTGAATATCTTGCAATTCAGCACAACTTCCTGCACTTGATAATTTTGCAAATCTAAATAACTTGCACATAAATTCTTTCAATTGCTTACTCTCCTCTATCACATTTATACAACAAGGAATAATAACCTCCACTTGATATTGAATGGACTGTACGGTATAAAGTATCACTGGTATTCAGAGGTGATAGAATATTCTTATGTCTTTTAACATCTACATCAATTCCACAAATAAATACACCGAAATGAAAAAACGGCAATTTGACCTCCGACATTTTCGTTATAACGTTGCTTCATCTAATTTTCTTGTCTTTGGAGCTACAGTTCCCAGTCCTGTTTTGAGAAGTCGTGTGAATTGTCCATTTGAATTAAGGTAATTCTATCATCATATTTCCCAACGCTTGTTTATTTTGAAGTCATGACCTTAATACACAGAACATACATATTCGTTAACATCAATGTTAATTCAACTTGCTGTCACGTCTATAATAATATTCAGAAACAGCCATATCGTCCATCATAATCTCCTGAGAAGCAGCTACAAGACTTGCTTGATTGATCGTTGTTGTTGAAGATGCAGAAGCAGCCTTTCCTTGCTTTGAGCGTCTCCATGAGCGATACATTAATATCAAAATGATACTTCCTATTAACACACTCACATAAACAGCAATACCTCCAACAATGCTCAAAGTGGTCACTAGCGGCACTGAAGGTGCTGTCTCAATATCCACGTTACCTTTTTGTGGTTGGGTTGGATCTACCGATAATTGATAAATGCATTCAGTCGAGTCCAGTAATTCCCAGTCTCCTTTTCGATAAGTGGCCAACAATGAGAAGTCTTGTTTAGTATTGGCAGTAATTCCATAATTCACAATTTGCATGCTCAACATTTGATACTCTGCTGCAGCTGCAGAATTGGAAATTCCGCTCACACTTACTCGTTCTACATTATTCTTATCATCTGCATATTCTGTAGCGCCATTTGCCAAGATTAATTGCAAATTAGAACTCTCCTTGGTATTTACATTCCATGTATATTGATTCACAATAAGATCCAAATCATGAATAAGTTTAGGTTCGACGGCAATACTCGATGGCATGTCGTACCAAGCCAATGTTGCCTTAAATGCTGAAGGACTCTTTACCGTCTTTTTCATTCTCAAACACACACGCAAGACTTCTGAAGAGGATGTAAAACCGGCTTCCCATATTTTCATGTCTAATGCATTGCCATTAGAGTCTTTCAAAAGGTTTCCAAGTTGGACCTTGCCGAAACCATCATAAAAGTTTGGAGAGCCATATGCCTGTTGAATATTCTTTCGATTATTTTCATTGCTAGAAACGGCAACGCTTCCTGTGAGTGGTGTAGCACTGTGAATAAGAGCTGCTTTCAACAGGGTGCCTTTTGGAGTGGACAGTTGTGCGTACTTTTGGAAATATTCACGCAAGAGGCTGACAGCACCAGCTGTTAATGGAGTTGCCATTGAGGTGCCACTGCGGTGTTGAATGATCCAAACCAAAGAATTTTTGATTGATATCCACATGATTTTGTTCACAATTACTTGTTTGAGAATTTTCAACATACCTCATTAACAACAAGGCAGCACTGTTGCCAAGTTGTGGTGTTTGTGTACCACATTGTTTTGTGGTTAGAGAACCATCAGAGTGAGTGGAAATAACTGTGTGACCAACAGCCACAACATCTGGTTTGATTCTTCCACCTTATTCATTCATAGGGGAATGATTGAAGTTTCTGTCAGTTTTAAAAACAAATTTGATACTTACCACACGCAGGGCCTCTGCTACTGAAATACGCCAAATTATTTTCATTATAAATCGAGGGTTGTGACGAATATAATTGTGCAATGGTATTGGGACAGCAATATTCCCTCACTGCTTGATAGTTTGAACCTGAATAGGCACAACATTGCGCAGTGCTAGTGAATGGTAAACCTGCATCTTGCATCTTTTTCACAAAATCTTGATAATTTATACCATCTACGAAACCTGCATTACTGGTATGGTGAGCACCAACAGAGATGGTATTTTTCGAAACTGCTGGATAACCGGTGTTACCAAACTCAGATAGGTATCCTGAATTTCCTTGAGAAAACAAAATGACAGCATCTTTTCGCTCCCACAAGAATTTGTCAATGGCTTGACATTGACTGCTGTAAACATTACAAATATTACAACATGTTGAAGTGCCAAAGAGTGCCTTACAATCTGCATTTGTCACAGAGCTACCAGAGGCATAGGTTCCAACAGCTCGTGTCAATTGACAGTTGGAGCAGTCATAATTGCATGACACGAAACTATCGGGTCCACAACCCCAAGAATTGGAGAAGATGCGAACTCCATTGTCATAGGGCAGTTGGAAGATTGGGGTAACAGGATTTGGAATTGAAAGACCACCATTTCCTGCTTGAATGTCTGTGAACCAAATCTTACTTCCTGGAGCCATGCCATGATATCTGTTCAAAGAGACGTTTAGACTTTGATTCTCAATGGATCCCACAATGGCGCCACAAACATGTGTACCTTTTTGTAGTGTACATTTGTCATGCAAATTTAAAACAATAACAATTGCACATTGAGGAAGTATTCAAGTGACACCAAAGTTAAGATGTCAACATTCCATGTGATAGCACTTACCATGACCATCAATACCATCCATATTATCTCCATTCTTACTTGAGTAGTAAACAACCTTTCTTCGATTCATGTCCAAAACGTTCACTGTTGGAGTAGTCTTGGAATCATAGAAAAAGCAATTGTCATGATCAAGGCCAGAATCTGAAACAGCCACGACTTGATTATTACCATAAATTCCCATGTCATAGAATGGTGTCGATGAAGCGGTGGATGATGCACTGGTCGAACTTGCTTGTTGCATGAGTGCACTCGCATAACGATTGTGGAGAGTCATTTCTAATTTTCTCTCAATGAAATGAACATGTGGATGGGACAACAATATCTCACCAATTTGGGCAGCTTTGAGAGGTGAGAAACTCATTTCACATTCATTCGCATGATGGAGAATGATGCTTGTAAATTCTTGATCTTTTCTAAACTTGGATTCGAGTATGGAATTGAGAGAGGAGACGACTTGTTGCAATTCTTCGTGCTCTTTTCCTGCTTGAATGGCCTCCAAGGATGGAATCAGTGAAATGACAATATCCAACATTGATGAAGTCGATTCTGCCATCAATCTCTCCGAATGGGCAGAAGCCTTATTCAATTGTTCACGAGATTTTTCTTCCAAGAATTGAAAATTGAGGGTACTCTTAAATTTCGTCTCGTATTCACCAATCCATTCGAAGAGAGAAGGATTCTCTCGATTCGCTTGATCCAATTCGCTTGCTTTAGCCACTACGGATACGACATTATTCGCGAGAACGCTACCGGAACGCATCCATTTGGTCATGAGCCCTGATGAAGAAAGACTTTGGCGCCGTACGGAAGCTTCATCATGGCTTGAAGATGAAGAACCTCGTGATGAAATATCAACGACCTCATCGTGATGAATAGACTTGGGGCTAGCAAATTTAACAATAAATTGATATTTGGGTTCTTCCATCGCGATGTGGTTGTTGTTGTTATTATCAACAGTGGTAGTCATGGGGCGGAAATTGATTAAGGCATCCATCTTCCTTCGATTCGCCATGGAAAGTAAATTATTTTCCTCATTAAGCACAAAGGGAGTAGTAGCAGCAACGGCTTGTCCATGCTCATCCTCCGTACTCAATGAGCTTGCTCTGAAATGAATCACAGATGATGATGGTTTCTTTTTCAAGGGCAATGAGGAAGCACAGGTCGGAATGATTAAGGCAGCACTCGTCAAGCACACGCACAACACCAGCGCTACCAGGAAGGAACGTAACACTCCTCTGCGGTCAGATATAGATTCCAGTGCAAAAGATGATTGTTCTCTCGAGAGGGTCATGATGATTCTGTAACAAAACGATGATCGTCGTACTATGCTTTCGAGAGACACGGTCAAGTTCAATAATTTTTTTCGGATGAAGTACGCGTGTTTCTTTTTTGGGGTAAGGTACAAATGAGAGTGTGTTGTCTCGTTCGAGGGTGTTTCCTCATGTTCACAATAAAGGCTTATCAGAGTGAGAGAGAGGTCAATTCGTTCTTTAGAAACGAATGTTGTGTCATCCTTAATGGAATGAATAATAATGAAAAAAAATTATGAGTTGAAAATGATGAGAAATGCATCCTATTTCATTCAGGGACCTTGTTGTTCTACGTAATGAATAGAGTGTTAATGGTGAGCATGAAGATTATTGACCTTCTTCCAAATGTGTGACCAAATCTCGGAATGAAATATACGTAGAGAAAATGGTTGCAAACACACCAAAAACAATCAATACAATATCTTTTGCCTTAATGCTCCAATCAATATGTTTCCACATGACCTTCAAGTGAATAGCGCAAGGCATGACCAAAGCTAATGTGGTACCTCCAAATCCACCAATTAATCCTAAAAAGTCTCCAAAAGAAGGAATGAACGCAGAGAAAAACACTGTGGCCATAATCATCATGAATCGTATAAAATTTTCTAGATGGAATGTTGGAGATATACAAGCTTTCGTGAGTAAGTGAAATGCTGACTTGTTAGCTTTGACTTTAGATGTGGTTGTGGAATCGAACAGAGAGTTCAATTGCTTCTCATCACTGATGCTGCTCTCACTTTTTGAATTATTGATTGAATTATGACCAGATTTTGTGGGTTGACTCAGTAGCACATGTTGTTCTTCTTGTCGTTCTTGTGCCACTTCTAATTCTGTTGTTGTTGTTTTCTTGTGAATTTTGTGTCGTATCCATGTTGCAATGGATGTTGTTGCAGAATCCATCATTTGAGAAATTGGAAACAGCTGAATAGGGTATGTGAAAAGGAGTGCAATAATGAGGAATATCTTAATGATGAGTGGCAATGCTCCATCTGCAGGCAGGTTGAACGTTATCAAGCTGTTCACACCCATACCATATGCCAAATATCCAACAATTCCCAATAAAATCATGGAGGCACAAATAATGATCATTCCAACAAAGAGTAACATGGGATATGCTTTCTTGTCTCTCATGTTGCTTTCAATAGGAAGAACTAGACCACTGTTCATAATCATGATGCAAAAAGTGTATGGTTGTTTCCGAAATGTTTCAAATCATGTTGTTTCAAAAATCAAATTCGAAAAAATACTCAAATAGAGTAATACTTACACTCCCTCGAATGCAAATAAACAAATACCAAAGAAGGTGGCAAATTGTTCAAAATTGTAGGGTCTCAAATTTCGATACAGTCCTGGAAATGGCTCTGAAGCAAGTTTGTCAAAGGCAAAATACAACACAATTCCCACTCCTAGAATAATCATAATTTCAGAGATGATACTGACTGGAGAAAGATATTTCAAATTACGAATGCAACAGAATGGGAAGACGGCAACTCCAGTAATGAAAATGAAGAGCGCTTTCCAACCCAATGTCGTTGGTGTTCCAAAGATATTCATTAAATTGGAGGAAATAAAGGTTAGGTACTGTGTATGCAATATTTGAAATTTTCAGAAAAATGCACAATTAAAGATTTGAAAAATAATCACAAGGCATGTTAAAACTAAACATGTCATCAATACACTTACTGCACAACAAAATCCCAATTGTGTAACAAATAAAAAGAAGGTAATAACCACAGTTGCAGTTCGGCCAAAAGCTGCATACCCGATATCGTTAAATGTAATAATTTCTTTCTCTTCTACTGTGGGTGGTGTATTGCTTGTTGACAATGGTATCGAGGGAGTTGGTGATGATTGTGAAATTGAAATTTCATCCTCTACGACAATGCCAATTTCATCCTTTTTCTTTCGTTTCTTTTTCAGCATGTTGTTGAGATACCTCTTACTATCGACCAACAAAATTGTACAATGCACCACAATCAACATGATAATAACAATACTAAAAAGACCAAGCCAATATCCAGCGCATTTAAAAGCATATGGCATTCCCAAAATACCAGATCCGATATTTGCCTTTATGATATTGATGAGAGCAGATGCATTGCTAGAGAGATGTTTTTCCTCTTCCAATGTTTCCATCTTTGGATTCACGGGAATATTTTCATCATCAGCATCGTTGAATATGTTTTCAGCAATTGTCGGAGAAGATTCTTCTTGCCGAGAATTTTCATCATCATCATGACGACGATGATACGAATGGTTCGTAGCCGCGTTTTGCATTTTTTTTGATTTTTTTGAAAATGTTTGGAAATTACAATCTTACAACATTTTGCATTTCTCTTTTATTCTATGAAGTTCGCCATTGAGGTTGTTGCAGTGTTTTACCAAGTGGTTTCAATGCCTTGCCAGTGTTCGCTTCTTGTGCACACAAAAATCTGTGCCTTCATAATAGATCAATTATTCTTAAAATGACACTTGACACTCTAAACACTTTTCAAGAATTGTGAAAATACCACAATCCAACACGATCTTGCATGTAAACATTTGTTATTGGTTCATTGTTAAAAGGTTTGAAGAGCATTGAGAATAGTTTTTCAAGAAAGATGTGCATCCACGAAAAAACACATTAAGGAAATTTTCAATGAACGAGAATTCACATACATGTTGGTGTGTCTGTCTCCTTATTATCATCAGTCTCTTTCTAAACATGCCTTTCATCATGACTTGTTCTTCGTTCGTAATAAACGACAGCATTGGTTGCATCTTGCATATTTGAAAAGTTTTCATCATCATGACCCTCATGAGGATTCACATTATTTTGGACAATCTCTTCTTGTTGCGTGTCAGTAGTACCAGTCGTGTTATTGTTATTATGATTCTTTCTAAACATCCATTTTGCAAAATCACATCCATCGTGTGAATTGGCAACTGTGAAATGAGCCAAATAGGCCGAGATGGGAATGACACAAAAGATGAATACAAGACCACACGGTACGAGGATGAGAGGAACAATACACGAAGGAGTATTGCAGGAGAGAGCTGTTGAAGAGGTCGAGTTGTTGTTGTTGTTGTTGTCATTGTTAAAATTCGTGATGGAATGAATGATCATCAAAGATGAAGCATAGGAATTTGGAGAATTTTCGAACTGGTTGTTGAGAAGAGGATGATGAGAATGATGGATTTGCCGTTGTTGTGGTTCCGAAGAGGATCGTAAAGTGAATCCGTGCATGAATGGACAACAGGACATGATGACCATCATGATCAGTGTCGTTATCATGATCAGACAACCATGTGAATGAACATGGCAAGAATTTGAAAAGGTCAGAATCCTGCAGCAACGACGATCCATGAACTGTTTCATTCTTTTTGATTCTATAAAAACTCGTCGGAGCCAGCAAGTTGATCACAAATTGTGCACTCGCGAGTGTGAAAACCTCCGCTGCACTCATAATTGCGACACGTGCGGAGAGATTCAATATGGAACAATCACCCTCAGAGGTCGTGGTCTTGAAACATTTTGTGAAAACCATCCTTCCTCATGTAGTCCCAGAAATCTTCTCATTCCTCTTGCACTGGACAAGGTTTTAATAACCTTAAACGGATTCATCAAAAATTTTATGAAGAATTGAGTTAGTAGTGACCTTTACCCGCTGTCATAATGTCAAGTCGAGAATAGAGTTTCAAAGTCTTTCCCAATATGAATCGTTCTCATTCAACTCTCTAAGATTTTGATAATTCCAAAGCTTGCTTCACATAAGGCATCAATAAAAATGGATGTGTCAATGCCATGTCATAGTCAGCCTCAATAAATTCCCATTTCGTTTTCGGAGATGCATAATATTCAAACAAGTCTCCATGTAATTCTCTAAATAATTGAGCATATAATGAAACATGTTCTTTCCAATGTTCACACAACACTTCATCATGAGTTTCATTCCTTGTTGCGAAATTATTCATCATCAAAATTCTATTTTCTTCACAAGTTCCATTCATGAGAAATCGAGAGGTCAAAATGAGAAAAGGAATTGGAGCATGATGTCGAACGATTCGTGTGGCATTGACAGGGTGTGGAGTTTCATTTCGTGTATGGAAAAATTTGTCACTCGTCCTTAATTGTTTCATGAATTCAAACACGAGAGGCATTTGTGACATTTCACTCCAAACAGCATCAATAAAATTCGTGAGACGTAATACGGACGCGTATTGAACGGTGATGTTCGAGTTGGGTTTAAATTCTGGAAATGACAAGACATATGATTTCACTCCTCCTAAATAATAACGTTCTAAGAGTTCTTCATACTTTGAGTGCAATGGTTTCAAAACTCCTGGAAAGAGTGTCAAACCAAGAGCCGATTGAAATCTCAATGTGTTCAATTGATTTAGAAATTCTTCTTTTTTCTGTTTCAATCTTTCTTGTTGGTTATAAATTTTCAAAATTCCAACTCGTTCTTCAAGTCTTTCATGAGCTGGATGTAATAATATGACAGCTCGTAACAATTTGGGATAATACTGTAATAGAGTTCGAGCGGTAAAGGTAGCACTCGAATGTGAAATCATGACCACAGTTTGCCCCAAAAATGTTTCACGCATCAAGGCAGCCACTTCGGCAGCTGTTTCATTTCCTAAATTTCGAGGAAATGGACCCGAATATGAAAATCCATAACCTGCCCGTTCTAGTACACAGACTCTCATGCCGTTTGTAGCTAAAAGTTCAACGAATGGTTGGAAATAACATTTGGGACATGCAATTCCAATATCAGCATCGAGTAGTATGATATCGTCACTCGCTTTCGGTCCTTCACAATACAAATGAAGTTGAAAACGAGAACTTTTTGGAGGTTTGATGGTCACCATTTGTGCAGCTCCTCCGCTTAAATCAATGTACGAAAGAGTTTTAGCTGTAAACACTGCTTGTATCGTGACCAGAATGAAAATACTTCCAATGACGAGCCACATTCCGAAAAGTAAACCAATTTTCGATAAAAATTTCACACAAGTCCACCAATCCCATTTCACAAACAGCAAGCGACGTTTCACCAATTTCTTTTGAGTATACTCATGATCGTGTCGCGCCAATATAAATTCATGCCATGAAATGAAAAAGTAAGCCATTAAGGAAGCTAAAAAACAAAACGCAAACCATCCCGACACTCGATCATTTCCTAAAAAGGCGTCACAGACATAAATCATTACAATTAATATCAAACAAGCTGAGCACGTGATTAATGTTAAAATGAACCAAATCAATTTCCATTCATAATACATTAAGGGAGAATAATATTTAGGGTGATGTTTGTGATGAAATTGTTGACGACGTAATTGTTGTTGTTGTGAAATTTGAATCTGTGGTTGAGATGTAGTTGAAGGTTGATCTGGAAATGGAGAATTTAACACTCCTCTCTCTTGTTGTGTCAATGGTTGTTGAGGTTGTGGTTCATGTCGAAGAAAAGAAGGTCCTCCTCCTGTTGTTGTTGTTGTTTGTTGAGTCTGTAACATTTTCCTCTCACTCTGTTCCATTCGTTTCAAGTACTTGTTTCGACAACACACAAAAAAACAATACAACATGAAATAATCTCCAAAGGAATCCCAAATAAAAAGTGCATTCAATATCATGAATATCAAGCTTAACCACAAGACATTAAGGGAATTTCCTCCTGCAAAAAATCCCTTATTTTGCAAACTGTGAACAAGAGCCACGATGAATAAAATCAAATACACAATTTCCATATAAAGTAAAATTAAAGTGGAGACTTTAAAGAGTCCGTGAATGCATTTAAACCATATAGAACCAGAAATTTTGTGTTTTCTGTGTGAAATATGTCCTCTTCCACTACTGTAATGAGAAGGTGCGGAATGCAATATTCTCGCAATTTTAGAAAATCTTGGAAGCACTTGATCTTGAGAAGATTCCCTTAATAATTATTTTAGAAAATGGTATCATTCTAATCATGAAAATAGCACTTACCATCCCACTGTTTTTTTTGGAATTTTTGTGGTTTGTGTTGTCATTGGTGGTGAAGTGAAATGATTTTCAGCGACTAATGATGAAGAAGAAGGACGTGAAGGAGCTTTCTTAAATACCTTAAAAAATCGATCTTTCCATGATAACGATTCTTCCGTCGTTCTCATGGTTCGTTGCTGTGGAGTTGGTTGTGGTTCTTGTTGTTGAATTTCATATTCTTCCAATGCTGGTGTTTCCATTTCTTCTTCAAAATGAATGACATTTGGAGTGTGACCATCTTCCAACACATGAATTCCATCCGTGTCATTGTCTGACTTTGCCATTTGCAAATCCGTTTTTTCAAAATTTAAATTTTCAGGATCAATTCGAAATGGATTTTCATGATCACTGGAAAACATTTCATCTTGTTGATGTTCATGAAATTGTGGAAGATTTTCTTCCATTGAACGATTCCCTCGATCGTGTGTGAGAGAATGTCGATCATGTTGTTGTTCGGAAGTGTGAAAATTTTGAGGTGTGGTTGTGGATGACAATGATGAAGATTTTGAAAAACTGTCAAACGTATAATTACTTAGAGGATGAGACATGTGGTTGTTGTTGATGATGATGAGAATGTTCTTCTTCGAGTATTTCGATTAGAAGTCTCCAAATAGTAATAGCAATCAATAGAAAAACGTACGATGGTTTTGTTTGCTGACAATGTCTTCTTCGAAACCGTTTTTGGAAAATCTCCTTAAAAGTTTAAAATGTATTGAGAGAAAATGATCGATTCGTGTGGGTTTCGTTAATGTGAATTGCAATCATATTTTGTAAAAACTAGTTGAATGTTATTAATAACAAAAAGGACATTCGCATTTCCTCTGAAAATGGTTCTTCATGTATGATTTGAATATAAAAATTCAAGTTGATCTTAAATTTCAAAACCAAGACATGCCAGATGAACTACAGCAAGGTAATATCTGTGATGGACTCCAACATTTGAAAGAACTAGATTCATTGATGTCAAGTTGTCACTTGCCAAAACAACCGAAAGAGCTTTCGCCCTTGATTTAAAAATTTTTTTGTTTGGCCGTGCCAGTCGTGTCAGTTCCTTCACCCGAACACGAGTGTGTTCTTCTGCTTTCCTTGACCCATCAATGCCACCTGTCATTGACCTCATATTCCTTCAACCACTATTCTAAAATCAAGTTCGGTCCGATTGTTCATTAGAATGCGACTCTCTTAATCGAACGAGTTCCGATGCTGCTATTCATCTCAGTGCATTCATAAAAACTCATTGTCCAAATTTTTCAATACTCAAAAAACAACAAGAAAAAAATTACAATCTTTCCAATCAAGCACTCAACCAAAACCTCTTGAAAATTCTTCCTTACTCCCTCTCGTGTTCTCTTTCCATTATTCAATAATACTCACAATTCTCTTCAACAACAAATGCTTTGTTTTGTTCATCAAGTTCCATTTCAATCCTTACCAACAAGAAGAATGAACGATTCCACTCGACGACGACAACAGACACATTTCGAAACTGTGGACATGTCGATGAGCAGTGCAAGCTCGACGACTTCTCACATGAATATGGAAACATGTCCTTCTTCTCGAATGAAACATCTTGTTTCTAACCGTTCGACCGAAGAACTGTCACATGCCAATGTACCCTATGTCCATACAAATTCTACTGTACGAATGATGGTATCAACGGTGATGAATCCCATTCGAACAGTGGTCATCACACCTGCCATGCATGCTTGTTGTCCTTCACCTCCGTTGTCCAATCAAGATTCTGACAAGTCAAAAACTTGGAAAACGTCCTCCAACCAAAAAACTAATTCTCCTCGTCGAAATTCGTCTCCAAAATCTGTTTCTCCACGTGCTGCTTCTCCTAATACTAACTCGTCTAGTTCTGGGATCAAAAAACAACACAAATCGAATACTCTCTCTCAAAAAGGTTCTTCGAAAAGTAAAATTTCATTGTCGGCCTCTGATTTGATTCGAGTGATGGCACTCCCTCAATCCATGGCTGCAAAAGAGTTGGGTGTGAGTTTATCAACGTTAAAAAGAAGATTCTATGATTTGAAAATGGGTCGATGGCCTGGATTGGCTAATCCAACTGGTTTTTCTCATTATTGCTCGAGTTTGGCATCTGACAGTTCTTCTGTCCATTCTAACGATGCTTTGTCGAGTTCGAGTGCGAATCATTCACGAAAAGCCGAATTGTCATATATTATGAATCCAACAAATTTGGAAGAGAGTTATTTGGATCAAATTGCTCTTGCTGTGTTGAATATTAGTTTTAAACAAAATGTTTGTAAATAAAAAAACTTTCATTGCTTTTTTAGAAATGTTGATTAGATAATATTTTCTGGTGAGCTTGGTGGAATAATTACATAATATTTATTCTTATTCTTCTTGAGCAATTGTTCAATTTATGAAATGTCTTTTTTTGGTCAAACAAAGAAACAAAAAAAATGAATGACTTAATGGATCTACAAGATCATGAGAAATTGAAAATGGAATGGTTACTCAATCATAGCTCTCATTCAAGTCGTGAATGTCCAAAATATAATGATCCGAGTTCTTGGAATGTACAAGTAATTTTATTAAATTTTTTACAAACAGATTTCATAATTGTCATTCCGATCAACGAAATGATCCGACATTAAGATTATTAGAAAAATTACAACAAAAATTGAAACAAAGTGATCCAAAACCCTTTGCCATGCATTTTGAATTATTGTATACTTTTGGTTCTTATTTGGATGTCAAGAAGGATGTTCGTTTTTTCAGTCCGACAGATGTCAAGATTAGTTATGGTCATTGTGTGATTTTAATTTTCGACTCACATGTGAAATGTATGCATGTCTTTGATTTATATTCAAAGAAATATAGGACTAGTGTGTATTTTGATAGCACGATTAGTACTGCTCAGTTTTGTGTGGAAAAGAATTATGATCAGCACCATCATGATGCATTATTTGTGACGGGTTGTCATGGAACGCAAGTTCACAAGTACGATTTAAATCGCCTCTTGAATTTTAAACCTAATTTTTTAGTGCCATCCATGAGGAATCAAGCGAATGAGGATTCCTTATTATGGAATATTCAGGCAAGTTACCAAAGGGAATTACCATTCTCTATTCGACTGAATCGAAGCATTCAACGCCTAATCGAGTGGCATTTTGTGAAAATAGAGAAAATAGCGTTCTTGTTTTTAATGCAACAACGGGAATATTATTGTCAACCATTACCTTATTGAACAGTCCTGGAGTGTTTGAACCTTGGGCAATTACAAGCAACCATTGGGGAGAGTTAATTGTGTATGATATCAAACAATTCTGTATCCAACGGTTTAGAGAAGTGGATATGAAATGGATATTATTTCAATCAATTGGAATAACGAATGTAAATGCGTATCATTGCTCTGTTCGAACGCTCTGACATTCATCATGGAGATGCACACGAACGATCATGTTAAATACAAAGCGAATGATACAGTCAGGAGCTTGTTCAAAAATCAAAACGTTTGGAATGTGTTTGAATGAATTCACTGGAGAATTGTTGTTTTGTGAGTTCACCAAAGCAAAAGTACATGTGATGAGGTAGTGGAACGTGAGAAAATTTCTATCTATTAGAGAATAGCAGAGATAGAATATTACTCTTTTGTTTGATTACAATTCAAAAGTATTATGGAAATTAGTGCAAGAAACATTAAGACCATTTTACTCTTGCTTCAATAATTCACAAATTCGATCCAGATCAGGATGATTTTCAATATAGGCTTTTGTTTCCTTTTCAAATATGGAAACCAATTCGTCAGAGACCTCATCCAATCCGTAATCGCCCAACTTGGGTACATTTAAACGAAAATATTCACACAAAGTTTTTCCTTCCTTAAAGAACTCGAGTTGAGCACTCGCCATTTTGTGAATTCTTTCACTACTTAATTGTAAATTAACCACTGATAACAAGGTGTTAATTGTTTGTGAAATTCCCTTAAATACTTTTGAAATTCCCTTCTTTTTGGTCTTGGTGGTTGGACTAATATTTAAATTCACTTCCTCGTCACCATCATTTGTATCACTTTGACTTGATTTACCTGAGAGAGCACCAGTACCTAAACTAATGAATACAAACTTGTCGTGATTAGGGAATATTTGCTTAGTCTCGTAGAGAGCAATTGAAGTTGGATTATTGGCAACAACAGCTCCATCTATACATTCAGTATCTCCGATTCTTCTCGCTTTGAAATACATGGGGGCAGCAGAAGTTGCTCTCAATGCGTCTGTACAAGTGATACCCACTCCGGATAAGGTACCTCTATAAAAGGTTGGCTGTTTTTTACTCGATGAGTCTCCATTCTTAGAACCATACTCATAGGGATCGCTGTATGTTCTAAGAACACAGGCTGTTGGCTCATCGAGGTTCATCTTTGGATTTGTGGACTTGTTCATGGTTGTCACAATAAATGTCAAAGGTTTTTTGGCATGCATGTGATTCAATTCAACATCTTGGCTTAATTTGAGAGAGGAGAGCTCGAGAGGATAGCCATCATACCAGGATCTTCCTCGTAGTACCTTCATGGTTTTAACAAAGGACTTGTTTCGTGTGGTTTTCAGATCAAAAACGGTTCTTCCAATTTCAATATAGAATTCCTTTGCAATCTTCATTGGAATTCCTCGATTGATGAGGAGAGCGCAAATTCCACCTGTAGATGTTCCAGCAACAATATCAAAAATGTCACAAATTTTCTTTCCTACTCGTTCCTCAATGACTGTAAGAATTTCAATGAGAATTAGCCCTTTCATACCACCTCCATCCATTGTGAGAACCTTTACAGTTTTTCCCTTCTTTTCTTGTCGTAAATGATCAAAATTGGTAACTAAATGACCATCGACATTTTTCCACAAAACAGCTGATGGGTCGTTAAAGTCAATATCCAATGCAGGGTCCTCAAGTTTCACGTTGAAAATTCTTCTTCTTCTATTCTTTTTATCCAAAACTATTTCTTTGAGGAAGGTTGGTTCTGAGAAGTGAATTTTTGTTCCCTCTTTATGGAAGAATTTGGACTTTTGTTTGAGGGGATCATAATTTTCCTGCGCATACTTCTCAGCCCAGAACCATCGATCTAGAGTTTTCAAAATATAATAGTCCATCTTGTATTCCTCTTTAAAATTGGGGCACTGCTCGAGAAGGGAGTTGATTAAATTAAGCAAATAGGTGTGGTTCTTAATTTCTTGTTTTTGATGGAATTTTCTATACTTTTTCAATAACAATCGCTTGGAACATAATACAAGAAATTCACATCTCTCATTCGTTCCTCTTCATTCACAAGATCAAGATAGTCCAAAGGTCCCAAGGAACGATTTTTTGGCTTTTCTGCAGGTTGAATTTTTGGTGAATTGAGATCTTCTTTTGAGCCACTAGAAGAGCTCGCACTCGTCACTTGATCTTTTTGAGGGGTGTCGCGTCTGATGACTCGGCAGTAGTGCTTGCTGCATTGGTGACAGGGCTCTTGTCCGAGGATGATTTTGCGTGCTCCTTTTCTTCCTTAGCTTCTTTTTCTTCTTTTTCTTTTCGTTTCTTTTCGGCCTCTCTCCACTCTCTAAAGTGATGAACCAAGGTTTTGGGAAGCACATTCTTACTCTTAATCTTTTTTCCTGATAATTTTTCAGTAACTTTTCTGGCAAATGAGAATGAATGGCAATTGTAGTACGAGTAGGTATATTTTGTGTTAAACTCGTTGATAATTGCGCAGGTGGCATCAATGATTTTGGCCACTGGTTGTTCCGGTAATACAAATTCAATCGTTGGACAATCCACTAAATCACTCTTCTCGACAGTGAACTGATGAACGAGCGAATCTTCGAGCCACACATACATTCTGTTGAAAATTTTCACTCCAAACTTGAAATAATCCAAATCCTTTGTCCACAAATCTGAAATAATTTTCAGTGGTTCAAATTTAGTAAAGCATGCATCAATGTCTAACAAGACCAATTCGATTGTGACAGCTCGAATCTCTGTCTCGGAACTAAATCCTAGCGATGGTGTAATTGGAGCCACATTGAAACTTTGCACTCTTCTGTGAGATTTCTTTTTATCGAGAGGTGAGAAAACAGTCTTGTTTAAACCTCGAACGCTGCCACTGCGTTTCATATGAGCTCGTGACATGTCAAAGTTGGATCCATTGACTGGAAGTGACATTCCTAGTTGTGAATCTGTTGATGAGGGTGAGGTTACTGCGGAGGATCCTCCTGGTGTCATGTCTTCATTTCCGAGCATGAAACGAATATCACCTTCCGATTGGTCCAAAATGTTACCATTATTAGCGCCAGAGAATGCGAAGGAGTTTTGTTCAGAAAGGTCATGGATTGTTTGTTTTCCTCGAGATGGAGGCGTTTTCATGGACATATTGTCTTGAGAGTCATTACTACCATTCGAGCCGGTGGTTGTGGTGGTGGTGGTCGTTGAGCCAAGTTGCATGCATTGAAAGGCAGCCGTATCACTCTGTACTCTCCGATGAGGGTTTGTTGTCGAGTATTGAGCAGATGGATTCGTTGCTTGGTTTTGGGTGGCTGAGGAGGAAGGTTTCAAATTAAGGCTTAATTGTGTATGATTTTCCAATAATAGCCTGGATTGAGAGAGTGTTGAATCATTGGTATTTTGAGAAGAAGAAGGAGGAGGAGGTGGCTCTACATTAATAAGATGAGGTGGATGATTCACTTGTTCTGAATGAGTAGTAGATGCCTTATCGCATGATGATGATGCTGGCACTGTATTTACAGGATTGATATTTCCGTTATTATTAATAATAACGGGATTAACCATTGAGGTCGTATGATTCGTAGACTCACTAAGATTTGAAGAAAGCATGGCGGTTGGCTCCTTAATATTTAGATGATGATGAGCCTGTTGTTGGATTTGATCTCCAATTTCAATTAAGGCTTGAGTTGCACCACTACTGCCACTCTCTGAGTGAGGAGTTTCTGAGATTGAAGCTGCAATGGTATGATGGTGATGACCCGAAGAGAGTTCCTTGTGTTCTTGTTGTTGTTCCACTAAGGTTGTCGTTTTTTCTATTGTTGTTATGGGTGCCGACGTCGACGATGAGGATCCAACGGATGGTTGTGCCATTTTCGGTTCGTTGTTGTTCTTGATATTGGCATTGGCAGAAGAAGAAGGAGGAACCGTTGATGTCATGAAAGCCTTCTCATAAGGCGTGTAAAAGTAGTAAATTTTGCAATTATTTAAATTCTCAACACTCACAGAACTTGGAGAATTCGCTCCGGATTGATTCATGTTTCCTGTGGTGGTATTCGTGGTGAATAAAGACACACCACCGTTCATCGAATCGGAACCTATGTGTTTGCTCGGATGAGTGGTTGAACCTCCTGTGGCATCGTTGGCAGTCATACGAGTGGTAGCAGCTGCGGTTGTTGTGGTTGTGGAGGGTGATGGCTGTGGTGCCTGCAACAAAATGTTCACTGTATCTTCTTCCGTAGTCGATGAGGTAAACAATGCAGAGGCTGAAATGGCAGCACTCGAGGAATGTTTCTTATTGTAAGCATTAGAAAGGAAGAGTTTGAGTGCAGATTCCTCTTGAAAAAGTGTTCCATTCATATCGTTCAAAAAGATACCCGAATTGGGAGTTGTTGTTTTAGTAGTGGAATTGAGAAGGTGGGTCGATGATGATGATGGAATGGATGATGAAACTCCCAATGATGAAGAGGCAATTGAACTTGTTTGAGATGAAGCCAATGAATCGAGAGAAACACTTTGAGAGAGTTGTATTCCTCCTCCATTGCTTGTTGGATGATTATGAGATCCAACAGCTCCTCTCATGGTACTCACGGAACGTTGATGTCTTCGTTTCATCATCATGGCACTACTCTCTAAAGCCGTGTACTGCGTGAGATAGATGGGAGAGCAGGAAACTTTGGAACGAAGTGTCGAGAGAAGATGAATATCGTTCTTGTGAGGCAGACGAATGTTGAAGTACTTGTGTGAGGCGTTGTTGCTCATGTCTTCTTCGGCATCCTCATCATCATTCCCGTTATTGGGCTCCATAACATCTTCATCGTCATCATCAATATCGGATTGAGAGGACGAAGAAGAGCCTTCCTTTTGTTGTTGTTGTTGTTGTGATTCCTCAGAAGACATTTGAATGATACTCTCTCTCGGTGTGGTTGATTCAGAGGATGATGGAAGGAGTGTGGACTCTTCATGGTTGGTTTCAACCCTTGATGACATCATGTCCTGGCTGAGAGAAGTACCAAGTTCAGAACTAGTGGTTGTCGATGATGAGGTCTCTTGTTTGGATTCTTTCTTTTTATCTTCCAGAACATTGATGTCATGTGTATGGATAGTCGCTGTAGGATGTTGCTGACCGTTACTGTTGTTGTTGTTGGTCATTGTTTCCGTTTGTGTGAGCCGGCTCTGATGTTGTTGTGTCATGTCTTCTGCTGCGTGATTGGTGGCAGGCAGTGATGACGTACTGTCAGCACACGGTGAAGAATTACTTGTATTTGAAAGAATTGTTGTTGTATTCACTGAAGACTGTGCTGATGATGATTCAGAATGCAACATGATGATGATGTTTCTGCGCAGTTTGGTGAGTGCTTCCGACACAAAAAAACTGAGCGCTTGATTTCAGCAAATAATCTCTGGTCACCAACAAAACACGGATATTCACAGAAGCGACCGAATACTGTTTTTTTTGTGCACAACAAATTATGATAATTCTGGGGACAAGTGACTGACTAGTGTACGATTTTAAAGCATCAAAATTGTAAGAGTCGTACAAAATTCTCTCAATTTTTATCAATTGTCCTCATGTTAGTGAGTACGTACTTGTATATGACGGGTCATTGCAACAATATGAATCACGCAAGCAAAATCATGATGAGGAAATTCAAACTATTCACAAAATGGAAAATATCTAATCACCAAAGATGGTTGTTGATTTTCAGTATTGAAATTCAGGGTGTTTGCAGCACAAGATATCGAATAGGTAAGGGAAATGGCAAAATTGACCATTCCGTGAACATTCAGAAATTCTACCTGACCAATGTCTGTCAAAGTTTCTAGAGAAAGCCAAAAACAGGTACGCGTTTCAAAACATTTTTAAGCCCCCCTTTGTATGTTCACAATCTTCCTCCAAGGGAAAAAGGAAAAAATTATGTCATGATCTCAAACAATTTTTGTTGTGGCGAATATTGTAACATATACCGATGGATCCAGTTGAAATTCTTACTTTCAACACAACTAACTAGTCTGCAATCTTCCTTGCAATCCAACCCAATTCAACACTAAAAAAATGAATGAACGCATGCTCTTGTTTTTTCTGTGCAGTCTCATTCTCTTCTTTTCCATGTTTTGTTTCTATCCGAATCTGGTGAATAGGGCGAGAGAGTTATCTTCTCTGGACAGTTTATCGGAGGTAATAGAACACATTGTTTGGAAATCAAAACACCAAAATATTCACTTCTTGATGGAAATGTGTATATTTATTGGTTGTGTGATTGTGATACCGTACTTTCATATCGGAAAAACATATAGAGATGCTGTGGAAGGAAAATTAGTGGGATATGGATTATTCCCATTATTAAGTTATTGTATCGGAATGTATTTTGATTTGGGAGCAGGATTTACCGATGGAACAGTGGTGGTGCGGTCCATTGCTCAACAACAAAAACAAATTCAAGCTTTATATACTGACTCTAGGCAAGATATATTGACTTTTTCAAAGCCATTCTCTGTATTTCATGCGTGTCTGCTCACAAACATTCTAGCTTTATATTTTGAAGACAATTTTCAAATCATCAAAATTTTAATTTTCGGAAGCTACTCAGCAGCCTTGAGCATTTATTGGCCAATTTCTTCAAAGTTTACTGCTCAAATATTGAAAATATCGGATTTGAAACTGGCCATCACTACTTTTGATGTTGGAGCGCTGACAAGGTGGCTGAGCCCTCACGAATTTTTCTCGCTATTCATTGTGGTCATTATTGGGTTTTTAGTGTTTGAATCTACGTTTTCCGTGTGCAGAAAATTTTCTCCTCACTCGTTCACGTTTGGAGAGAGTATTATTATGAGCAATGTGATGAGTATATGTTTTTTGAGATTGGTTGATTTATCTCGTAATGCCCATCTTCTCGTTGCAGATGATGTTTCAATGATTGAAGCTTTCATAGAATTAATGGTTTTATCGACTGTATTTTTTGGTGTGACATGCTATCTCATATTTGTCAAATGGACTCGGCGGAGGTATAACACCATTACCAATTATGTGGCCTATGCAGTGGCATATTATTCTGTGGTGTTAACATTTGTGACTCAACGGGTGCTGTTGCCTGAGGAAACAACAAATTTAGTTCAATTTGACGTGAAGCATCCCGTTCTGTGGCTATTGGAATTCATCTTTCTCAAAGACATTTATCATGTTTACTATTTAGTGTATTGGCTTGCTTGTATTTTCATAATATTTATTGTCATGAGTTTTTCTAGAGAAATTCAGGTACCTGTAAAGCCGCCACCAAAAGTCGTCTCATCAGGTGACCCAAAGACATACCGTCATAATTCTACTGCACCTACCAATGAAAAGTCCGAGATTTCAAAATCTGTGGAAACAAAAACTCACAGAGACTTGATTCTACTTTTTGGAGACCGCATTCGAGTTCCAAAAATTATTTATCGAAAATTTTTCCACATTATGGCCGTAGTTATGTTTGTTCCTTGCACTATTCAAAAGCCACTATTTATGTGCCTCAGTTATGCTGTGGCAGTTTGCTTATTTTTACTCATTGAGAGCTTTAGAGTTCAATTCATCACTGAGCACGATAACAACCGTTTAGCAAAAGCTCTCCACTTTTACATCAAACAATTCACAGATAGCCGAGACTCGGGTACATTTATTTTAACTCATATTTATTTACTGATTGGTTGCATGATACCTACATGTGTAGAAATTTTCAGTCATGAAACTACAATCAACTATCATAGAACTCTCTCTGGCGTGTTAATTCTGGGAATTGGTGACACAATGGCTTCTATTGTTGGATTCAATTTTGGAAAAACAAAATGGAATTATCCTGCAAATACTCGTAAATCCATTGAAGGAACCATTGCCTCGTTTATTTCAGTGTGCGCCATTGCATTTCTAGTGGTTCCTACACCTTCATCATCCAAACTCGAAATTTTAAGCTACATTTTCTGCGCATTCTCTGCAAGCGTACTCGAAGCTTACACCGTTCAAATTGACAATTTAATTTTACCAATATTTTTTTACACATTATTATGTGCATTTTCGACAGTGTACACTATTAAGAGCAAATTGCTGGTACCTATTTGGAGAAGTGGGTGGTTTTAAGCAGTTAATCATTGAGATGTGCTTTCGATCTCCAACTGTTGTTTTCTGAAAGGAGTAAATGCATTGGCTTGGAACCATGGCAGAATGGAACCACAGCAAGTGATTAAGGCATGCAAACGCCACATTTCAGCTATTCAATCGACCGATTGAATTAAGGTAGACAAAGCTCTTGATGAGAATGGGCCCAGGTTCAACCTATTCGAGCACACGCATCTGAAAATGATGAATGTATTTTTCAATTTCAGGGTTGATATTCGTTGAAAATCCATCTCATTTCTAATTGGATGCATTGAGCTTTATCCACCATTCAAATACTAAAACGAGGTTCAACTTGAAATTGAGACTTCATATTCAATCTATATGCACGTGCCTTTTGTTGCGATCTGTGAGATTGTCATCACTAGACAAACGCCATAATCCTGAAAATTCACAAGTAACTGCAAGCCCTCATTATACAATGTTACAGTGCATCTCCAAGTTGAAAAACAAACAAACTCTCAATTTCTCCTGCTTCCAACTCTTCTCCAAGTGTACGCATGATTTAAATTTGAAGCGAAAGTTGGAGTTGGTTTTATTTGAAAAAAAACAAAAATGATTCCTCCGCAGCATGAGAGTACTCTCGTGCACAACTCGAATTTCAGTCAATCAAAAACGAACGGAATGAATATTAATAATTCGTCGACCACGTCGAAGAAGAGTTGGATGACCATTTTCATTTATATTCCTCTTCAAAGAAGATGATTCATGGAGAGGACGAGAAGGAAGGAACCAGCAGTGACAGTCGACTCGTCTTTATCGGTGAAGAAGGTGAAGATGACACAATAGGCTTGATCCCATCTGTGAAAGCATCACACGAAGGTCCACCACCAACACATTCATCAACGTTACACACTTCACAAGAAACCTCAAATGTGGTCTATTCATGGTTCTCTTACATGATGTTTTCACTGATATTCCCAGTCGTACGTCATGCATTTAAACACAAATCGGTGGATTTTCAACATCTGATTGAAATACCAACGAGTTGGAAATTTTGTAACACGACAGGAGAATTGGAACGAATTCTCTCTCGGAAAAAGATTGCCACCTCTCGTCACTTATTTTGGGAATTTGTGAAATTGTATTGGAAAAATTTGGCAGCGAGTATGATTTTCAGATTTATCGGATTGGCGAGTGAGGTTGGGAGAGTGTTTGCTTTGGAACGAATTCTTCGATACACGGAGGATGTATTGTCAAAGCAAGATGTGAATGTCTTTACATGGCCAGTGCTGGGATATTTGGGAGGTTTATGTCTTGTCATGTTTGCATGTAAGGGTATAAAATCGGCCATGGGATGCTATGGAGTCATGGTGTTGCAGCAAATCGGACACTTCTCTAAGAATTCACTGTTGGATGCCATCTACAAAAAGTCATTAAGGTTGAGTTCGATGGCACGGAATACTTACACTAGTGGTACTATTATGAACATTTGTACGACGGATACTTCGAGACTGACTTGGTTTTACTATCATGCTGGAATGGTATCTTCGGTTGTGTTCACACTTATTACTTGTGTGGGTCTTGTGTATTACTTTATTGGAGTTTCTGCCTTTGTTGGATTTTCAATGATTCTGTTCATCATTCCACTCTCATTTGTATTCATGAATGTTCATGAAAAGTTAGAGGAAAAAGTGGAAGCTTTCCAAGACAAGAGGAGCGAAATTATTTCACAAATGGTTTCTTGTATGCGATTTGTGAAATTGTATGCCCTCGAAAAATTATTCAGAGACAAAATTATGAACATTCGAGATGATGAAATGAAGACGTATCGAAAGCAATACATTTCTATTGGAGGTATCAACGCCATTTGGTACTTTTACATTCCATCCATTACATTTTTAGGCTTCTTACATTTTTGCTATTTTAGAGAACAAACGTTGACCATGACAATTGCTTTCACTATATTGACTATTTTGGACACTGTTCATTTTGAAATGATTTTCCTTCCAGAGAGCTTAATTGATATTTCCAAAACTTGGGCAAGCATGAACAGAATTTTGAACTTTTTAAATGCAGATGAAATTGAACCTAAACAAGTTGAAATTATGGCTAATGATGACATGGTGGCTCGTGACAATGATGAAGATGATGCTCCTATGATCTCGTTCAAGGACGCCACTATGGCTTGGGAGCAAGAGGAAGCTGTTTTGAAGAATATTAATTTGGATATTAAGAGAGGCGAATTTTGTGTTGTCATTGGTCGTGTTGGCCAAGGAAAAAGCTCCATTCTCTCTTCAATTTTGGGTGAATTGAAAACCATTTCAGGAAGTATTGAAAAACGACCAGGTTGCTCCTATTCCTATGTTTCTCAAGAATCGTGGATTAGAAATGAAACTATTCGAGACAATATCATGTTCGGAGAAGAGTATGACGAGGAAAAATATGTGAAAGTGATTCATGCATGCAACTTGGAGACTGATTTTTCACAGTTAATGGCTAGTGACTTGACAATCATTGGTGAAAAGGGAATCAACTTGTCGGGTGGACAAAAGACTAGAGTTTCCCTAGCAAGAAGTTTCTACTCGGACACTGATGTTTACATTTTGGATGATCCATTATCTGCAGTTGGTAAGTGACATGTCCTCTTTTATTCAAAAATGTATTGATTTCAACGATTTCAATTTTGAACATGATAGATGTGCATACAGCAGATCATATTTTGGAGCATGGTATCTTTGGATTATTGAAAAACAAAACAGTTGTGATGGTCTCCAATCACATCCATTTCATTCAGAAAGCTCACAAAATTGTTGTCATTGAGGGCGGATCGATCACTCAACAAGGAACCTTTGACCAATTGTACAACGATCCAACCAATGAATCTTTCAGAAATTTAATTAATGAATTTAGTAAGGTGAATGCTGAGAAGGCCGAACAAGAAAAAGAAGAAAAGGATTTGTTCGACTATGACGCCACCTCTGTGGACGAGCAGGAGTCTTCGTCAACTTTGGAGACCAGTATACTCTCTGAACAAACAGAAACGCATCCTTCTTCTACCAACAAGCATGCTCCTCACCAAGTGAACAAGTTCCAACCTCTCCCTTACGACCAAGAATTGATTTCCAAGTATAGTATCACAGACCAAGAAGAGGAAAAGTCTAAAGGACTTTCAATCAGAAGATTTTAATCTTTGCTGTTGGCTTTAGTATCCTTTCATTTGCAAGCTTGTGCCTCTTTGGAATTATTCAAGAGCTATTAGACTTGGGCCACCATTACATTCTAACCTTGTGGAGCGGTGATGAGGAATACAAATCACACTCACTGCTATTCTACTTGTTGGGCTATTCCTTAACCTCGGCCGCATTTATTGCAGTAGATAGCTTGGGTGCCTTTGTGGGATTGGTTCATTATCTCAAGACAGCCAAGATTTATCACGAACGCCTCATGACAAGTATTATCAATACGACCATTTCATTCTTTGACACCACGCCACTCGGAAGAATTGTGACACGATTTACCAAAGACACCAATGCCATTGATGGAGAGTTGAATTGGAGATTGAGAGAGATCACACCAAACCTCATGTTCTTTGTGGGTGGAATGATTTTCGTAGTGTGTGTTTCTCCATTCTCCTTGTTGGCTGTTTTGGTCTTTGGCCAATTATTTACTTTATTCAAATTTATTATAGAATTTGTTTGCGAGAATTGGAATCCATCGGTGGTATTGTGAGTAGTCCTGTAAATTCACACATTGCCGAAACTATTCAAGGGCTTCAAACCATTCGAGCTTACAACAAGCAGAAGTTTGTCTATGATTCATTTGTGAAGAAGGCAGAAAACGATCTGAGAGCTAACTACAACACAGATTGTATTCACAAGTACTTTGAGATTCGAAATGATCTGGTGTCTGCTTTGTGTATTGCTTCAATTATTCTCATTAGTGTGATAAGTTTCCCTGGTTCCATGGTTGGTATGATTGTCGTTCAGGCTTCCTCAAGCTTTGATTCATTCTATTGGATTTTGTACTTGTATGCATTGACAGAGAAGGACTTTGTGAGCGTGGAAAGAGTAGAGCAATATTCATATCTCGAAAGTGAAAAATATGAGCCAAGAAATCCACAAGTTGATACGTCTAATTGGCCACAACAAGGTGAAATTATTTTCCACAATGTTTCTATGAGATACAAATTACACACTGAAAAGAAAAATGGAAGCTCCACAGAGAAGAAGAGTAAATTGGTGTTGAAAGGAATCAATGCCCACATTAAGGCAAAAGAGCGAGTGAGCATTTGTGGTAGAACTGGTGCAGGAAAGGTTTGTTTTTTTCTTTTTTTTTGGTGATGTAATGACACACTACATTCTGATTTATTGATTAACCATTTTCATGTAAATACTTTGTTGATATACCTTTAATAGTCAAGTCTTCTTCAAGTACTATTTAGATTACAAGAAATCGAGGAAGATGACTGTGCCAATGGATTCATATCTATAGATGGTATTGATATTCGAGATATTCCTTTAACCAAATTGAGAAGCGAAATTTGCATCATTCCTCAACAACCAACCTTATTTAAGGGAACATTACGTGAAAATCTTGACAGTTATGGCCAATTTTCAGATCGAGAAATATGGCAAGCATTGGAACAAGTAAATTTGAAAGACAAAGTTCAAAATATGGAATCGAGCGAGGACGATGAAGAAGACTCTGAAGAAAATCCAAGTCTCTCAAATGTGAAACGAACTGGTTTGGATATCCTAATTTCTGAAAATGGAGAAAACATTTCAGCAGGTACTCGACAATTAATTTGTTTAGCTCGTGCTTTAATGAGAAAATGTAAAATTCTCGTTTTGGACGAAGCAACCAGCTGTTGTGACTTGGAAACGGATCAGCTTATTCAAAAAACATTACGAGAAGCATTTTCTTCACATTGTACTGTATTGTGCATTGCTCATCGATTGGAGACAATTATGGATTATGATCGAGTGATGGTCATTGATGATGGTCGAGTGGTAGAATATGACAGTCCTCAGAATTTATTGAACTCGACAACTTCCTTGTTTAGTGCCATGGTAGCTCAACATAATGAGAGAAAGTAAAAACAGAGATGGTTATGCAACCAAACTTGAATGCAAATTTGTGAACAATGTCACGATTAACAATGTTTGACATGTTGAACTAGAATACATTTTTTAAATTTGTTGCATGGTACTAAAAGAATCAGTTTCCTCGACGTCAACTGTCATCTTACCAAGAATTGTCAAAAAAATTGCCAGTTAGCGCGCCATTATTTGAAAAACCGTTGTTAAATACCCACATCATCACGCACACAAGTCCTTGGAAACAACCATAACATCAACGGCAAAGACTTTGTGTGTCTGCACTGCCATTGTTGAGCAATACTCCTCATCATCATTCCATATTTTACAATATTTTTTTTTCTTTTGGTCGAATCCTTTTGTTGTTTCGTTCTCAAGAAGACAAGACAGTTAAATTTTGTCGAATTTTAATATTTTCATCAACGTTATTCAATTTTCCAAATCGAGAGAATATATTGTTGAAGAAAATTATTACTCCTTGTTACAACAAAAGATTTGAAATTCATCACACCTACTACCGAGCTCATTGCCAACACCAATTTCGGACTAGTTTTCACTCCCAACGAATCCGATTTTCAAGGTAAGTCACTTGTCAACGACGTTATGAACATCAACCACAATACTGAAATGATTGTTATCAAATCTCAACAGTACACTCTCATCATCAATACCTTCATCATCATGAAACGGCTTTTTCGATTTAACAGCATCAACGACCAATCTCCTCCTCCTTCTTCCAACACTCCTCGAAAACGATCGACAAGTAATTTAAAAGCTTCAAATCTCTCATCGACTCTGACATCGAGTGGAACTAGTAATGGAGATCCGAGTGCATTGAGATGTCTTTTCAATATTCATATTCATGCATTGGAAGATTTCGATTTAATGAGCGCAGTGACAACACATTCATCGATGAATGGAGGTCGAAATCCTTCTTCGAGCGGAGGAGATTTACAACGTTCGAATAGTTTTGGAAGTATTAATAATAATAATGGAAATCTTTCGATCCATGGATTGGGTCACAAAATGTTTCATAATTATTCGAAAGCACCGATGGGTGACAACAAGAGAATGGAACGGATACATCGAGAAGTAACTTGTCTTCGAATAGTGCGACTCTTTCTTCGAATGGAAGTTTTAGAAATGGATTTGGAGATGGTGAAATTGAATCTGAATCGATGGCAGTTTCGAATGCATTGATGAAATTATTGCAATCGAGATATTCCATTCAATGGAAAGTGTTAAATCAAGGTGAAGAGCGTGAATCTTCGTTTTCATCACTCTTGAGAGGTGGAAACAATGTCACGATTGGTGGAACTACAGAACCTGCCAATGTCATTTCGAAATCTCTTTCGAACGATGCATTTTTCGATGATTATGAATATATCAACAATTATTGGAGTCAAACCAACAGTTCCACACAATCTCCAAGCAATAGAAAATTCATGCAAAATTCTTCTGGACAACAACAAGCATCGAGTAATTCTAGTTCTCCAACTGGATCTAGAAAGAGTATGATCTATATGGCAGATTTCAAAGATTATGAATATGACTTTGTGTGTGACTTTAAACCAAAAAAAGAAAGAACCATTTCTGAAATTGTGTCACTTCTCAATGGAAATAATTCATCAGGGGGAAGTGGTTCAGGATCTCAAGAAGATCCATTCCTTCCTTTCTATGTTAAAAATATACAATCCTTGCTTGAAGATAAACCCATTATATTGGAAATTAGAGAGCTCAAGAGCAGTGGAAGTGGTCGAGTGACAAGTGACAAACGTAGCGGATTAATTCGATTGAATCTTTCAGATTTCACAATTCCTCCACACATGATTTACCATGGCATTGGTTCCATGACCAAAACCATTCTCGTTCCAGTGGTTCTCTCTACCGATTCTCCACAACATTCCAATCTCGTCTTGACTGCCAAATTAAGAATGCAAATCAGTTCCATGTGGTTGACAGATACCTTAATTTCAAAGGAAAGACAAAAACCACAAGCTCCAAAATATGACACATATTTCTTACTCGATGAGAATGAGTCATATATTGTTCCAGATTCACTTGTCAATTCCAGAAAAACAAATCAACCATCCTCTCCTCCTGTCCCCATTCTCAAAACCTCTCGAAGTAATGGTCAACTAAACGGAAGTCTGACAAGTCGATCCGAAACTTCCAATAACGAAATTGGAATTACGAACACACCTCCCGATTCTCCTCCTCGAAAATCAAGCAATTCCTCAACCGTGACCGTTCCTCCCTTAATGGTGAAAAAATTTTCTTCCAACAATAATCTTTCATCGTCACAAAATTCAAATGGAGGAGTCTCAAGTCTTGGAAGTAATAATGGAAATTCGTATCATCATCCAACAAATTTTCTCTATTCTCCGACGAAACCTTTCACAGAAAATGGCTTTGCCGTATCCATGCAAGTCGAACGATTGGATTCACACATGAGAGAAGTTGAGGATCTTTTGAAACGACAATATCATTCGATGAGAGATCACGTCGATCATGTACAAAAAGATATTGATGATTTATTTTCAATTTTGGAAATTATTGAAGCTGAAAAACAAGGTTATTGTAAAATGTCCATTCCAGAATTTGGTTTAAGTCAAACACATCCAAGTAGTAGCAACAGTAATATTAGCAGTGGTAACCTTTCCAATCAATTATTACCAGGAGGCAACTTTGATATTGAAGACAAGTTGCAATATTTTGTGTTTTGTGACCTTCAAGGATGCAATCAAATGTGGACTTTACCTCATGAGGACATTTCAAAAAGCGTCACCATGTATTACGAAGTGTTAAGAAAATGTGTGAAAGATAATATGGGAGTGGACATGACACCTGCGGTCAAACACGATGAATTTCATAACATTGTCAGCGATTCTGTTGTGTGTGCCTTTGAGACTGCCAAACAAGCTCTCAAATTCACACTTCTCGTTCACACTAAATTAATGGAAGCCGATTGGCCAGATTCGCTTTTAACACTCGATGGTATTTGCACCTATCAAAAGAATAACATCAAATTACTGTATCGAGGACTTCGATGTCGAATGGGAGTGGTGACACGTTCGAAAAAATTCAAAGACAGCACACTGCAAGCTATTAAGAGAGCAACCATGATTGCTCAATATGCACAAGGAGGTCAAACACTCGTAGAGAGTCAAGTCATGGACAATTTATCACTGGAACAAAAGAATCAATCGACTCTTTCTCCAACATTTAATGAAAATGGTAATACTGGTGGATATGGAAATAACAACACGATCGAATCATTGGTGCAACGATTGGATAATTGTAACATTGAAGGTGTCACAACACCTCGTTCGAGCACGACGCTTTTTTTGGTCATCCCAAGTCAACTAAAAGAACGAAGATTTAAAGAGTTAGTCAAACGTGTCAATTCCAATTCGAATGTGACTCAACAAGATGAATTCTCTCCTCCAATTCTCGACGCGAAAGAACTTCCATTGAATGAATCATGCATGGTCAACGTGCTTCACACTCGACTTTCACAAATGAAACAAAAATACAAATCAGACATTGAGGATCGATTGAAGGAAATTGATCAAACCATATTTAAATTGAGTTCATTGGTTGAGAGTTACAAAATTTGGCATCGACACAAAACGAAAAGGATTTATTCCAAATTGTTGAAAAACAAATGAATTTGAATTTTAAAGACCTTTCGGATGAAATTTCGGATTTGAAAGATATTCACACGACGAATTTGAGGACAAAAATTAAGAGTTTTGAAACGGAACTTTTGAAATTGAGTATGCAATTGTTGGATATTCATCAACATCATCATGTAAATACTTCTGTCATGCATCATTCCACATCCACGACATTTGACAATCATGACATTTCTCCCAATGATCACAACAGTCCTAGCCTTTTGAAACGACATGAACCTCACTCACGAATGTATTCATCCTTTAGAGAAAAACCAGTAACAGCTGCTGTTAGCACTGAAGATTTCATGCCTTCTGCAGAGTTGGACGAAGATGTGACGAGTGACAAGGCCTCTCCATCTCCACCTTTGAAGACGGCCATGTCTATGCATGATTTAAGATCACCTCGAGCAAAATTGAATCAATACTTGTTGGAAATGTTGAATCATAACAATTCAATCAAACAAAAAATTGAACAATTGAAACAATCTTCACCCCCAACACTGACGAATAATTATTAAATCAGGAAACGTATTTTAAATATATGTTTTCATTTAGCAACAATTTCAGAAGTGTTTTGTTGGCATCAATTTCATCTTCAATCCTTGAAAAATTTTTCTGGGCTTAATGCAAATTGCACTTTAATAGTCAAATTTTACAAAGTCTTCTTTTCAATCAACTCAATCTTGTATCCATTTGGATCTTCGACAAAAGCAATCACAGTAGTTCCATGTTTCATTGGACCTGGTTCACGGGTGACTTTTCCTCCCTGGTTTCTAATTTGTTCCACAGTTGCATAAATATCTTCAACACCAATGGCAATGTGTCCAAAACCTGTTCCCATTTCATAAGACTCTACGCCATAGTTATAAGTCTGTGTTATGAAATAATAGTAAGGCAGAAAAGAAAGTGCGTTTGAATTTTTCCACCATTGCGGACGGAATAAATCATCAAATGATATTGCAACAATTATTATTAAAATTTGATAATAATAATATTTTCATCATTGTGAGTTCATAAATTCCATGAATCATCATCATTAGTATATTTTCAAAATCATGATGGTTAAATCCATTCATCCAACTATTCCTTCTCACCTACCAATTCAATTTCAAAATCTTCATGTTCATAACCAACAAAAACAAGAGTAAATTTTCCTTCAGGATAATCACTTCTTCTCTTTTCTTTCATTCCCAAAACATTGCAATAAAAGTTGAGTGATTTTTCGAGATCTCCGACTCGAATCATGGTATGCAAGACGGTGGCTGGCATTTTTTTTTTTTGTAATTTTCAACAAAAAAAATGATGAAAACACTCTTTGGAAACACAATGATTCGGAAAGTGCCAATCATCATGGGTGTAAATTTGAATAGCCATGTATTGACATCATTGGCAGTTAGAAGTGCATTATTATTTACAGGAAAGAATCAATTTTGTGGTTATTCTTCGGATGCTAAAAAAACGCTTCGGGATTATGAGCCATTGACGTTGAAAGAGCCTCCACTGATGCAACCATCATCATCGGTAGTGGATCATCATGAGGTCAAAGAAGGCACTATTTTTTCATCAGCAGCCAAAGCAACAGACTCCATCATCATCGGGATGGCCTTGATAAATTCTTTTCTTTCCATTTTGATCCATCGGTAGTGAAAATTCTCCAAGAATGGAACATTACACATCCATCCAGCATTCAAGAATTAGCAATTTCTCAATTATTGAAAAAAACAAACAAAAAGAAACATTTTTGTATTGGAGCTCAAACAGGTACTGGAAAAACTCTTTCCTACTTGTTACCAATTTTAACCAAGATGAAACATTTGGAGAAATTGGGTCTTGAAAGACAAACTCAAAGACCCAAAGTACTCATTATTGCTCCTACTCGTGAATTGGCAAGTCAAATTTTCAAAACTACAAAATATTTGAGTCATTCTATGAAATTTAGAAGTGTTTTACTGAGGAGTGATCTTTCAAAATCGAGAATGAAACGAGATTTACATTCCAATGTTGACGTTGTTGTAGCGACTCCGACTATTTTCAACGAATTGCATTCTGAAGGTCATGTCTTCTTCTCAGACGTTCGATATGTTGTGTTGGATGAAGCCGATACGTTATGTGGAAAAGATTTTTTACAGGAATTGGAAAAGATTGTGGTTCCATGTTTGCAACGAGGTAAACATGTGAATGAATTTGTGCAATTTGGATTTGTTTTTGCAACCTATAATGCGAATATTGAGCGATTTATTAATCACTATTTCTCTCAAGATGCTTCTGCATTTCATTTAAATGATGACGCAAACAAGAAAAATACGATTGACACTATTACGAAAGATAACACGGAACAATCCAGCAAATTGGAAAAAAGCGAACATACATCCTCTACGCAACCAAACTCATCACCTCCATCCAATATGCTCTATATTATCGACAAGGATATGCACAAGCCAACATTGCACATTCAACACAAATTTATCGCCATGACTGATAATAAGGACAAGTTGGAGTACCTTTTGGAACGAGTTTTGAAATTGAAAAATCATATCAAGTTAACCAAGAGTAGTGAAACTAGTGTGGACAAGAAATCGAGAAACCCAAACTCAATGCTTCGTTAACAAGTATCAAAAATTCAGCCCTCGTTCAAAGTCTTGGTTTAGAACAAACAACGAACAACAATGACGATGAACAGATATCTATGGAGGAATCCTCAAATGCAGAATTGTTGGAGATGCCATCATCCAGTCATGCTTCATCTTGTGCTCCTGAACGAGTCTTAATCTTTTGCAACACTGTGAAAAGTTGTCGTGCCGTCCATCATACCCTCACCCAACATGGTCTGGAAGCAAGTTGTTTCCACGGAGACATGCCTCATGAACGACAATCTGAAGAATTTGATTCATTCAGCTCTGGTCGTCTAAGCATTATGGTTGCAACAGATATTGCCTCTCGAGGTTTGGATATTTTGAATCCTGTCGATCATGTAGTCATGTTTGATTTTCCACTCAATTCCATTGATTACATGCATCGAGCAGGACGAACTGGAAGAATGAAAGCACAAGGAAAAGTCACAAGTCTTTTGAATCGTAAAAAAGAAGCAGCGCTTGCCAAAGTCATTGAATATTCCATCGTTACCAAACAACCCCTGACCAATGTCAATGTTGAAAATGCAATTGACATGTATGAAGAGATGAAATATGAGCATCATAAGAAGAAGCAAATCCAAAAGTATGGAGAGGAATCAAAGAAGAGGAGAGGAAAATTCGGTGGCACAACGACCTCTTCAAGAACAACGAGTCGCTCCAAGATTGGGAAAATTTCAATTGCCAACCCCACGAAATTTACCAAACAAGCAGCCAAGCTCAACAAGTGAAGTTTCTAAAACATTCGAATTCCATTTTATGATTTGACAATGTTCTTGGAACAAGTCACACCAGTTACAAACGAACGTCACTTCCAAAGGTTGTCATACTATTCAATGATTCCCATTGCTGGTACTCGGTCGTATCACATAATCGACTAAATGTGTCCATAATATTCTGTGTGACATCATTAAACAATGGCTCAATAGTTTCAAAACCCAAAAAGCTCACACTGTTTTGGTTGGATGAAGGTGACAATTCGACATCATCCATGCCCACCAAATGATTGGCATTGGGTTCCATATCTTCATCGAACATGGAAGAAGTAGAACCCAATTTTCTAAAACTATTCTTAAAACCTGAACCGAATGATTTGGGTGGAGTTGGAGTGTAGGCACTTCCAATGGTAGGTCTTCTTTCAACGGAAGCGCTTGGTGGTGTCTTTGAGTCGACGTCCACATTGTCGAATGATCGATATGGAGTGGTAGGTGTACCTTGATCGAGTGAGTTGTGATTACCATCGAATGTGTTGTATCGAAGAGGATCCTCGAGGGAAGGAACAAATTTCATGGCCGTTTGTGATAAATCTTTGGATTGATGAGAGAGGAGAACGTTGTGAGCTTCCAATGTTTCACGAATGGCTTTTTTGGTGTTAAATGAAACATTGACTTCGTAGGGTGCATAATTTTTGATGTAATTTTCATAAATGAAGAGAAGCTCATTAAGGGAATATTTTTTCCTTTTTTTGATTTGAAGTAATTTCTTTTGAACATTAAATTTGAAAATAAAATTGTGGTAAGATTTTGGATGTGAACAATTTCAACAAAAATTTTTACCTCCTACTTACCGTGTAGAGATATAAATTTTCTGAAGAAAATTCCTTCTTGCAATAATCTTGTGAAAAATAAAAATAAAAAATTTTGTTTTTCAATAAATTCAATAAATTGACAATTTCCCATAAAACAACAACATACCCTCTAAGAGTGAATAAAAATCATCATTATTCATCAATCTTTCTAAATGATCATGTTTGTCAGAATTGGAAGAAGTACCTGCACCTGAAGTGTCAGAAATTGCCGACATGACACTGGATCTTCGTCTACGTCCCACGGCACTGGCCAATGTTCTTTTACATTTTCTGTACAATAACACTAGAATGGAGAAGCCATACGACCAAGTTAAGGATCCAGTGACTCCCATTAAGGTAAATCCAATTGCCTTAAATGGTGGAATTAAAAAATCAAAAAAAAATTGTAAAATTCGTTTCAACAAAAAATAAATAACTCTTACCTGACTTGTAAAAGCAGCCACATTGTACACATAATAATCACTCAATGAAGCCCACAGTATTGAAATCAATTCCAAAGAGCACAACATTAATTCCATTCGATACAATAACGGATCATCAAACACTAAAAACGAAACAAATCCTCTCTTTCTCAATCTCTTTCGATTAATAATAGCATCAAAGATGAAACACAACACCATAAATAAAGTCACTACAAAATACAGAATGAGTAAAATTCCATTTCGAATGACATAATTGGAAGGTGAAAAATACTGAGCTATAAAAAAGGAAGGAGGTAAAATGCAAACGACCATGATCCAAATGGTGACAAAAACAGGACGAGAGGAGACAATTCTGTGAATTCGAATTTTTCTTGCTGAAATATCCAAGTTCGATTGCGCATTGTTAGTCATATTCGAAGCATAGGATCCAAATCGTCCTTGATCTTGTTGTCTCTTACTCTTTTTCATAATCTTGAATAAATTTCGAACATAAAAGTATCGAATAATATTCATGGCATGTGTCACAATGACGACACAAATACAAAAGCTGGCCAATCCATAAGCTACATGTTCTGGAAAGGTCACAAATCGACAAAAAACAATTGCCGAGAATATTAAAAATCCTGTAAAACATATTGGAGTCACATAGGGAGCAATAAATCGATTTCGAATAATGAGTTCGGTACAAACAAATGGAATTCCTAAAATGCATAAAACATTGACAGCTGCTCCAATAATAAACGGAATGAAACCACAATAGAGTCTATAATATAAATAACCTCTTATACAGGAGAGAGGATATGGAAAGACAAAATCTTCACAAAATTGAGGAATAACGGATTGATATTGAAGAGCAGTGACGTTCAGTCCAACAGTTGTTGAAAATTGACACTTGTGAGTTGAATTTCCAACCATGTAGCATCCATCTTGATAGATTTGATTGATATACGAAGTGTTCACAAACTTTTCAATAAATGTTTTTCGAAACGTGGAATTCTTATTTGCCAATAATGGAAAATCATACGAAAAAATGTTCATAGAAGTGTCCAGTTGAGAGCTATCAATGACACCAAATCCATTTTTAGAAGGCCAAATCATGGAATTGACATTATCAATCATGTAATCGTAAATTACCCATTTTTCAAAGCATTCACTTGGATTTTCTCGACAATATGCATACATTTCAATTTGTGAAATTAAAAATCTCTTAATAATGGATTCAAATTTTTGCGAGTCCATGGTTGGATGATTTCGAACAAGAATTCCATATCTAAATATTTCTTGTTGTGCATGTGTTGGTGTCAATGGATTGATTTCCGATGTATTATAATTTGAAATTGAGAATAGTGTTGGAATGATATTAAATTCTCTTGGATAATAGAGAGAAGTTGGAGTTTTTCGAACTCCTGTAAAAATGTACATGTCATTCACAAAATATGCATCAATAGAATCGTCAAGAACTTTCAAATACATGTCATCAATGGTAGAGACGATTTTCAATTTCACATCTCTCGTCAATGACATGCCATTTCTCGATAATTCAAAATTCAAATGTGAAACATGTTCCTCACACACAGCAATGGTCCGATCTTTCAATTGCAAATAATTGGTAATATTCTTTTCTTTCCTACTCATTAAAAAGAGATCACTCTTTCTTGTCAATTGTGCAATTAATTGAAAATTCAATGGTTTGTTTGAATGGGATGGATCATTCCATAATGATGTTGCATTAAAAATTTGAAACATGGTAAATTCATCAACAATGTGAAAATTCACGACTTGATCATCCAAACGATTTTCAAAATAATCGTTCAAAGTCCATCTCGAAGAAGACCAACTCGATGTCAATCTCATCTCACTTTCGATCAGACATGACTTTTCGAAAAATTCACTCGATGATCGAGTGTTAAAATCCGATTTGGACCAATACAGAAAAGGAATGGGAACAGTCAGAGAAATTGGATGCAAGGACGTACATGGTGTGGTAGTAGTAGAGTTATAATTATTATTATTATTTGTTTGAGAAGAGACAGTCGGAGGTACGGAAATTCGGAATGAAATGAAATGTCGAAGAAGAAAATGATGCTGAATGAAAGGAAAGTAAAGGTTTGGCAGTGACAAATTGCAAGAGACCCACCACTGGTTCATGATGAACAAGTATATTCGTTGTTGTTGTTGTTGTTATGGAATGAGCAAGGAAAAACAAGAGGAAGAAAAGACAACCTTTGTGGAAAAGAAACCAAGTTATTGAAACGTATGTTCTTGATTTCAAAGACAAAATTTGTTGTTGTTCTGATGATGGAATGGTAGTGATGGTTGTGGTTGGGGTTGGGGTGGTAGTGGTGCTCCACGTGGAAACATTTTGTTGTTGTGAGTGAAAAAATCATTGTTTTGATTGCTCACATGCCATCTCCGTTTTAGGAATGAGACAAGGTCATCATGAAAATGACAATAAACGTTCGAACGGATTATAACTGTGAAGTAGGACCTTTTCTTGTAAGGCATTGAAGAAGCAATTAAAAACCCTTGTTATCGGAGTTTTTTAATTGGCTATGGAAATGTTTTCGTTAGGAGTGTTTGAGGTAGACACTCTTGTGATTTCTGTGGCTACGGTGGTCGTTCAAGTGCGTGACATTTCAAGGTTAGTGGTATCTCAAAAAACGTTGTCATGGAACATTTACAAGGTACCGAGTGGGGTGGTGAGTTGGGCATGTCGCAAATCACTTCTACAAAATCATGTCGTTTTGAATACTTCTAGCTCCTGCAATTAAGGCAATGTTTTGATATTTCTCGTTGTAGTGTTCTTGTAACACTGTAAACACCATACAAGCGCCTCCTGTGAAGCTACTTAAAGCATCCCGACTCAACCATATATTTAAATCATACACATGTTGATCAGCCGTGGATGGGATACTTTTCTTGTCTCTCAACGTTCTAAAAGATATTCATACAATTCAATGATCATTGGGTAAATGTAGTGATACAAATTGTTATCATTTTCGTACGAAGCAGTGGTGCTTTTCTCAAATACAGAAAGTAAGGTAAATAGCACCACTTGTAAATCAAATGTGGGAATCAATTCTCTCTGTTTTAATTTATGAAACACCTTGTCGTACAATTCTTGGACGTTGTATGGCCTCCATGTTTCGTTTTTCTCTAAAACCATCTCGATGGCACATTTTAGATACCTAAAGTCTCGAGAAAACGATGCAAATTTTGAAACCAGACCGGGCCAAGAAGAATGATTTTGAGCGAGAGCTTTACGTAGCTCCGTAAAAAAGGTATAGGTCAGGAAATCGTTGTCCTTCATGTTAACGGAAATGATGTGATGCGTGAGGCCATTTTCATCATTATTCTCACTCTCCTCATCTTCGGGTTGTTCCTCATTAGCGTCTTCTGCATCTTCTTCCTCATCCTCTTCATCATTTTCATAGTCTTCTTCATCATTTTCATCATAGTCTTCATTATCATTAATTTCGTCTTCCTCATCCTCTTCGTCCTCCGTAGTGCTTGTTGCTGATGATGCTCGGCTTGTTCATGATGTATTCCCGTTTCAGGTTCAAAACTTTTCAAAAGCGAAGACATTGCCCATGACGCATTCAAACCTAAAATCCAGTCCATAATAAATTTATTCTTCTTTTCAATTTCAAGTTGCTCAGCATCATCACGATTTACAACAACACTAGGAGGGTGTTGTTCTGAAGCCATTTTTTCAATAACTTTTTGAATTTCATCCGTAATTAGGAATTATCAATTAAGGTCTCACTGCTTGGTTGTGTCCGTTGTGTTCGTCAAGTTTATTCTTCGGATCATTGCTTATTCAAAAATACTACTACCAAGATGGTCCTTCCATCTACAGCATCCATCGTCAACCTTATTCTTACTTGAAAAACTCCCTGAAATAAGGTCCAACGGGTGGCATTTGAGTTTGAATGTGCAATTTCAACTTCATTCCAATAGAACTTTCAACTACCACCTTGAAACTTCCCAACCTCGTTGTATGACTAGGTTTTGTTGTTGGAGGAATTCCAAAGGTTTTTTTTCTTTAAAAAAATCATCTAACTACTCTTTGTGTCATCTTTGATCTCGTCGGAGAACATTTAATAATTTTTCAATTTTCCAATTCATCAACGAGTAAGAGTTTATTAGCAATCATGACCCGAAGAAGACTTCCTGGAGTGAGAAGATCATTTGTAAAAAAGGAAGTGGTCGATCAACCAATAGTTGAAAATTCTCATCATCAGGCCAATGAAGAAAAGGAACAGCAACAAACACAACAGCCTCTGGTTAAGAAAGAAATCCCTAAGAAAACATCATCAACAACCACTCCTTCGTCCAATAATAAGGCATCCAAGAACAACAAGGAACCGATAACAACTGCAAAGGCTTCCTCATCCTTGGAATCTCTTCTCCAACAACAACACTCGGAAATCATCTCTCATATTAATTTTGCAATGAATGCTTATGGCTCTTCTTTGAATACCATGAAAGAGCAATTTATGAACATGCTGAATACATGGAATGAATCACTTGAAACTTTTAGAAAATCCATGATTTCATTGGAAAGGGAGAGAATGAAAAGTTTGGAATTGATCATGAAACACTCTCATCAAATTATTCCGATGGCAACAACAGAACCAGCCACACCATCAGTATCGGGAAAGAAGCGCACGGATGATCAACCACAACAACAGGCTTCTACGGCCTCCAATGCAACCACCTCACAAACCACTCAAAGTAAGGCAAAGCAAACTCCGTCAAAGGCGAAGGCATCACAAACCTCCTCACAGAATCATGTCACCAAAGATGCTTCTACAATCACAACTGCCACAACAACCACTACTAGTACAACACAAACAATCTCCCCTGCTGTTAACAATGACGTCAGTAAGAATGCAACAACTACTACTCAAACTAAGAATGCAAAAGCTAAGACTAACGGTGGCGCTACCACAACAGCCTCCACCACTACTAGTACCACCCCTACTCCCTCTTTAGGATCCCCTAAAGAAATTGTCATTCCTTCAACAAAACTCTTTTCACAGTCACACACTCAAGACAAGAATCTCCGAGTTGTATATTTGAGAGGAGATTCTTCAGAGTCTATTAAGCAAGCAGGAAAGATATTCCAAAAACTCTCTTTGCAAAATCAAGTCTATGCCTTAAATATTTTGTGGAATGTGAAGGAAGAGAAAGCAACCACCCGTAAAGATAATGACACAACTCCAATTGTTCAAATGAGATATATCGTGTTGTGTGACGCTAGTGCCATCTACTTGTACAAGGTTGCAAGTCGAGCTGAAATGCAACAGAACAACATTCAACATCCAATACCTTTGAGTTTGAACCAATTATTAACCAACAAGAAATGCTTAAAGGTTGGAAACGACATTCTCGAGAAGGTCACATTTTTGTATCATAATCTAGATGAGCTCTATATCAAGCCTGTTGCTGACGTTGGTGAATTGCCATCTAAGAAACCATGCACAACCTTTTTGGAATTATTGAGCACAGAATTGGAAGTGTCAACACAAACCTTAACGAAAGAATTGAAATGGAACGATTTTTCTGTGGACTATTCTCAAGATTTAAGCGATGCTCAAGCAATCACAGAAGCCAAAAAGGTATGGCTCCAATACAAGATTTTTGAAAATTCTTTCGAGGCCAAGAAACAAGACGGAGAAAATTTACATGCCTATGCTTGTCGAGTTTTGAATGTGAAAGTATAAATTGGTAAATATCTCGTTCTTTAAATGAATAAACGTGGTGAAAAGATGATCATGTATTCTTGTGCTGTGAACGCCTTTAAATCAACAATTTCAACTTGATACAAACATACTTTTTTTGGGAGTCTGATCTCAATAACTACTTATCAAAAAAACATTGTTCTTTGGTGTGGATGGGTTAATTTGTTGGTTTATTGTAGTTGTGGTTTTGGTTTGGGTTGTTGTTTGGGTTTTGGGCAGGTTTGGTCAATTAAACAAAATATGTTTGTATGCCATTATGTGTAATCCCTTTTGCTTTGTTTTGTCGAATGTATCTGAGCATAACAACAATGATTAAGGAGTTGATGATGATATTGACTTGTTGAGTTGGTAGTAAATTGTGGCTTTTGTTCTTTAAGTGCTGAGCAATTTAAAATCGTTTTCATATAACAAGACCTCCAAAACAAACAAGGTTATTAATAAAGCGTCATCAGGACTGTGTTTCAGTGATGGTTTATGAAGAATTTGCTGTAATTGTTCATTTGGCTTCAACGGTATGCATTCATGTTCATAACCATTCATTCATGTTTGCAATGAACAAAATGTGTAGCCGATGATTGCGAGATGAATCGTTTCCGTCATTCACTCTCAGATTTTTATTTCTTTCTACAAACAACTCCCCAATTATCCTTTTCAAAATACAAGTTTTTCACAAATTCAAACTCGAATACAGTACGTTGCTCTCCAGAATTCTCATCAACCATAACAGAAGCATCTTGAACGAGTTGTTCCAATTCTCCCTTTTTGAATAAATGATAATATCGCTTGTAGACTTTCTCACCTTCACTACCTTGTGTCACATTTGGTACAATATTCGTGCTGGAGGAGGTTTGTGGTTGCTGTTCTGTATGAGATTCTTTCTTTGTGGTCGAATCAAATTGTTTCTGTAAATGCCATGGAACAAACACATCTTGTTGTGCATATCGATAGGATGATGACTCTTCAGAACTAGTAGTAGCAGTCGTTGCACTGGACTTTTTTTTAGGTGACTGTTGTTCAAATGCCCAAACATATATCAACACATCTCCACCTTTCCTACAAATTCGAAATAATTCTCGAATAGCTTGCATTCTTCGCTCTGGAGTTGCAAAATGATGAATCACAGCGACACTAATCACTACATCAAAATATTCTCCTCGAAATGGTAATTGTGTGTTATTGGCGACTAGAACTTCTAAATCACGATCTCTACAAATTTCTGCCAATCCCAAACTAATGTCAGTTCCAATGAAACAATTACTGGTAGATGTTTTACTGAGTGAATGACCATTATAATATTGAATAGTCTCTTTCCATGATTGCATGTATTTTCCTGAGCGCATAATCGAAATTAGATATTTCATATTATTCAATTTTTTTTACAAATTAATATATTAATTAAATATCGATATTCATCATTCATCAGAAATTCATAAATGGAATAATCATTCTCATAAAAATCAAAACAATGAATACCCTACCATTTCCACATCCGACATCGGCAAATAAACAATTCTTTTTCCCCAAAATAAATTCATTAATAAACGGCCATCTTGAATATCTAGTATTAGAGAAATGTGGTGCAATTTCATTGTACACATTGGTTACAAATTGTGTTTCAAATTGATGTAATTGCAAAGAATCTCCGTGAGCTTCGGAAATGAATGGTTTTGCATCTAATTCCTTGTCCAGCACGGTGTTGGTACTCGTGTGGGAACTGCTGCTTGATGGTTCTTCAGACGATGATGAAATCATTTTTTTTTCTGTATTTTCAAAAATATTAATTAATGAAAACAATTATTTGGAGAACAGCTTTTCAAAGCTTGAATAATAACTCAATATGAGTCCTTCATTAAATTGGTTCAAGTAAAGAGGTTCATTCAAGAGTTGAAAAAAGGAAATCATGAGCATCTCGATCACAAAAAAATTTTGACACTTGTCACTTGCAAATTGTTGTTGTTATGAATGACCCACACGAACAACAATCACTCGTCGTCACCACATCATCCCAACAGCAAAACCATTCGATTTCTCTTATCGGGTGGTTCTGGAACAAATTCTTCGACTCATTCGAATACTCGTCGTGGTGATGCGAAACTTCACTTCTCGGACAACAACAACATTCCAACACAAATTCATCATCAAATTCTCAACAAATGACAACAACAACAACACCAACTTCTTCATTAAATTCATCCGTGATCACATCGACTTCACTCATGAATAATTCTTCTTTAAATATTCAAAACTCGACAACAACAACAACAACAACAAATAATCGAGTCGGATTGTCTTTGAATTCATCAACACCGACTTCAACGACAGTGTCCAATCCGTCATTACCCACTCCGTCATCATCGACCAATACTCGAAAATTTTCTCTGAATCGAGACGTGTTTATCAATTCTTCTTCAAATTCTTATAATCATGTTTCATCAACAACGACAGCACATCAACCACAAGCAAGTCATTCATTTTCTTGGAATTTTGCAGATCCAGATCGAAGAAGGAGTAGTAGTGGCAGTAGTGGTTATGGTCATTCTTCGGAATCTTCTCCAACAACCACAACAACAACAACAACAGCGAATAACACAAATTCCATTTTGTATTTAAATTTGGATGAAAAAATTCCACAACCAACATCATCCACTGCTGTGACGGAACACCAACAGAGACCTATTAATCATCAACGAAATCGAAATAAGGGAAGTAATGGAATTTCCGAATATTCTTTCACAGTCGATGATTTGTTACAGACCTCTCCGACGACACTCAATTCGACGAGTCATCCAACTCATTCACATAGTAATAGTTTTGGATCGGTTGGTAGTAGTGGCAGCACGATCACAGTGGTGGGAGTTTCTAATGCTGCTTCGACACCACCGTATGGTTGTGACACTCTATTGACAGATGACGTTCCATTGACAGAATTTATTAATTTAGATTTGACTTCGATATTACCACATCAGAAATTACTTCGATTCTTCCTTCGAAACAATCAAAGTTATTTTACCAATGCGTCACAAATGGGTAAACATAGTCCTGTCATTGCTCAAGAAATGTCCTTTCAAACCAACGATTTATTTGGAAATTTAAATGTTGGAGGTGACTATTATTCAGACATTACCATTCGATTTATTCCATCCGGACGAGAAATTCATGCTCACAAATTCATGCTCTCCATGTACAGTCCCGTTCTTGCTGCCATGTTTAATTCTCAATGGAAAGATTCTCAACAAAATGTTATTGAAATTGTAACAGAATTATCAGGTCTAAATGGAAATGGATCTTATGAAGATATTGATGACGAGCAATTATTTGTGGAAATGATTTTATGCATGTACAGCGGACAAGTATATCAAATTGAACCTCATTTAATTGTTCCCTTATTGGAAATTTCTGACAAGTATCAATTTACAGAATTGTGTCGAGCATGTGAAGAGTATTTACGAGTTCATTTGAATGAACATAATTGTATTTCATTGCTCTACTTGTCAGGAGGAGGAGGTTTCATTGGAAACACAACAAGTACTTCACCCAATACAAATGTGAATAACAACAATGGAAGCACTGTGATCGTTAGTGGTCACTTGTTAAACCCTCCGCCAACAACAGCAACAACCACAGACACGACTTGCTTTAATACCGAAATGACTAACCATCCATGTGAAAACATAATTTCCAATCAAGTGTCTACGAGTGGAAACAATTCCACCCATTCTCTTCTACATCATACAAGTGGGAATCATTTGACAACGAGTACTAACCAATTCACAAAGAAAGTGAACACAATCGGAAAATTCGAGAGACTCAGAGAACGAGCTCTCACCTACATTGACACACATTTTGAAAAAGTTTCAAAAACAAAATCTTTTTTATTCCTCGATTTGGAAACACTCATTTTCCTCTTAGGAAGGGGAGAACTACGTGTGGACAGTGAGGATGTGATTTTAGATGCCATTTTAAGATGGTGTGAAGGAGATTTAGAGCAACGAAGAGATGTTTTATTTACAACTTTATTGGAACAAGTTCGATTGTATCACTTGTCACCCAATCGTTTGGCTCATCTCGGAGAAGTTTTGGAAAAGTTTACAAAACCTATCAACAATAGTACCTCAACAATGACAGATCCTTCCATTGCTTTGTCATTGGACAGCAGCAGCAACAATAATTCTCAACAACAACAACAGCTGGAAACGATGACTTTTACAAGAAACTCTTTGATTGATCCAACCATCATGAATTGGATGAATCGAATCATTCATGCCATGTCCTTTCAATTGTCACAAACTTTGGGATTTCAATTATCTTTGAAAATGCAACAAAAAATTTCCATCGAATCTCCACCTCGAAAGAGAGCCACTCAAGACATTACACGAATTTCATCACTCCTCTCTCAGGAACAATTTTTACAAATTCTCGAATGGATCAATGAACAAGGAAAAATCGGAAAAGATCTCTCCGAACGAGAATGGCTTGTTTTATATCGTGGTTCTAAAGATGGATTCAATGGAAAAGCATTTCATCAAAAATGTGATGGAAAAGGTCCAACATTTACTGTGATCAAAACGGATAAGGGATTCATGTTTGGAGGTTTCACATGTAAAAGTTGGCATAGTGGAAATACTGATGAGAGTGACGAGAATGCATTTCTATTTTCACTCTATAATCCATATTTGAACAACAAGATGACTCGATTCAAGATTAAGAGTGGTATGAGTGCAGCGATTGGATGTTATTCGAATTTTGGAGTTATTTTTGGAGGTGGACGTGATTTGATTATTTATGCAGATTGTAATATTAACAATTCGAGTCATTGCGGTAGGTTTTTGAATATCTTTCAATTGGTGTTCAACGAAAAACGTCCTTTATAATTTTTTTTATGCGTGAAATTTTGTCACAAATGTTTTCAGAATTCTTTGGTCACACGTATCAATTACCAAATTTATCTGGAATGTACTATGGTTCATTGAAGAGTAAGACATTTTTCAATGGAACTGAACAATTCAGAGTGAGTGATTATGAAGTCTTTGGACTTGTTCCCAGCAAGGACACGAGAAAGAAATCTTTACAAAATTAAGAGTGACAGCCAAAAATTGCCAGATGTAACACCGCCATGTGCCATCTCAATGTTGCACAGCCTGATATTATTAAACAGTTAACAGAGTTTACAAATTGTCAACTCGAAAAAAAATCTTTACAAAATGACACACGGCCTGCAAATTTTAGCTGGAGTTAAACGCGCTCTGTGTCACTCTTAATTTCGCAAAGTCAAATACTTAAAAAAATCGTTTCCGATGTTTTGTTGCTCGATCAAGCATTAGCAGCAATTTAAATTCAAATCAATGCATTCCAGTTGAACATGAAACAGTTACTTTTTCAGAAACGAATATTTCATCAAGTCCTTCGACCATCATGATCCGATATTGATCATTGATGATTTGATTTTGAAAATTGTGCAATTTCTGGATGCAAAAACAATCATTCAAGTTTGTATGAACATTTCAAGACAATGGAGAGAAGTAGCGATGAGAGTTTCATTATTATTGTAAATATCAGGAAAGCGGAAGTTTGCATCAATATTTTGTGTACACGAAACAAGTTTTCCTTGGCTTTGAAGGTGCTTCATTTCGTGCACGTGTACTCCAACTTTGAAAAATTTACGGACTTTAGATTTTCCTGATGATATCATTCAATATTTCAAGAATTTAATATCCTTCTCCTTGTGAAATTAATTCCATGTCTAATTGTTGGACAAATGATGCTAAGGAGGATTGATCATGTTCATTTGATTGGGTGAAATTACTGCTTTCGAGGCTGAGTTTTGAGTGACATGCTGTAGAGTTCATCCTCGCTCTTTGGTTTGTAGCTTTCAATAGCCATCTGCAATTCTTCTTTCATGACAAATGTATATTCTCTTCCTTGAAATCTCAAAATATTGAACATGATGGCATATTGATTGATGGCCTTAAAGAAATTCAACTTTCCATCAATCAACGTTGGGTTACCATCATCTGTGAACACCAAGTCACGAAGGTAAATTCCCAAATATGGTGTGGTTGCTTCGCCATCTGCAAATGCCTTGTCCATAGCATCCCTGAGAATTCTTTGGTTGTTGTCTGTCGAGACGAACTTGCAAATGTCTTCGTATTGTTTAGTGCACTTTTCGTCCAACATCCCCCAGGTGTCGGTGAGACGGGAGACTGACGATGATACAAAGGAACTGTAGATGGCCATGACCATATTGAAACTATTCATTTCACGCAATATTTCACAAGTCTTGAATAGATTTTCCAGAATTTTCTTTCGTGACATGATGTTAGGTTCACTCACAATCTGGTGCACACAATAATTACTAATCTTGTTGAAGAGTGTGGTGACATTGATAATATTTGGAGCCATGAAACGCTTCTTATCCTTATTCCATGACTGGCCCAACATTTCCGTGAATTTGATCTTGTTGTAAATGCTGTGATCGAGTAGAGTGAGTGTTTCAGCAATCTCTTTGGGCTCCATTTTCAATAATGAGATTTGTTTTGAATCCATAGTGGTATTGATGTTTTTAGGTGTTGAAGGTTGGCCAGACTTTTTTGACTCTGGTGAAGAGTCAACATTTACTGGGAAAACTTCTTGTGTGGCCATTTGTTGCATCTTCTTTTCCTCAACTTGTTGCTGCTCCCAATGAGGCAGTCGAGAGGAAGTTTTCATGGCTTGGAGTATTTTCTTTGCAATGAACGAGGCCACGCTCTCCATCATTCGAGAGGTACAAAAATTAGACAATTGACGAACCATCTTGTCATCAAAATCAAAATAATACTTCTCGACCCAGTCCAGTAATAATTTGGCAACAGAGAGTTGAATATTACTTCGAACGTCGATATTGTAATGCATTTCGTCGAGAGAAGGCTGATAATCTAGCATGGCAAATGGTGACCATGGGGGAGCGTTGTTTGATGGTGAGGTAAGCGAGGAGGGAGATGAAGCCACTGTTGACGAGAACGCAGAAGAGGGAGAAGATGGTGGTATTCCATTTTCGGGAGTACTAGATTGCAATAGAGGGACATCAAATCTCTCAATTAACTTTTGTAAAATGATTTTCGGCTTGACAAATCCACGATAGCACCACCAAAACACTGAGGAAAGGAACGGTTCCGATCTCTTCTCATCGGTCAGTAATAGGATGAGCCGATTAAGGCTCACATATTTCGGAACATTGTACGGATACAGCTTGGGCATTGGAGATTTGACATAATTAATTGATTCAATACAGGCAGGTGGCTCATCATAAATCGGAATCATTTGTTGAATGGGAAGAGTGAATTTTGAATTGAAGGCTAATAAAGGAGAGCACAAGAGATTAAGGTAATCTGAGTTAGCATCAAATTCTCTACTTACTTTCCTCTCTGTTGAACACCAATAATTTATCATTATTGGCAAATGTAATGATTTTATGAGGCCGTAAAGGTGAAGGCGGTTTACCATCATACAATTTACTGTAATATTCATTCACAATTTCAACACAGTGTTGAGGCCTCAAATCCGATTCTTTTAAATTCAGCACGATAGGAGTAAATCCCGAAATTCTAATGTACAGTAACATGTTTCTACCAAGGGCTGTGTTGTAATTGCAATCGCTTCCTTAAACACTGATAGATGGCCTGAAGATATCTTTTGATGAAAATTTAATAAGAATTTTTTTTTTTTAAAAAAATGAGTGATTCACTTCCCTCTGATGATCCAAAACTTTCAGTGTTTGAAGTGCCCGATGCTTTTGGAATTGTTGAAGAGGGTATCTATCGGAGCTCAATTCCAAAACATGAAAAACAATTTCAATTCATCAAGACACTCCGATTAAAAACCATGCTCTTTCTATCTCAGGAAATAATTTTGAAATCATTTTTAACGTTTCTGGAGGAAGAACAAATTGAAATCATTGAACTCGGATTGCTCATTTCGCATCGTATATTGAGTGGAGGAGTAAAGAATCAAGTCATGGCGAATGGATCATCTCAAGTGAAACGTAAGTGAGTCATAATTGTATATTAGAATCGGCCCGATGATTGATAAACTTGTTTTGGATCGTTGTCTTATCATTTTCTGATTGTCTCACGAAATTATTGGCCAATAATAATAATGTATTAATACACCGCTCGGAAACAATATAACTATGACTTTTGAACATTTTAACACAATCACAGCGAGAACGCCTGTTTCTGCATCAACACCACCACCTCAGAGCTCATTACCCAATTTCCAACTTGCAACAAGTGTCAATTCTTCTACCAACACCAATACTACTCAAATTTCTTCCTCGTCTTCCGCGTCAGCTCTCAATACTCCATCTGCAACAACCACGCCCTCTTCTAGCACTTCCTCCAATTCAACATCAAGCCACTTGAATCCTTCGAAATCGTCATCCACACTCCAACATGTCCCACCTGTATTACAAATCAAGAACAACATGTCACTCAATCTCTTGAATACCTCCCTCTCAAAATCCCTCTATTCCGATGAAATTTATAATACAAAGCATTGTACAGATGAGCTGATCAAAGAAGCTCTTGAAATTTTAATGAATAAGAAATATCATCCAATAATGGTGGTATGTTCGAGCGGTATTCATCTCACAGGAACACTTATTGGATGCATGAGAAAATTACAAGATTGGTCTCTGACCTCAATTTTCACAGAATATGAATGTTTTGCTGGAAATAATGCTCGTCACATTGATCAACAGTTTATTGAAATGTTTGACACGGATTTAACAACGTTACCAACTGAAGAATCCGGAAATCTGCCACAATGGTTCATTGAGCATAAACAAATGAAACAACAAGAGGAGCGAGAATATGAAGATATGATGAAACAACTACTACTCAACAAGAAGCATGCTCAACCAAGCACAGCCCCAACAGCAACATCAATAAGCAGTACTACTCGACCACACTCACCCTCCGGTCAGCATTTCACTTCGTCGTCACAATCATCTGGGGAATCAGGCCAACAACATCTTCATATCCATCACACCCGAACGTCAAGCATTCCACTTTCTGGTCTGGATTTACAAAGCTCTGTTCCAAATCTTACCCAACCATCAAACACAACCAGTCATGCTTCACATACCTCTATTTCTCTTTCACGATCTGCTACTCTCAGCGGTATCAGTAGAATTGGAAAAACCAACTCGAATGATAATATTCATGGGTCATCCTTGGCTGTACAGCAAGATCATGGTTTGGATCATCATGCACAAGCATTGTCACCGCAGCAACATGTCGATTCGACAAGCGGTCATAACAATCATCATCCCTTTAAATACACCTTTCAGAGGTATTTATTGGATCAGCATTGTCCGCTTATAAGTGAAAAATCCACCTATTCTTCTTCAAGTGTGATTGAGGATGAAGATGATTAAGCTGCAAACAATATTGTTCAAATAAATGATTTGCAGCAATCAACGATGAGGTTGCATCAGTTACACAATGATTTGTTGATCAATAATAAGTATCATTTACCTCAATAAATGTTTTGTTTGACACAAATATTTTTTAACCATTTCATCTTATTTCTTCAATTTATCCCACCAACGATTCAACGATTGACATGGTAGCTCACTCTTCAAAACCATAAACACTTGTGTAATCGCTGTGTTCAATAATGTTTACCAGTACAATGAGTAAAAGAATTTCTTGTTGTGTCGAATAATATAATTTTTCGCTTCTGGTGAAAGAGATGGAATGCAAATGTTGACACCATCCACCTCACCGTTCTCTAATTTCATTAAAACATTGACAAAATGGGTTGCACATGCAGTTGTAGCCGAAGAACGAGCTGAATAACAGTCTGCACGAAAAATTAAATACATCATTTCCCAATCTACAAACAAACAATTGTACTTGGTATACTTTGATGGGTCTTCATCCAATAGTTTCGTGGACGTTAAACGTCTCTTGACATAATATGCAATGCAGGATAGGCGACTCCTCCGATAAGCAAGTGTCGAAATGATGCCAAAAGCAAAATCATAATCCTCTAACATGATGTCTACAGCTTTTAAAAATAGCTTGTTCTGTACAGCACTATTCGGTGATTCAAAAGCATAGTTCCTGACCAGCTTGTTTAAAGGTAACCCTTTCTGGAGGGCTATCATCAATAATTTCTCATCTTGTTGCAAGTATGCTGGTAGACGGTTAAAAAGCTCACCATAGGCGAATAATGCACGCTCAATCACTTGTTGATCATACTTGTCACACTTGTCATTCTCGTTTTTAGAATCAATAACTCCAGTGTTGTTATGTACAGAATGTAGAAGGACGTTCTTGTTCGAGAATCTTCTCGAGTAATAACAAGCAGCTGACAGCTTGTCACAGTAATAGCAATTAAGCTTGGAAAAGAGATGATTCAAATCCTCGTCATTCATGGAAGAATTTTGTAAAGCATTGCAGAGTTTCGCACAAATTTGATAATTTTCTCTAATTCTTGGAAGCTCTTCTGGAATTTCGAGATACATTTCTTCAAAATAGTATTCTTTGTAAGCTTTCCAATGGAATAACTTCATGCATGCAGAAACCACCTTATCGGCTTCATTTAAAATTTGAGTCAGCTGCGAGTACGTCACGGTGATAGTATAGTTCTCGTTAGAAATTGGAAAGTTTAATGGGATGGAAGAAATATCGTGAAGAGACCCATACGTGTTTCGAATGTCTTTCTTCACACAATTCACAAACGTGGTCAACATGTCTACTATTCTATCAATTTTAAATAGAAAATCCACATAATCCAAGTGAGTGTGTAAATGATAGGCTTTTCTGAATCGTCTTTCCAAAGGCACCATGTCTTTGTTAAATTCCAACGATCGACATATGCCAAAGAAGGAAAATTTAAAAAAATAACAATCGGTATCATTTGTTTCCAAACATCCGACGATTCATGAATGTTGCTGTACAACTTTTCAATGTTATCATATCTTTGATTTTTAATTCCCAAACAATAAAATTGAATGAATTTTGTGAGTTGAAATTTCGGATTCTTTTCAAGAGCCATCATGATTTTGCGGCAAGTATGAGGAAATGCCAATGTACATTGACTATGGTGTTTCCAGAAATAATCTTTTGATTTTTCATTGCTATTCTGATTGGATAACGTTGTTATTGCTTCGTCGGAACTCACATCCCAAATATGATACGGAACTATTGGAAGCTCAAAAAGAAATTCATAAATTTCCACCATCAAGGCTTCAGGTAAATCTGAGAATAAAGAAGAAGCCGTTGCTATTTCATTGGTGGTGTGTCTGGGTATGATGTCTTGCATTTTTGTTCGCTTAAAACTTTAATAATGAAGAATTCTTTTTCAAAACAACAATCGTGTTTAAAAAAATATTTTATTATCTACATCATGTTCAAAACAACAACCATTTGCCAAATGGCAGCCCGTTATTCCAAATCTCAAATTCGATACATCCGAGAGACTAGAATACTTCAAAAATCGAGAGATGAAAAGAAGAGAGCCATGCAAAAGTCATATTTCCCTCCGCAATTACCCACATGGCACAAGAAGCCAGCCTGGAAGAATTTAGTGGAGAAATTGAAACAAGAAGAATTACAAGGAGCACAATAATTCTAAATTATTTACGTGATACTGGTATACTTGGTGATAACACCAACCCTTCCCAACACTTCATTCCGACCCAACATGGAAAATCATCATCATCATTGAAAATTTTCTTGATTCTTTATTGCAACAACAACAACTACTTTCAACTAGGAGTAAAAAAGTATCGGTTTTTCAGTAATAATAATTAATATAATGATATTATAAAAACATTTCACAATAATAATAATAATTGATGATTAGTAATCAACATTCTCATATTCAGATTGTTCTTTGAACACTCTGGCAATCTCAATATTCAGCTTGTTCTTGAATTTGTGTAAATACTCCTTATCCAGAGAATCCAAGAGACGAACAATGTTGCTACCAGTTCCGAATACGGACTTTTCTTTTTCCATGCTCACAACTTTGAGAGCATCATGTGGCTCATTCACCAATTCGACAGATTTGATTTTGGACAAGGCCAATTTCCACTTGACCTTCTTATCAGCATGATCCACTTTCATGATATACTTGTCTGTAACGAGATACACAAATTGTTTCGACGAATCAGGCATGTAATACACTGGCTTGTTCGTCTTGGCATATTGACCATCGTCAATGGTCACTGTCAAGTATTTGGCATAGGCATCCGTGAGGGAATATCTCACCACACTTCCATTCTCTGCCAACACTCTTGGATATCGTACTCGACTGAAAATGGTTGTACTACTGTTACTAATTCCTTCGACTGTTCGTGTGGCCATGTCAATAATTCCTCCAACAGGTTTGAGAGGAATACCAATAATGCCCTTACCCACTCCTTTCACAAAACCTAGGCTCCTTCTTCTTGAATACCTCGAATAGGTTGTGTAACAATACCAGTGGCACCTCCATAAATTCCTCTGAAAAGTGATTTTGCTCCTGATGCCAAACCTTCCTTAATGTCTTTAGGTTTTTGACTGGCCTGTCTCTCACGTTGTTGATTGTATTCCTTATCAAAGGTTAAAAAGGCAATACCATTACCGACATTTCCTGTCAATTTGGATGTAAAGTTACCAATACCATGTACAGAATTTTTCAAGAGACTCATTGATCCCTTTGCCAATCCACTCGCAAACTCTTCAGGACTCTTTGTAATGGCAGAAGCTGGCTCATAGAAAAAGTCAACAACACCTGTACCAATATCGCTGAACAAACCAATAGGGTTTCCAATAATATCCAATGAGCCTAGAATCTTGTAGAATTGGACAGTAGCTTGACGAATGTAATGTTTCTTAATCTTATCCATGAGTGCATTAAATGTCATGAAAGGATGACTCAGAATGAGAGAGTTGAATTTCATTGGAGCATTATCAATTCGAGTGAAAGTGACACCGAGTGTCTTGAATAGAACGAGCAATGGGTTACTGTCATCTCCTTCATGATTCAACTTGAATGTGAGATAAATCTTGACAGGATGCAATTCTAAATTTTCAAAGTAAAACTTTTCTGCATCGGCCTCAGATTGTGGTATTTCTACAGATTTTGCCATTCGTTCTGCTGTTTGTTCACCCACTTCATTGCTTTGTTCCTCATTCGTTGAAAGAATACCAATCAATTTCACAAATTTGGAAATAAAAATGTAATCAATTTCACAACGTGCTTCTCGCATGTGATCGACATGTATGGGAAGGTATTGACGTTGGTGTTATTTTCAATAGATCGACACATGCTAAAGTGAAGAAATTCTTGTCCAGGCTCGTTAATGTTACACAGAATGACAGGGTAAGTAGCATTGTAATCTTGATGATCTAATTGCAACCGATACAGGAGTGTTTCAATAAATTGATGCTTGTCGGTGGTGGCATACCGCAAGGTAAGTCCACCCAGTAACATGTAGGCCACTTCACTTGGAGTGTTGTCAATAAATGAAATTCCAATTTGATTAATTTCTGCGAGCATGAATTGATTGAACTCTTCTTCTTCTTCCTCTGTGAAATCGCTAATTTGACCTTCTGAGGCAGTTGAACTTTGCATGGAAGAACCGATGCTTGACACATGCTTAATGAGAGGTTTGATATTTTCTCCTTGTGTGGATCGTCTCTTTCGCTTCAATTTAAAGCTTTGTGTAATGAGTTTGTTCACACTTTGTAGTTTTTCTTTGGTTAAAATTAAAACTCTGGTTGGACCCACTGGTTTCACTCGAAGATAGGCCATTCCTTTGGATCCCAACTTGATTCTCTTGTCTTTACCAATTCGATCAATGTCAATGTCGTCCTTAATAATTACATTTCCAATACGAAGCTGAAGGCCATGAGCGCCCTTATTGTCATCCCAAACATAGGGAGTCATTTGGAGTGGTTTCACTGTCCACCATTTTTCAACTCCCTTTTGAGCAAAGAAAACATCTTCATCGAGTTGATTGTCAATCAGATAGGGTGGCTTCTTTGGCTTTTGAATCATTAAGAATACAGTTCCTTGTGTTTCTTGAACGTCCACCGATAAGAGCAATCCGATAGGTCTATTAGGATAATCTTCATGTTTCAATTTGAGGAAGGTTTCTCCGAGGGCATTGGTATTGAATGGAGCTGACCATGCAATCTTGTCATTGGATGCCACTTTCACTGAAATTTGAGGTTCATTCACTTCCAATTCCTTCCAATAATAATTCACATTGGTATTGGGCTCCACTTCAATGGGAACGACCAAATGATCATTATTTGTGAAACATTGCCGAATAACAATCTTCTCATCTGTAGAATTCACAATGACATATCGAGGACTAAGAGTCAATACTTTAGTTCTGTAAAATTTGCCTTCTCCCAACGAAATAAAGTAGCCAATGGAATACTTTCTAGTGTCAGAAGAAACTGCAAAGTTACCACTGGTACCAACGTTGGTGAGTGAGAAATTGGTACTTGCTCCAGAGTTGTCAACCATGATGGCAATCTTTTCACGATCATACGCTTCTGAATACATTAAAGAGTCTCCAGGCGTTATGGAATAGCGATCTTTTGATGTTTTCACAGCCACAATTTCTCCCGTATGATTCACAATCCAATAGGGTGAGAAGAGAACAATTTCTCGATAGGCCAATGTATTTCCTTCCGAGTAGTCAATGTAAATTCTGGAAATATTGTTCGTAGAATTCTCGAGAGTAACATGTGTTGAGTGTTGAAGTGACATGCCACTACTACTTTGGTTATTACCGCTCTCTCGCTTAACAAGGTGAATGAGAGCAAGTTCTTTTGCAATCCATTCTCTTCCCATTTTGACTTTGAGTAAAATGTTGTTATTCATTTCGGCAGAGTAAATGAAAATACGTTCTCCTTTGGCCATGGTTCCTTCTTGGACGATTGTTCGAGTATTAGGATTTTGTGATTGCTGTGAAAAGAGAGTGTAATCGATGGCTTTTCCGAGAGTATTGTCAATGGAGAGTGGAGGCTTAATATCCAAAGTGCAATAGAATCGTTGGAAAAGTAGTGGTACCTCCGAGTACTTTTGTCTAAATTCTTGATAATCAGTTTCGAGTGCAAAGTTGGTTCTTACAATGGCAAACATGTTGGGTCCAGAGGTGTTTGGAATGGTAACGTTCTTGGAGCCCTTGTAGAGTTTGAGTAGTTCTGTAAATTTCAAGCCTCCAGAAGGAACACTCCATTGATAATTGGTAGCTACAGGGGTGGTTTGGTTGGATGTTCCTTGTTGTTGAGATGATGATGATTCCTCGTCTTTTTGTTTCGTATGAAATACTGGTCGAATACACAGAATATCTTCTGGTATGCTTGTTACAGGAATACCCATATATTCTTTAGGAGCAATCACACCAAATCGTGTGATGCTCTTATTTCCAATATTGAGAGATCCAATTTCCCAAGAAATATTGCACATGTTTCGTATCTGCATGCCCGAGCTTATGGTAATAATTTTTCTTCCTTCGATTAAATCATTGTCAACCATACAAATTTCATTTCGAGTGTTCTTAATATGTTGCTTTCCAGTTTGTTTCAACTCTAATTGAAGCTTGTTAAATCCTGGCACATCTACGGTAATGGCATGCAACGCTCCTCGAGCCTTATCTTCTGGAAGTGAAAAGTTGACTTCTTGACCTGTTCCAATTTCGTACACATCTGCTTTTTGAAGCTGTGTATTGTAAGGGAAAATGAGCTTGATGACATGTCCTGTATGATTACGAATGCAATATGGATCAAATTTCTTTGATACTTTAGTCTCAGTGTAGAATTCTTCTTTCCAAAGTTTAGCTGTTGATGACACTGTGTTAATCATGGATTGAGTAACATTCAATAAAAGTCCATCAAATTCTTCCAAATGATACAATTGTTTGTATTTTGGAATGTCTAAATCTCTAATTTCGAAACGATCAATGGTTGCTGTTGTAGACTTGGAAGTGGGTTTTCTTCTAAAGAAGAATTCAATACCATAGGGTTCAATAATTGGTTCCCATGATGCAATCTTCAAGTTGTAATAGTCTGCTTGAATGTACCCAATGATTTTTGCCTTTATGGACGACTTCTCTCCAACTTGTGTCATTTTCGTGTCAATCAAGTGAACCTTCTTGAGAATAAATGTAATGAGTGGAATATCGTATCCTCTCACATCGTCTACCATGAGAATGGACAGTGTTTGATCTGAGGTCATATCGAAGCTGAACGAAAACGCATTACTCGTTGAGTCCTGAGAGAAGTTCTCAATTTGCAATGGTTTGTGAGAGAGTCTCTCGACTCGACATAGTCACTAAGAACAAACTGTCCATCAATGTGTTCAATTTCATCTTTGGCTTCTTCAAATTCCTCTTCTTCATCGGAAATATCAGAATTATCGGAGAGATGATTCGCTAAATGATCATCGGACAATAGATAGCTACTGTCTGTCGTCTTGGGTTTTTTCATGGCTTCTGTGAAATGGTTCACCACTTCAGTGATCATTTTAACATCTTGATAGGAAACTCGTGCTCGAATGTTTCCATCAATTTTCGCCTTAACATCGCTCAAAATGTCAACTCGCGACTTGTGTTCTGAGAAGTATTCTAAATCCAACGAGAGAGGCTCTAAAATATTATTTTTCATCATGACTTGACTTGAAGACTGGAAACTATCAACAAACATGGTCAACTCATGGATACTCACAACAAAGAGCTGCTTTGTAGCGCTCGTTTGCATTTTGAATTTCAGTTGAGATCTTACTACCAAAAGCCTGCTATTAGGATCATTGGGCTTGACGGGAAACATGACATTTGGATTGTCCACAAACACGCTTACAATGGTGCTTGATTTGTCTTCATTGGTAGCTCCTTCCTTGTTGCTGATGAATTTACTTCCATTTCCAAAAACTATTGACGCCTTGTCCGCCAACTCACAATAATCCTCCAATTTGTGTTCAGGTTCTTTCTTAATGACTACATTGGTCAATGTTAAGGTCATGCCCGCTTCAATTTTGAAAACTTGTTGAACGAATGGCAGATCAATGATGTGACCGTTACCGTTAATTTCAATATTTCCACCCTCAATGGTATGGACAATTAATCGCTTTGTGGGTGTTAACGACAAGTCAGCTCCCAATGTAATGTCAGTATTGATATGAATGTCACCAACAGGCATATTTTCAAAAGATAGAATCTTTCCTTTTGGTGGTTTTTGTGGTCTCATGTTCATGAAGAAGTTCTGGATATCAAATACAATTTCAGGAATGAAAATAATACGAGGATTTCCCATTTTAACATCTACTTTGACAAGGGATTTCTCTGGATCGTTCACAACGTCCACAAGCAGGAAATGTTGAGATTTTGTGAAAGATGTTTGATCCTGTCGAGTATCAACAAAGGTCTTGAAGTAACTGTCGGATTTTCGGAGATCATGAGCATCTGCTGCACTGATTGAAACGCTCGTGTTCGACAATCCACTTCGCTTCATATTAAAGTCTACATTGAGGTCATACATGTTCATTCGTGCCAATGAATCTTCTGTTGATTTCGAGACTGTTAAATTCAAATTGGAGAAGAGAACCTTGACTGTGACATCAGTAATTTTAGCATCTTGTTCTGTGGTTTCTTTCTTAACGGGCGTAGCGCTTGTACCAGTGGATGAGGTCATCTCTTTATCATTCTTTTCCTCTATTTTTGCAAAACCAGCATTGTCGTTCACATTTCCATCAATGACCTTAAAAATCATTTGATATTGTTCTTGTGTGAGAGTCATGGCAACATCTGACACCTTGATATCAACGGACACTCCTGGAAATTTGTTTTCCGTATTAATGACAGGTCTTTCAACAGCCAAAATCCAATCCATATCTCCAACGACATATGTCATTGGATCCTGTGCTGTTATGGTGTGTAAATTCATTTTAGTGAAAGAAATGTCATAACTTTCTAACCAGCAGTTGTTTCTCTCAAAAAGCGAATTTGAAACTCTGATTTTACCCAAATTACCAACAATGCATTCTGGATTGTTGTACGCCATTGGAGCAAGGACGAGAGGGTTCAATAATGTCACGTCCAAATTAAACATTTCTAAACTTTCGTATTGTTTTGCAACAGTATCCTTAGAAATTTCAGAAACTTTTTTACCACCTGCTGCCAACACGTCCCATAATGGTCCATTTTGCATGTAATGTTGCAATCTGATGATAATTCTGTTCAAATAGACGATTTTAACAGACTCAAGTACGAGCTTCAAAAACTTGTTGTAGTAAGGTTGAGAGGGCAGCAACTCAGCAGGACGTTCATTATTCTGATGATATGAAAAGGTAATAAGTGACTTATCACTCGAGGATGAAAGACCAACAATTTCCCTGTAGATTGTACCGTCGTTGGTATTGTCTACAGCCAACAAATTGCCGACAGTTCCCTTCACATATAAGGAAACATCGTTCATGGCGAAAGAAACATCTGCATTGGCAACTGTGGCAGTAGCAAAATTAGAATAGTCTTGCAATACGAGCACCAAGCTCACTTCGGAGAGTGAGGCATGTAAATCTAGATTGTTCCTCTTCTTATCTCTCTTTTCAACAAATTTCTTGGCCTCCGCTGGTGTAATGGTTGGAACTCTTGATTCAATTTGTTGTGTTAATTCAATAACATCATATATATACAATAGAAAAGTAGTGAGAGAAACTGGGTCAAAATTGAAGAGCATTTTGTGAAAGGTCACGTCCAACAGTAAATCCGCATTTCTGGTGTAATATTCAGATTCCCTATTATTGACTTGTATCAGCGTCAAATCTGCTAACCGTTTGTCTGATTGCAAGTCTGAGGTAATAATATACTTGTCAGTGAGATGGGTGGTCTTGTCACTAATAGTGAAGGCTCTAAGAGCAAAGTTCATGATCATATCATAATTTCTGACCGCCATATCTACAGAAAAATCGTGCAATTTGATGTCAGTGAGAGGCAAATCAATAATTGGACTGTTTTCAGTGTTATCAACCTTCTTGTTATATACGAGGGAGGCACAAAACTCGCCAAGGTTAAACTTCAATTTGAAATTCACTTTCTTTTGTCGTACTTCCTCCTTTTCTACATTCTCTGTATTGGTAATATCAAGTACAAGTTTTCGATTCACATTCTTAGTGATCATTAGGTTGAACCACTTGTCATACACACTTTGATTTTCAACTTCAAAATAGACAGTGGTAGGTCCTGTGTCTTGTGGAATTACTGCACACCACTGTAACGCACTCAGTTCTGGATTTTTATCACGCTCGTGATACTCCACCGATCTTTCATTCAAAATGATACAACCAGCAGCTTTTAGATCGTTCTCGTTCGTGTAGAGCATTAAACGTCCATTTTCTGTGAGCTCAGCCCAATAATTTTTCCATTGGCTTTCTGTTAAAAGATCAGATTTGATTTTCATGGGTCCTTTGAGTTCTACATCTTCCTTGCTGTTGCCTGTGGGATTATCTGCCAGAACAAGGAAATTATTGGTGACTTTGATAATAGTATTCATGGCCATTGGTGATAAATTAATCTTGATATTTGGAACACTTCCTTCGAGCTTTGTTCCAGCATAGTTGGGGTCATTGGTGATGAGCAAGCCCAATTTCAAAGCAACACTAACTTTTTCCACCAATTGGAAACTATTTGAGCCCTCTGTAGATAAATAGGTGTTATTTCTAAAACTGGAAACATCAGTAATCATGGCTTGAATATTTGAAAGCTCTATATCAAATCGATCGTAAAAGTCCTTCTCTTCAACGGTTTCGTTTTTAATTCTTCTAGCTCGCTCAATTTTATCAATGTCACTCTTGAATTTCAGTTTACCTAAATCTAGTAAAACAACTTTTGAATTCTCATCTTTGTGATCAATAGGTACAATAAATGTTGGTGCTAAAATGAGTACATCCAAAGAAATAATCATCTTGGATTCGAGTGCAACTTTCAACTGAGTGAGTGCTTGCTGTTGTAAATTTTCGAATTGTTTCATTGCTAAACTTTGTAGTGTAGAAAAATCAAGATTGGATGGAATAATAAAGAAGGAGAGAATCTTTTGGATAAGTGGAATATTAATAGCAATATCGACTTGTTGAAGTAATACTTGAAGCTTCAAGTCTGACTCTCCATCCAAAGGCTTTGTTTCAACAAGTACTTCAGCAAGTTGTCCAGAGTCCTTTCGTTTTGAAAGGATTTGCTTGAATTGAGTCACGTCTGAAAAGTGATCCGTTATTTCAAAGTCTTCCAATGTAACTCGTACAATGACAGAGCCTTGAGCTCGTACTCCAACCTCTGTTCTAAAGTTGCTGAAAGCACCTTTCACTATCGCCGATTCAGCATCACTACTTTTCACACGAGCACTTCTCAATTTAAGCTCACCTTGCTTTAGGAAAAAGTTAATTTGATAAGCCACATATTCAGCAGGTAATTCGAGAGATTGAGATTTTTCTTTTGCGTTGTAGCCGATGGTTTTGTGAAGTTCCTCACGTTGCTCATCTGTGAATTCAAACACTACAGGTGATGAAGGCTCTTCTTCTGAGCCAGTGCTGGCTGTTGTCGATGATTTCGTACCGCCTCCTCCAAACCATCCAGAAAACCATCCACCAGATTTCTCTTTTTTAACTAGCATGTGCTTATTCTTCTCCTTTTCCACTTTTAATTCTTCGTGGGCTAACTCTCGGAAAAAGAGTACATCGTCAAAATCTAACTTGTCCTCAAGTTCTTGAAGGACTTTCTTTTCAGATTCCGAGAGTTTTTTCTGCCAAGGATATTCCTTAGTTCTCTTGAAGAGTTCAATATATTCTTTACGATCCTTTTTTCGTTCTTCAACTTGTTCCCAAGTGAAATGTTGCTTTTCCACTATATCCTTTGCTGCATTCACTAAATATTCCCACCATAATTGTTTTTCGCTTGAAATATAGTCACTTTTAGGTCGTAAATGTCTAAATTTTTCAAATCTCGCATAGTTGGTCATGTATTCCAAAGTAGACAATAAATTTTTGTATTGTCTGTCGTCGAGGCAAATATTTACATTGTCTAGCAGTAGATTTGCAATGAGTTGGGTTTTGACATGTCTATATGACCTTCTTTTTGCAGTATGAGTTTTAATTCGCCATTAATTGGACTCACAATAAATCTTCTGTAAAATTTGTTTTCCGTGATAATTTTCCTCATGTGAAGTGAAAACTTTTTAGTATCCATTCCAGACTTGGAAAATAATTCCACCTCGTTATTGTTCATGTAGAATGACAAATTTTGTAAAAGTAATTTCTTATAGAACGCTTGTTGAGCTGTCTTGATGAATACTTCCTCCCAACTTTCATTGCAACTCTTGAGAGAGAGCTTTTCCATAGTAATACCAAAAACAATACGATTTTTTGGATTAGATCCATCCTCATAACGAACATGTACGTTTGAAATTTCAACTTGAAGATTGTTGAGAATTGTTTCCGTCAATCGAGAGACGAATGTGTCTCCTTGTTTTTCCTCCTTCTTTTCTGAGCCTGCTGCTTCATTCAATAACTCTTGTTGTTCTCTCCATAGTTCGTGATTTTGAAGAGCACGTTGTTTGGCCAGCAATCCTCGTGCCTTCTCAGATTTTTCATCGTACTGTTGTGGATGATCGGTTCGGAATCGTTCAATTTGGTTGATGTTTTGTTGTAACCGTTGCGTTAAGTAGTGTTACACACAGAGTGGAGTGTGTCAATATATTCATCACGGCAACAATTAGGCCATAAATTTATGAGACCACATGTGTATTATTAAAACATATATTTGAGATATTATATATTTGATGATATAAATTTCACAATCATTAGAATATTCATAAAATTATTATAATTCGGGTGAATCAATCCGAGAGAAATTTCAACAAACCACCTACGTGATCACACTTTTTCGGTTGAACCACCAGAAAAACATCACTCACTTTTGCAATCACAGGACTGCTCGAGAGCGATTGCCAAGGAATTGAGGCATCAATACTTCCAACACATCCCTGTACGACCGATATAGGTAAATCAAATGTATCCAAAGCCGAAGCCTTGAGCGTTAAATTGGTGAGATTAATACTACCACTCCATATCGCAATCTTAAGTGATTTACTGTCAAGATTTTCGATATAATCCCCCAATAATTTTACAATGATGGTAGAGGCAATGCCTTCAAACATTGCTTGTAGTTGATGATGATTTTGTTGGTATTGTTATGGTTGTTGTTCTGTTGTTCGACAGGATGATGTTGGAACGGAACTCGTGATTTACTTCCGTTGTGTTTCTGGGTGGTGTTAAGTCCAGAGAGAAATAAATCTTGCTAGAAAGGATTTGTGTTGATTTTTTTTGAGTGTTCACGAACACACTTTGGGAAAAACTCCCAAAACGGAACAGAAAACTGCTTGCACTTCTTGAACATCTGCAAATACCTTAGACCATGGTTGCTAAGTTGTTGTTTGCTTTGATTTTATTGGATCTGTAATAACATTGACCTCATGAAAAGAAGAACTCATTGAGTGTTTTTAAAAAAGTCCATGGCTAATACTTGTGCTGCATTAGGTCTCTTCTCTGCATCGAATTCAAGCATGGCCAGCAGTGCCTTAATAAATCCATCACTATACTTCTCACCACATTGCTTGATCTTTTCAGTCACATATTGCTTGACTTCTTCAATGTTTGGCATCTTTTGAAATAGAGCTGAGCCAACGACACGGTTAAATCAAACGTGGCCAAACCAAAGATACTGCAACCCAAACTGAAAATATCTGCATTGAAACTATACTTGCTTCCAATGAGCATTTGTGGGCTCATAAAGAAGGGAGTTCCAGCAAAACTCATCGACTGCAACATGGTACTTTCTCGTGCGAGTCCAAAATCACTCAACACGACTTGAATCTTATTCTTTTTCGTATCAAACGATTCAATGAAAATATTCGAAGGTTTCACATCACGATGCAACATGTCTCGTTCTTGCTCCAAATACTTTAAACCCTGACACACTTGAACAATGATTTGTTTCAATACCTTTTCTGGGAGATGTTTCTTATCCTTAATGAATTGATCCAAATCTCCATGCGCGTAATATTTCATGACGAGGAAGAGAGACATGCTTGCTTCATCAATGAGTGCATCTTGGAGTGAAACCAAATGATCGTGTTTGGTCTTGAACATGGCAACTGCTTCCTTGAACTTTTCATTCAATTCAGAAAGACCTGAGAGTTGAATCTTTTTCACTGCCACAAATGGACTCTCGGATGACTTGCCAGAATAACTCAAATTCGATGCCTTAAACACTGCTCCGAATGCTCCTGCTCCAATTTTCTCAATAATTTCATACTTTTTACCCAAAATATTTTGAGTGACAATGGTCGAAGTGGTTGGACTTGAAGTGACTGAACTTTGTGAAGAGAAATCATTCATTGCTGTGCCTCCTTTCATGGATCGATACTCGCTAATGAAAAGAGCAGATGAAGAATCTTGTAAATGACTCTTTGGTTCGAGTTCTTTCATGACCAGCGCTTCACTGGTAGCTGCCACATGAGAATTTGTAGTTGCTTTTGATTTTTGTTTTCTCTTCAATAGATAAAATCCTAAAGCTGCAAAAACAAGAATGGCCAATGGAGCAAGAACACACACGACGAGTATGGAAACAACAATGGCAGCAATTTCGCCTCCACCGAGACCAGTGGGAGTGACCACACGAGGATTGTTTGGATCAATATTGGTCGTGTTCGTAGAATTGGTGGAAGTATTGATGAATGGTGGATAAATGTCGGCAAATACTGCAAATGAAGTCAAATGATTGGTCGAACATGTAATGACATAGTTCGTAGTGGTCGAATTGATCATGACTGTCGAATTTAAAGTTGCATTAAATGTGGGAACACTTTGTGTCATTACCAAAGATTGAACCGAGGTTGTAATGGTCGAATCATTGATCCATACAGAATTCGACTCGAGGAAATATCGACATACAATATTTGCCTTCTTTTCTGAATATAATTGTAAGAGTGTGGAATTGAGATTATTTGAGGAAATATTGAATGTGAGTTGAATGGGTTGTGGTAAATTATTCACATCAAGTATGGTATCGTCGTTGCTTCTTTTAACATCCAGAGTATAAATGCTTTGAATGAAAGGAACTGAATTGGTCGGAAGTAAATTTGAAAAAATGTTTGAAAAATCATAAACAGAGGTCAAGACTCGATATCGTGAAGTGGAGAATGCATCGGTGAGACCACTCTTGGGGAAGGTCATGGTGCTATTTCCAAACAGTGAGAAAGTCCTTCCTGAAAATTCAGCAATGTTGGGCACTGTGAAAATTTTAGCTGTCAATGCGTTACTAGAATATTCGCCATCTGTACTTATGGATTGAATTTCCCATGATCGTGTCATGACTTTGACAAAATCCAAAATTTGAGAAGTAATTATTGATAATTGTTGATTATTTCCACTGGATCCAATCATTAGTTTCTGTGAATATATATCAAGTAATAATTGTTGAAGAGCTTGCAAATTGTTTTTTGAAATTCTTGAGGCTTTGATATTTTGTACAATAAATTTCACATGAGTGGCCAAAATATTACCATAGGTTTGCAATAACGTGTTGTAAATGTTCAATTTCTTACAGAAGGCAACTACTTGTACAACGAGTGGTGTTAAATATTCTGCAGCCAAGTCATTGACACTCGAATGGAATACGTTCGTTCTCATGTAGCTGATGGTTGAAAAAATGTTGACAAGTGTGGTATTAATCATTCCGTAATCAAAAGGTGACGAGCTCACCACAAATGAACCACTGACACACATGTTCAATAGGATGGCATAATTATTAGCTGTGTGAATATTCGTGGTTTCATTGGATGGTGATATCTTTTCGCTTATATATTGCACACATTGTTGTAATGTACTACTACCTGGAGAAATGCTTGCTGGAAAAGTGCCTACGAGTGGAATGGTTTTTGTAACAACTCCTCCATATAGATCTGTTTGTGTGAAAACAACTCTCATGTTTCCAACTGCAATTCGAGTCATAACTGAGGTTTGTTTAGTACTCGAAACAGAATACATCAATTCTTTTGAAGAATCGACAATATCTATGGTCACAGATTTGACATCTTTTTCTGGAATGGTGATGTACAGGTCAATGTTAATACAGTTTCATAGGCATAGATTGTGCCAGCATCTGGATACACAAAACAAGTTCCAAATCTCAATGGTTTTGGCATGATGGTCGTTGTAAAATTGAATGAATTTCCGTTCAAATACATGGTTATTTGCAAAGGTGAATATGGAATAGTGTTCGTTGTTGGAAATTCTCCAGTTAAATAATACGACGATTTTTCTTGAGTGGCTAGATAAATTGGTGCGTCACTTAATTTGACATTATTTTGGAAAATATTAAAACTTATCGAGAGCGAGGTCGTCACATAAATCACAGCTGAAAATTTGATGGATGAACCTTTTGACGTAAATGGAGGAATTGGTGACAAGGTGACGGGTAAAGGAGCCGAGTCCACAATTTGAACGTTTGTGGTCAACGTAGTGAAACCTCCAATGGTTACTGAAATGACATAGCTTCCAATTTTGAGATTTGCATTTGCAATGGATGCAGACAACCCTTGTGACACCAGACCACAATTACTGCCAGTTGGTCCATTACATTGCCAAGTAACTGCCAAATTTGAGATCAAGCTTAATGGATAATTCACTGAATCTGTCGATGTCACAGCAATCATGACATTTCCTCCAGAGATAGATTGAGTCACACCTCCACCAGTTAACACGTAAAATGAGGAAATTATTACGGAAATATCAGCAAAGCTTACATTGACATTTCTTTCAGGAATAGGTTTTTCTGACAGTGACGTTGCACCAATGGTAAGTATGGAGCCAGTCTTGACAGAAGATGGTACCATAGATGAAGACAGTTTGATCAATTGATATCCTGACAATGAGTTAGCAATAGAGCCATCAAATGAAAATGTAGTTGTAAAAGCATTCTTTGGTCCTGTCAAAAACGCCTCCAAAAAACAATTCACTCCATTGCAAGTAAACTCATTGGTTGTGTAGAGAAAATTTGGAGGACTGTACCCCGTGTTGAATTCAGTCGAACTTGTCGTCGTATTCCATACAAGACCTCTTTGTGTAATATTCACAGAAAATGTCACTGTCGTGGATTTGACACTATCTGGAGCTAGTACAAAGTTTGGAGTGTTGATATTCTTCACAAACTCTGAGGAGGACGTGTCTTGTGTGAAAAATTTGTAACTGAGTTGAGCATTGGGTGAAAATCGATAACTTTTTGAAGTTCGAACCAAAGCACCCACTCCAACCATGGGTACCACTTCCAAAATAGTTTGTGGTGTTTGTCTGGGGAGTGCATTAATTCTGATCTTCACAGCACCACTCGTGTTGAAATATTTGGGAAACACCAAATGTTCAGGTCCTAATTGAACATAGAATTTGCTATTTCTTGAATAACAATCGTAATCCAGACCAAAAGCAGGGTTGTAATCTTTAAAGACATCGAAACAATTCGTTGGATTGAGAGTCACGAGCTCACTTGCTACAGTTGAAAGAAGCGCTTGATCGCTGTCAAAATCGAACAAGACATTGTCACAAGCATCTTGAGTATATCCTGGATGACATGAACAAAAGTCACCATTTATAAGATCGACAATGCAATCACCATGCACACAAGTCACTCCACAAACAGCGTTGCTGGAAGATATGGATTGACTTTTATGGAAATGCTCTTGTTGTGTGGTGAGAAATGAGAGAGCGAAATGAAACAAAGTGAGAAGACACACGACGATCACGATTGAGAATGTAAGCATGGATATACAAAAGCTTACATTGGTTTTAGAAGATGATCTTGCACAACAATAGCTGTTCGAAGTGTTGCTTTGAGGTTCCAATAAGTGGTTACATGAATGTTGTGAATACGACGAGATGTCTTTCCAATGATCATCATGAAGGTTGTGAGAAGTTATGAGAAGACCAATGGAAGGAGAAGTACTGGACGATTCGAGAGCAGCATACGGTTTTGCCAGCGCTTGTTCGTTGTCTTGAAAGTTGTTGAATTGATTCATTTTTTTTGATCTGGAAAATGAAAAGTGAAGGATGTGACAGTTCTATACCAAATAGATCAATACCTTGCAAAAGTTGAAGATCACAAGGTGGACCTGTGTGTAATCAACTAATTTTCTCAATGGTAAATGACATGTAGAACACATTAAACATGAATTATGCAGATCACAAAAACAAGTTAGCACGAATCAAACACATTAAAAAAATGGGATTGACTCTTTCATCCAATTCTTCAGTTAATTCATACACTCCGAGTTGCTTTGATGATGATTTGTGTGTTTATATCATGTCCTTTCTTGAATTTGATACCATTAAAGTGTGTTTTTTCGTTTCTAAACAATGGAATATGATGGCAAGAAAAACTCCTGTATCATTGATGATGCGTTATAATTATCATAACGGATTGGAAAAACGGTTGGAATTAATGTCTAAATGTCAACATGTAAATATTACTTCGTTGGATTTGGGACAAAATTCAATTGAAAAACCCAGTGCGATTAAAAACATTGTACAAAGCAAAATTGCATCACGTTTGAAAGTACTGAAATTAGATTATAATTATTCTCTACGTGATAGTGCTCTTTCATTGATTACAACATCCACAAAATTAACGAATTTACAAGTTTTAAATGTCAATCATTGTAATATCACTGACATTGGAGTGGAAGCATTGGCTCAAAGTGTAATCATGTCAAATCTCAGAGAGTTGCATTTACAGGGAAATGATATAAGCGAAAAAGGAGCTCGAGCTCTCTCTACAAGCAAATTTATGAGCAAATTACAAATTCTCCATCTTGGTTATTTCAAGATGGAGATCACCAGAATTGGATCAAAAGGAGCTCACTATCTTGCACATGGAAATTCCAAATTCACTGAATTATATTTATCATTTTGTGACATTGGGGACAGTGGAGCCATAGAAATTGGAAAAAGTCCTCACATGTCAAATTTAACAGTATTGAATTTAAGATCGAATAATATTGGAAATGAAGGAGCCATGGCATTGATTGGAAGTGACTACCTTACCACATTGACGTTTTTAGATCTTTCTGGAAACCGTCTTGAAAAATCTGGTGCCAAACTAATTGCCTTAAAACTGTCGAATTTAACTACTTTAAGAGTGGGAAGCAATGAAATTCAAGAAGAAGGAGCCATCTCCATTGTGACAAGTCCACACATGAGTAATCTCACTTGTCTCTCCATGAGTTATAATTCTCTGGGAGTTAATTTTGCTGAAAAATTGGCTTCAAGTCCGTATCTATCAAAATTGAAATCGTTGGATTTGTGTGGCAACCAATTGGGTGATGAAGGGACGATCATCATTGCCTCCAGTGGTGAAAATTTGAAAAATCTCACCCAATTAGTTCATGAATTGTCACACAATCAGTCTACAACTGTCATTTTGAAAAAATTTGGAAAACAAGAGATATCGCACCGACAATCACAACAACAACAATGAATGTCATTCACCACCCATGACATTCCTATCAACCACCACCAACAAGAAGATTAACCAACAAAATGAAAAAACTCGTGAAAACACTCTCTCGCAATTTACACGCCATCTCTTCCTCCAATAACAATAACAACAATAATAATAACAATCATGGCGATCCATCATCATGTCCGACAACAACTCACTCGAATTTCCTTTCAATTCCTTCTTCGAATGGTCATCATCGAGAACACTTGTCTTCATCGACTGGAACTCTTGAAGTACCTTCATCATGTTCTTCTATTCATCATCACAGTTATGATGATTTAGAAAAATGTGCCTCTACCACCTTGTCTAGAGATGATCATTTCAACGGTTCGGGAAATGATTTGGCAGTTTCAAATTGTCAGAAAAAGAAGAAGAGATCATTCTTTTCCAAATCACAGAATCAGTTGCATGAAATGAAGGGAGCTGATAATGCCATGAATACGAATTGGAGTCAGCAAATTGCAAGTTATTTGCAAATTCCGAGTCGTGGCGAGTCAAGTGCTGTCACTTGTCAAGCGAGGTCAACTCTGTCAGGCAATAACAAGGAGCGACCAGTCATGACATTCACTCTCGAACATCTTTCAGCAGACGTCTTGCAATATATCTTGGCTTTTTTACCATGTCAATCCATTCATACTTGCTTCTCAGATGAATACAACACTTATTTGAGTCTGTACAAAGCCATCCAACAAGGTATTCAACAATTTCCAAAACGCAAAACTGAAACTCTCAATTCCAAACAAAAGAAGCAACTCAAAAAGCTCATTTATTCTAACGACAACTCTCTCACTATGAATTCTTCCTATTATGGAATTTTTTCTCTTTGCTTTACAAAAAAGTATTTTCTCGAAGAATTGTATGAACAAGTTTCATTTTGGCAATATCTGTGTGAACACTTTTACAAAGTAGACATTTCACGATTCAATGAAATGAAAGCCAAACTCATGAGATGCAAAATATTGAAAGAAAATGATTCACCACTTGTTTGCTGGAAACAAATTTTTCGGTATTACAATGAATACATTGCACGTTGGGAGACAGATCTGGTTTACAAAATTTTCAAAATTTCAAGACAAGACACGAAAATTTCTCGAATTTTAAAAGAAAAGAAAAATTCATGGACCAGTCAACTTGCATACAATCTCAAAGAAGAAACACTTCGTACGGTATTTCAAACCAATCATTCCACCTCGGACTATTATGCCATCACTTCCACAAGTTTCGCACCTAACAACTTGTATTATTTTGAATTTACTTGTAAATATAACACGCAATCGAGAATTGCTGTTGGAGTGATTCCCAATACGAATGCATTTTATAAGGATCAGTTGGAAAATGTGAATGATGAATCTCAAGATCATCATCATCAAATTGATTTAGATTCTTCCTTTAATTCTGTCACGTCCAATCATGATAACCATTCACCAAACATTGGTTCCTCCAGTAACAATGCAACCATTCCTCCACAACCATTTAATCCACTAGAGTATAGGCCACCTGTCGATGTACCTTGCATGTCATTATTGGAAAATACAGAAGAGGGACAATTGTTTTTACCTGGTGACAAGATTGGTGTCATTTGTGATTATTCCTTTAGTGAGAAGAATGTCCTCAAATTGTATTTTTGTTTAAATTGGGATTCCTCCAAAGATTATTCATGTTTCAAAAAGACTCTTGAACGCATTAGACACGTAGAAAGAGATGCCAACTGTCCATTTTCATTTCATGAAGAAAAAGTATGCTCCTATTTGCTAAAATATGATTTACACAACATGCAGAAAGAAGTTTTCCAATTGAATGGAACTGCTTTCGATGGACATTCAGCGGGTAGCTCTTCTTCACGGAGTAATTTATTTTCATCATCGACTGCTTCCATGTCGACCTCAGCATTGACCTCACTGCACCACAACCTTCAACAACAGTCACAATTAAGTGTTCAAAGTTCTCCTAATTTACATTTGGCCGCTAACAAAGCTATGGTTTCTTCTTCTAACTCGATGAATAGTACTGCCACTCCCAATCAAACGAAGGATGTTACTACCACCACGACAGCACCCACCATCTCTTCTCACCTGAAAAACATGTCATCTAACTCAATCTCACCAAATCCACTCTATGAAGAACGAATTATGGCTCCTTTCAAGAAACATGATCTTCGACTTGTGTATTTTATTCCAAATTTTAGAAATTCCACAGAACAACATTTCCAATTTCCAAAATGTTACAAATCCAATCAAAGACGTGAATTAATTTCCTTCTTGAAAGTGAATGAACAAGTGAATATGAATGATTCGAACGCAAATCTTCCATTCCGTTCATTGAATTCTTCGTTTGATCCAAGTAAGGAAAGACCTACTTCTTCCACAGCCGATTTGAATTTACCAGACTTGAAACTGTGCATGTCTTCGTTGGAAGTTGGAGATGCTGTGTACATTACCAAACCTTCTCTACCTTATCCTCCATTGTATTATCATTTATTGGCCACCAAGAAATTCAAAACGTCTCAACAATAAAGTGTCGCTAAGCGACAACCAACACAAATTCATCATAATAACCTATCTATTTTCGTATTGAGGTGTTCTTTTGATCGACATGAAGAAAAGAGTTTGTTTTGGAGCTCTATCTCTATCTCTGATCATTGACACAGGATCCTCACTGATTTGACACCAAACTAATTTCGGGTTTTGATGTCACGTTTGCTTTTGTATTTTTCAATTCAATCTCCAACTATGATAACTACTTTGATATTTATTGGTTCTTTTTAAGTTTCACTCTTTCAAGAAAAATACATTAACAGCACTTGGTTTCAACGGAATCTCGAGTCATGAAGTCCATTCCTAAAGTCTTCTATAGGTTTGTATGTACGATCGCCTCATCTGCAACTCCTCATTCATCTTTGAAAAACCATTACTGGTCTTTCACAACCATATTTTGATAGGGCGGATGTTTGAATGCGCTCAAACATTGATAACTATTGTGTCAAACTCGATAATAGATTTCTATTCATACAACAAAAAAAAGAAACCACACACGTGTACTTTCTGCTACACCTCTGAGTCTTACATTTCGTTCTCTTGCCAAGCAACACTTTACATTTGCAACGAATAGGTTTGAATCCGTTCTCTGAGATCGTTTCATATTGAAAGATCACCTTCCTTGTCGAACAAATTTGGAAAGACACTTTCAGATACGAGCAGAGAGTTCAATTGAATCTGAGCGAAACAGTACAAACGACACTATTTTTTGTTTCCAGTCCGTCATCATCTTCCTTTCACGTGAACAACATGTTTCGAGAACATTCCATGATCAATTTCACTTCCTTATCTTCCTCGCTGCCTACATCGCAACAACTTTCCAATGAAGAATCAATGTGCTGTGATTATTCTCATCTTGTAAGCCATTATGAATTTGTAAATTATACCTCGTCGACTCTAGAGAATTCGATTTTCCAACTCAACCATCAAACTTCAACGAACATATCTAATACTCCAGAAGCATTCTCTGCCTTGTCCGAATTGCTCATTCAACTCGGTCATGTACTCTTTGAAAATTGGGAAGAATTTTGTGGTGAAAAGGGTTTTGAACGATTGTGTGAAAAGCAAAATCCAACTCGAGCCAATTCTCCTTCGAGAAAATCCCCACGTTCTTCTCATCGAGTGCATCCTTTTGTTTCCAATGAACTCGATTCGCTACTTGGCGCGAATGAATGTTTTCACCATCACAATTGCAAAGAAGAATGTGCATTGCGACGCTTCTTTAAATTGACCGCATGTCAACAAATTCATCTGGCTACAAATTTTATTTGTAATTTTGTGTGTTATGGAGTGAATGGTTCAATCATGTCACGAATTCCAACAAAATTATATGAAAACACAAGTAGTAGTAACAATAATGTATCGAGTGTGACAATACCTTTTGAACCACTTCGATTTGGCACATCACGCATGAATCGTCTCTCTGTAGTTTCTGAGAGCTATTTCAACTATCCTGACGAAAAGGACACTCCAGACTCGCTCATGGTCTTGTCTTTCTTAATGGAAGTATTGAGAGATTTAGTGAGGAAAGAAATTGAGGAAGAGTTGAAAATGAAAAGAGAGGAATTGTCATCCATCTTTTCACAATCCACCACATGCACAGATGTGTCTTACAATGCTGAACAACATACGACAAACAATTATCGAAACAACACGAGACAAGTATCCGTGACGCGATCTGCAGCCACTCAAGCACGAGAGGAAGAAACTCTCTTGCAACAACACCATGGTGATGATACTAACAATATCCATCAAGATCATCAATCCTATTACTGGAGAGCCTTCATATTTATGATATTAAGGAAAGTGAAATTTGGAAATTTATACGAATCGAATACAAGTCAAGAAGAAATATTACAAGCTGCCTCGTCGACCGAACTTAATATTTGGAATACTTTAATTTCAAGTCTGTTCCGTTCATTCATTCAGAAAAAAAATCAAATGGAACAATCTGACCATTCCAACATTCGAAGACGAGCTCTCTCCAATTCTAATCCAACCACAACTTCTGACACTACTAGTAGACCGCTTCTTCAAGTCCCTCAATCCACTGGAACTCGGACTCGAGCGGTCTCTTCTGGAACTGCTTCGCAACTTTCATCCACGTCCGTAACATCTTCTTTGGAAAAATCATCAGCTCAAATCAAACGACTTCAAACGCACTTCAATTCCTTCTTTTCTGAACATGTGATTCATCAAGACATGTGTAAATTAGCATTCGTGTGTCAAATCAGTGCTCCTCTCTTCATGAGATCCTACAAAAACTTGGGTGAGAAATATTTGAGAACTCTCTTCTCGAATTCCAGAGGAACATTAAGGAAAGAATTATTGGCACCGTTGGAAGCTTCGAATCAGCTCTCATTCGTTACAGTTTGTTATTGGCATTCGTTCATGGCTGTAGACGGTTATGATTCTGCACTGGAAAGAATCAAAGCATTCTATCGAATGTTGGAAAAGTGTAATTTCCCATTGAGAAGTCCAGGTCCCAAAACACCAAAACAACCAGCAGGGTTAAAAACCATTCTTCAAAAATTAAAAACACTCATTTGAACTTTGTCATTCATTTGGTAATTGTTTGTGAATGGCAGGGAGGGTGAGCCAGATAGAAAAAGCTTCGTAGGCAACCAGCCTATACCCAACCATTCTTGGCGACGTTGACGAACTCAAGTGTCATCACGAAAATAAACATCTCCAACCAAAAAAAATGCCTACAGCAAACAAAACGTTCTGGCAGAAGCTGAGTGATCAACACAACCACAATGCTCCCGATATTCGTTCAACTGCTTCAATAATGCCGTCAGTAAAGAAAAGAGTTTATTTTGAAGATCAACCGTTCATGGTTGAAAATATTACACCAGCTACTAATGTTAGTTATGAAGAGTGCTATTCCGAACTGAAATACGTTTGCAGAGGTATAAATCGGAACAATTATTCTAAATTATTAACAGGAAAACAAATTTATAATTGCGATTATGACATAATTGGCGTTATTCGAGACGAACTCACCTTAGAATCAGCATGTTGTTCAAAATATTGTAGTATTTTTCAAAATCAGTGTCGTCAATGTAGTGAATTGGAAAAACACCTAGTTTCAATCATGGAAAATAGGCATGATATATTTGAAATGCTATTGAAAGGAATTTTACCACAACCCAAGCAATTAATATCATTTCCATTATTGATGTATGAGTTATTGTGTAAACTTGTGCCATTTATACCAGTCAGCCAAGATGAACACAAACTTTTAACAGTGTTTAGAAAAGCTCAAACTTCATACAATGAAGCATTGTCGACACAATACAACAACAAACAAATTACGAACAATGAACACCGTGATACACAAGCTTTGAAGGTTCCAAGGTCAAGCTTTACTCCATTCTTAGAGACATTTTTTGGATCCTTTATATTCAATCAGTTGCAAAATTATACAAAGAATCCATTTCATCACAAATATTCAGAGGTTGAAAGAAGATATTGGGTTGTGATGAAATATTATTGTGGAAAACAATTTTTCATCAGAATGGGAGGAGAGCGCAATCAAAATATTGAACGGAATAATTTTAATCATTTAAAATATAATCTAATTATACCAAGTTGGAATACTGTTAAACAATGGACACCTGCTGGTTGTTATGGTATGATTCCCGACATCACACTTACCCTAAAGAACATGTTACTGCCTGACTCTTGTAAAGATACATGTATCTCGTTTGATGGAATGAAAGTGTTTAAACATTTTGATGTTTTGGGAGATCAAATTGTTGGAAGTGAAAAATATTGTTACACTGTTGAAGACGTGAAACAATTTGGTGTTAAACATCTAATAGACCAAATGATTTTATTTTCTATTAATGCCATCGATAATTCATGGCATTTACCGCTGGGTTGGTTTGGAGTTAGTTCTGAAACAGACGTACTTGAATTTGTCACTAGCAAAATACTTTATTTCAAAGAGTTGCTCCAAGAATCTGTAACAATTGTGTGTGGATGTTCTGATGCAGAAATTGATGCACATGCTGTGCAAACAATTATTAGAAAAAAACACAAAGACTTCATTTTCGTCAATGATTACGTTCACAATTTCAAAAATCAACGAAATGTATTATTTAATGGAACAATATTGCACGAGAAAATCTCAATGCAGACCATAATTTATTACATGATACAACATAGGACATTGTATCGATTACTCGACAGAGAAGAAGTTGATCCTACGGATATTATGAATTTGAAATCATGTCTAAATTTAACAGAACGACCTGTATTGCAAGAATTACGTAAAATTGGCACTATAGAGGCAAATAGTGTTGCTGGTTACCTTGAATTAATTCGTGATATTTATGACTGCATTAATGATAACAGTCCGGATATAATTGATATTTTGAGTGAAAGCAAAACAATTTTCGAAAAATTACCCAATTATCCCAAAAAAACGAAGAAAATATGTGTTCACACACTTGAAGGATTTCTTGCATTAGCGTCTCGGTTTCCAAATTTCAAACCCAGTTGCATTACAACAAATTATGAAGAGCTACTCTTTTCAATAATTCGAGGAATGTTTCCCAAGCCAACAACCAAACAATTTTGCCAAAGCGCACTATTTTCATTCTATATATTTTTAATATTACATTCCACTGACGATGTTCGTGGGTTCTCACTCCCAGATATTCCATTAACTGATCATTATTTTGGTATGAAATTGGTTATCAAGATTTTACCAACTCTTCCTGGTCGAATTGTACTTGATAGAAATGTCAAGAAAAAAACTTGCAAAGAATTACAAATTATTAATCAAAACGTAGCCACTTACTCAAGAAAAACTACGTTGAGGGCTGAAGTGTGTGCTCCTAAATGTATATATTTATGCTGCCCTGTTTCTGGATGTAAAAAACCCAACCCTCTGGATTGTCATATTGTCAATACATCCTCATCTCTTTGTACTTTCCTAATTTGTTTTGAGTGGACATGTCCTTCCCATCATCAAAAAGAAATTGCAAACTCGCATCAACCTATTCTTCCTCTCCTCTAACTGAAGATTTTTCGAGCTGCAGCAACACTCACAACGAGGAGGAGGAAGTAGTTGAACGACAACGGTCCTTCCGTCCAACAACAACAACCATCACTACCTCCACTTCTCCCTTCCCAACGAACCAACACTCCTCATGCCCTCTCCTCCCTTCCGATAGTTGTAGTCAAATCGAGTCTTCTTTCAATTCTCCTTGTTCCTTCTCTCCAGCATCAATCACACCACCCTCCACGATGAACTCCCACACTTCGTGTACTACCTGTAACGTTTCACCTCTATTTTCATCATCATCAACGATGGATTGTTGCAACGTCGTGATGAGTCATGACTCGCACGTCCAAACATCTACCAAACCCTCCACTCCTAAAACAACTTTGAAAACTCCCAACAAATATAAGCCTACTAACTTATTCATTCCGAGCGTTCTTCAATCTCCTTCAGCAGCAACAAGCAATAACTTCTATAACAGTCATCACCATCATGGCTCGTCGCTGAATGGTTCAATGACCTCTCTCGTTCTTTCTAACAAGAATGACGGCAACCTCACCCTGTACGGAAGTCGTTCTGCCGAGTGCTATGGCCACCATGATCCAATCCATGAAAACAACACAAGACAAGTTTCCCGAAATTCCTCTCTTTCTTCGTTGGCACCATCACCTGACAATCCTTCCTCCGCCTTATTGAGTGGTTCTATTGCCTTCCACCACCACGAGTATGGTACCGAAGAGAATGCAGCACACTCATCACTCAATCCATCATCGTGGTCATCATCATCATGCGATAATGATTTGTATCAATCCCTTGGATTTGAATTGGTGAAAGCAAATATTGGAAAAGGTGTGACCTCTCATGTGAATTTAGTTAGAAAGTTGAACCATTCGGAGAGGTCTTTCACTGAGGATCAGCACACAGAACGTGCATCTTCAAACACGGATGAACCTTTCGAATCATTCACCTCTTTGAGAAGAGATGCCACTCCAGACAATGATGAACAAGATTCTATCGTGTCACCACAAAGCAATACCACTGCTCACTCTTTTGATTCTCTTTCCAATTCACCCGATGAAGAACATGAAACGAGTGTGGATGATAGTATTTTCTTCGCAGAGAAGGTTATTAACTTCTCAAATGTGCCTTATGAGCGTGGTATGGCAATCAGCAATGACGAAAATCACTCATTCAATGATATTGAGAGAGAGGAGAGATGTCTCATGAAATGCAAGTCCTCTCCTCACATTGTTCAATTGCACCAATCCATTCGAACCAACCAACATCAACATCGATTCTTTCTCGAGTACATTGATGGCAGCACTCTTGCCAACATTATTAAGCAAAAACAAGCAGCAATTCATGCGAACGACAGGTGCGAGACAAAACCAATCATGACCGAGTATGAACTCTCACTTGTTGCTCAACAATTGTTGAGAGCACTCATTTTCCTTAAACAACAAGGAATTTTGCACAGAGACATTAAATCTGAGAACGTCATGATTACACGCAAAGGTTGTGTCAAGCTCATTGATCTGGGATTGGCCACCGAAAAGAATCTCCTAATGGATGGAGCAGCATCGACAGGTGTTGTGGAAACATACTCGTCGTTGCGTGACAATGAAGCGGCATTTAGTAGCAACGAAGTCATCACTAAGGGAACTTATTGCTACATGTGCCCCCATAAATTACTCACAGGATCAGAAAGTTTCACCTCAGATTTGTACAGTTTCGGTATGACCTTGTTGGAATTATTCACTGGTAAATTGCCATTCGATTTTGTTGACAATACGAATGAGCCACCTTGCTCATCAAGCAATCATCGTGATATTTTGTTTCCTTTGGCTGACATTGTTGCGTTTGATGTAAAGGAGTATTGTGCCGAGCTTGTTTTGAAGGGTATAATGAGTGAAGAGTTGTGTGATTTTTTGTGTTCATGCATGCAGAAAGATATTCATTCGAGAAGTGACTGCCACTCATTATTGAGCCATCCATTCTTTGCCAATACGAGCTCATTAAGCCATGAGGAAATTTGTTCCAAGCTGGGATCGGCTATGAATCATCATTGGTCACACCATCCATAATAAACTTGATCACTTCTTTGGATTCGAAATTTCAATGGTCAATTCAATCGATTTGGATAGAAAGAGCCATCACCAATTGACATTTGAAAAATCAGAAAGAATCACACGCAAAAAAATTTTCAAACCAGCAGCAGCTATTCATTGCTGGCGAACCAATCAGCTGTTCTTCTTCTCGGATCGCCGTTTTTTATCTCATCAACCATAACCAACACACGAATATAGTTGTTCACCAACTCACTCATCACGATGGTTGGAATTAAACTCAAACTTACCTCTGCTGCTGAATCTCCTAGTAATAGTCCTTCAACTCCTGTTCTAAACACCTCTTCAAAAAAGAAGAAGAAAAAGAACAACCACAAGAAGAAGGACAATGCTTTGGATCCATCCGTTCCTCATCTATTCGGTCAGTCTTTAAATTCACAACTTCATTCGATACGGACTGCTTTACTCATCCAGGAGGATGATCCTTCGTGTTCTGGGGGTAAACGATTTGTTGTTTATCCCAAGCTGTTATGGCTCTGTTTGAACTGGCTTGAAAATAATCCAGAATGTACGAATATGGGTAAGTGGTGTCATTGCCATCGTGATGGAACTTGTTTAATTTTTCAACTTGTGGCTATTTGTAACGGTCAATGACTCTTCACCGTTGGTTCATCAATATTATTGTTGTTGTTAACATTTTGTTGTTATTATTATTATTTCTTTACAATGATTGAAATGGCCTGTATGCACATATCATCATGACCATCCTTATATGCATGCATGTATATATACACAATAATAGAGGGTATTTTCCGATTGAGTGGACAAGCTTCTCTCATCAATTCTGTCAAAGAGCAATTATCTAAAGGAAAATATGACAATATACCCAAATTAGAGGACTATGATTCCGATTCGGATGATGATGAAAGTTTTGGAACACCCACAGCAGAAGATGAAATTTCGAAATCCAACATTCGTGAAAACAAACTCATTCAAAAATTCCTCGTATACTTTTATCCTAGTTCTGTGGCTCCAGAGTCAATTTCATTTGGCTCTCTCAACAAACAACCTATTGTTAATAATTTAATTGAAATTCCTGAAATTAATTTTGAAGAGTTATTCCCACAAAACACAATCAATAATGTTTCGAGTTTGTTGAAAATGTATATTAGAGAATTACCCGAACCACTCATGACTTTTGATCATTATGACATGTTTATTGCAAGGTGAGTGTTTCGACGTTTAATGTGTATTTATTATAACACTTTGTGTATTTCATAATAATACTTTGTGTATTTATGGGATGGTGTTACGAATGATAATGTATTCTGATGATGTAATGTCATGGTGTCTGGCTTGGATGACAATATCATATTTGCAACGAATTACCTCATGAATTGATTTGGAAATCATGAACGGCTTCATTTTGGATTTATTTCAAACCATGTACATGACCCAATGTATTCTATGCGCTAACGCAGTGACGGCATTCCTGACGACAATGTTCGCCTTCAAGTCATTCGCAATGTTTTACGATTTTTACCAAGATCCAATTATTTCATTTTGAAAAAGTTGTGTGGATTCTTGCATAGTGTCCATGTCAATTCATCAGTGAACAAGATGGACGCTTCCAATTTGGCCATTGTTTTTGCTCCGAATATTCTTCGTCCTCCTCCCATGTATTGCAATGTGTTACAAATGCAATTGAGCGAGGCCAGATTTGCCACCTCACTCACTCAGAGCCTCGTGACCGAATATGAATTCTTTTTTGGTGCAGAAGATGCCAAACCAAAACTTGAGCCACAGAAAACTCCAACACCACCTCCAAACAAACCAAACAGGTCAATATCAAGTGCAACCAATAATAAGGCAATATCCATGCTATCGTCAACTTCGTATGAAATGACACACTCGAATTCCTCAGTATCTGTATCGTCGAGTGATTCTAGCAGCACTAATGGTAAGGATGATCATTTCACACCAACCATAACAACCACCACGAACAACAACGTTATAGAAGATGGTGCATCCAATACACTCCAACTGTAAATATTACTCAACAACAAACACCACAAATTTCTGGTTTCAAGAAACCACCAATTCCAAGCAAAACAAAACCTTCTCCTTCAGTTTTTATTCCCTCCAATGGTAACAATGGCGAATCACCAAAACCACAAAACAATAGTAATCGATTGACAAGTCCAAAACCACCCCCAAGTGGACTCAGAGATTCCTCACGTTCTGTGTTTGTGGCATCCAGCAGTAATAGGTCAGACACTTCTACGAACGTTCGTTCTGTCATTGACAACATGAACACACTTCATACCAGCAAACAAGCAGCTGCTGAAATCAAACGACTATCCCGTGTTATGAAGGCAGGTGACATTTGTCTTGACGATCAATCTTTAAAATCCACAACATTATCCTCATTCAATGACAGCACCTCACAGAATAAGCGATTACCTGTACCACCACGCAGGGCTACAGTTTTCACTGAGGCTACAAAACCATCCCAAAGCACTGGTCCAACAAACAAGAACGAAATGTTTGTCATTCCGCCTAGAAAAGTGTCACCAAGGAAGACTACAACAACTAGTCATTCGAACAACATGACTTTCAATTCACCACCGCCTCCAACGAAACCTCCAACACCCTCTCGATTTGCAGGAGCTTCTACGACACCAAAGCCATCCCTTGCACAAGTTGGAGCGGTGGGATCAACATCAACCACGTCAACTCCAACTTTGACCTCACCCAGACCTCTTCCACCACCAAAATCATCTTCTCTGAATTCATCCACCACCAATTCTAGCGCTGCCACGAGTAGTGGCAATACGACACAACATCAAGATTCTCCATTTGCTGTTCCTGCTAGAACTTCACTCGATGATGACAAGAAATCTCCTGGTGGCCTTAAAAACAATCCATTCATCAAGCAAGATGTGAATTTTACCACACCAAGTACCTCTTCATCTGGTGCTACACGTGCTCCACCTCCAGTACCAAGAAGAAACTATAATTGTGAATCGATTCCGTGATAAACGTTGTATCTTTACAAAATTCTTTAAGAAGTGAAATCATCGAGTCGCCCGATCGGGAATGCATGGTCCCAAACAATTATAAATTCGTGAAAATGGCGCCTAGTACTACAAAAAAAATGATTCAACACAATCACCCTACAACATTGAACCGAACTACTTTGCTTGATCAGCCTAATGAGAGCACACTTGAAAGAACAACAACAACAACGGAAGGAAGTGATGAACACTCCTCACTCGTATTGTCAGACTATGACTCCTCTCAATACGAATTGGATGATTTGGAAACCACAACCAGTGCCAACATTGAGGATGAAAAAGTGATCCCTATGCAATACATACAACTCGTTACCACAAACACCACCAGCAACAACTCAGAGAACTCGTTAACCGTTAATGTAGAACAGCATCTTCGCTCATGGCTTCATCGCTCTCGCCAACTTCGCCCTCATCGTTCCAACAACATACCAAAGTCCAAGAAGAAGATACCCAACATGTCGTGACAGAGCCATCATTAAGGGATAATTCCGAGCTAAGAATTCCTTCTCTTGATCTCTCCACACTGAACACGAGTAAAACTAGTGATACCGAATTGGCGGACATTCAAGAACAACATCATGACGCATTGGAAGAATATATTAAAGATGAAAATTTTGACGGCCTCTCCATGGCCATTGAAAAATTGTGGAACAACAAACAACAACAAATGAGCAATACGAGAAATCCATCTGAGGAAGAAATAGATCCAATCAAACAATCAAAGAATGATGACATTTCGCTTCATAATCAAGATACAACGCACTTTACAAGCAGTCACCATCGTTCCTACAACCCATCAAGCACTTTCACAACAACCACGTCTCAATTCATGAACAACACGTTCCATCCTCCACGAGGAAAGATGTTGGAGAGACATCATTGGCTTTGAAAATATCATCTCCAACATCTGCTAACAAATCGATTATTTCTCTTTCAGAAAGCGAAGCAGAAGTACGTCTAAAGGAATTACTACAAAAGATTGAAATTTCATCAACACTTCAGGAAACTTGTAACAACCACGAGAACATCCATAACAGCTCCATTTTGGAGCAAGATCATGCCATGACTTCAACTCCTTCAATACCACAACAGCCACCCCTTCCAAAAGACATTACCCCTCATCCCCAAGTTGATGTTCATGCTCTCATTGAGCACTATGAGCATTTACAGGAAGAATTGGAAAAAGTTGGCATGGAAGAATTTGCACCTTCAGAGGAAGCAATTCCTTCATATCAATCTCAAATGGATAATCTTTTTCACAAAGACAATTCCTCGCGATACAATGAGATGGATCAAATATTGCCGATGTGTTCAAAAATCAAAAAGAACAGGATTTTAAGGACGAAAATAATTATCTCCATGAGAGGCCCTTGTTTAAGGATATTTAAACGAAATTTCAAGAATTTCGACAACAGCTGACGACGATCATGTTTCAACACTTTTTGACGAAAAATTAGTGTCCACTTTAATTGAGGAACGGTTACAACCCGTTTCTGATCTACTACGATCAAGTGGGTATGCTGGTTTTGTTGGAGAAACCGATATTGTACATAGTATGTATAATTTTCTGATGTACATTTGCTCATCACTTTACAATCAAAGGAATACGAGACACGTTCAAAATAATGCTGGAAGATTTGGATAGAAAATCCAAAACCATTGAGCTTCAATCTAAAAATCAGCAAGAGTTCACCAAAACCATGATAAAGCTAAAGCAACAAGTAGAAAAGGCGAATGAAATAACAAATCAATACAAGATTCAACTGGAAAAAAAAGAAATTGAACTCAAGGTAAGTCAATTATTGAGAGTGTATTGGAGCTTTTCTTATGCTCTGAATTTCTTACGTAGTCTTTTAAGGAAAACAACAATGTCAATACAAGTAAAAACGAGAAGGAACTGGTTCAAATGAGACGTACCATTGACGGTTTAAATGCCAAAGTTCTTCAATACGACAGTATTATAAGCTCGAAGGATGACGAAATTAATGATCTCAAAAAGAAAATGTATCAATTCGTCTCCAAAGAGGAAACAAAAAGAATTAACTCGATGAACATTTTCTCTCAAATACATAAACGTAAACCAACAACAAAATCTGATGCCAAGGAGATTGATCTAATTGGCATGTACGAAGAGCAACGGATACAGTTGAAGAGAGAGGTTGTATTTTTAAAGAAAGAGGTGCAACGATTAAATGACCTTGAAATTCAAATGCAGAGCGATTCTGACAACAAAAACGAGGAGCAAGTCAAGAAACTTTTATCTCAACTTAAAGTTGAAAGAGAAAAGTACACCCAACTTGAATCGGAATTCAACGCTACGCAACAAAAATTGAGTACAGCAATAGCACAAAATCAAAGGATTACTGCCAATTTGGAGGAAGAAAATACAAGACTATTGAAGGAACTACAAAACAGACCATCAGCTCAAGATTATTCTCAATTACAAAAACTTAATGAAGATTTTAGAAAGACAATCAAGCTATTGAGAATTAAGGAAAAAGAATTGGAAGAAATTAAGAAGAGGTATGTGACGATTTTGTTAAAAACTCCATAATTTACTGTGTGTAACCAACGAATAGCAATGATCCCAAGTCGGTTTTAACAATACCTGCTGGAAAGTGGTCAGAATCTCCTAATGAGAAGCGAAAAAAGCAACCCCAAGCAAGTACAACACCAAACAAGTTGATAGAAGAGACACAAGCCGAGCTGAAAAGATTCAAGGACATTACTATGGAAATTTGCAAAATTTTAAATATTTCTGACGTGGTTGATCTGGTTCCATCTCTACAAAAAACGATTTCTATTGTGAAAGCAGTTCCCAAGATGGAAAAGTTCATTTGTGAAGTATGTGAAATGTGCCAAAAAGGCACCAATGAACTTGGACATCAAATTGAATTGAAACCTAAAATTGTAGCTCCTTTACTAGGGTATTGGATCGAAAAACTCAAAGACTCTCAAGTCATGGAAAAAGAAATTGCTGAACTTCTCAATAGCAGGCCAAATGCAACCACTAAAATTGATTATTCAGATCCAGATTTCAAAGTGATGAAGAGTCAAATCATTACAGCGATACAGGAACTTATAAATCCATGAAAAATTGTTCCCTAAAATTAAGCCAATTGTTCTCTTAAATCGAGCAAGTGTTGAAAAGGGTGTGTTTACCCTTAGACAATTGCAATTTCAACCTCAAACTATTACTGATGAGCTACAGTTCTCGTTGAAGAGACTGGATGATAAGATCTTGCAGTCCTTCAGGATCAACTCTTTCGTGACAATCACCTTTAAAATCCGTAAACGTGAAATTAAGTGGTTTTACAGGAAATCCTTGCGCTTGGACTGAATTCTCTGTCACACACTGAACCAAGTGGAGATGGTTCATGAGAGAAATAATTCTTACATTCGAAAAGGTTTCATGCACTCTTATATTCACATCGGAGCACATCAGAGTTTCTTTCAAGCAAAATGGAACATAAATCATGACAGCATTTGGATTATACATGAAGAGTGACATGTACGATGCTGATCCCTGTGTGGTCACATACACATTTAGCGTGGTGAAAAATTCAATTTGCTCAGCAAGCGACATGGATTCTAATTTAAAATTCACAATCTCAATATTTTCATATGCATTGCCGTTGAAGTGATTCACCTCGTTCAATATTTGTGTTTTCCTCTGTGTTAAATAGGTCACAATTTGATCGACATTAATAATGCTGTCCTTATTATTGGAATGCAAAGGTTTGTTTTGAATGGCAATAACCAAAGTTTTTTGTCGTTCTAAAAATTTGGAATATGGAATTTTCAGCCTGTTCAACAAGTAATTTCTGAATGCAGGCAGAATATGATCTCTTCGTTCCATATGTTTAAAAAAAGAGCCAGTATTTCCTGTCAAGACTGATGAAAAACACGTATCGATTTGATTTCCAATTTTATCAAGCTCTTCTTGTCGAGGAGTAGAAAAGAAGCATGGTGCCTCTGCAATAAATGTTCCATTTTCATTGACACATTTCTGAAGAGCAGGTTTGTTTGAAAAAATGAATGAAACTTGATCCACATGAGGTTGTTCAAAATCTAGAAAGAGAATATGATTTTCTCGATGTACATATTCAAATATCATCATTAAATTAAATAAAGGTAAATAATTGTCCAGCCAAGCATGCCCCAAGTTACCCATGGCATGGCGTGTGAAAACCAATGTTGGAGTTGAAATCCATTTAAATCGTTCAGAAAGAACCATCACAGCATTGGATGCGTTCTTGTGTGTGTTTGCTTTTGTGAGGACTTGTCCATTGTGTTTTACAATGAGTGTGGGAGGTTTCTCAACTCGAATATATAGTGAAATGGGATGATACGCACCCGTGTGAACCCATGCCTTGCCACTCATGGCATGATCTTTTGGTGAATTTGTATAAATGATCCATTCTCCTCTTCGATTCATGCAAATATTCTCAAATTTACAACTTGTAAACGGAATGTTACTTCTCTCACGATTCCACTCTCTTTGAATGATACAATGATGATGAGATTGAAGGAGATGTTTGGATTCTAATGATGATGAGTGAAAAAGTGAGGTGGATGCTCTATAAAAACTTTGTGAATTGGGCAAACAATTCGGATCGGCCATGTCATTCCCGACAGGACGATATTCCAATGATTGGAAAATTGTTGGAATTTTGGGAGGTTCATACCGATGAAGCAATTGGTCAACTCGGACAAAACGATGAAATTTCGTTGTGTTGGGATATCCCGAAGTGGCACAGCTACTATTGAATCGTTCTTGAATTTGGAGAAGAGAGGATGGTAAAGTGCCACGGTGTTGATCCCGAAAAAAGAAGAGCACTACGTTACCGATTGTGTAAGCAACTGCCAGGAGAAGGATGAAGACAAGAAGGAAATGAGTTTTGGGCGTTGCAGAGGGTTGCGGAGATGATGAAGACCGTAACGATGTGTGATGTGACATTTGGCAGCGGTATTCAATTTTTTTAATTTTTTGTGGCGATGACAGCATCATGAGATATTTTAACACAGGCTAATAGTAAACTGAACTTGGAGGTTCAACACCACAACTTACATTAATCATCCAGTCCATATCATCTGATATTGGTATTTTGAATATCGTTGGGTTTATTGTTGTAATTTTTACATTATTTGCTCCACATGATGTCTCAACTGTGTGCAATAGACGAATTGTTGTTCCTTGATAGCCATTTCTCTCATGACGGAACCTAATTTGTCGCACACAACATCCCTCTTCTTCGTTTTGGAATAATAGTCGTTGCTGAATTTTTCTAAAATCGCCGCAGAATGAGACAGAGCAACAGAGTCCACTTGATGATCTTGTGAAAACAAAACTCTGACTCCTTCGTTGAATTGATCGAATAGTTTTGCTTTTTCCTTCTCTTGCAATTCATACATCCACTCATCTTGTTTCACATGACTTTCTCCAATTACTTGATAGATTAATTGAGGAAAATTCTCCTGATTAAGGGCTGCGTTCGTTGTTGCAAATTTCAACTTCTCGAATGGTCGGCAAACATACTCGGTCACCATGTCGAAAATGGTTTCCTCATCACACACCACATTCATGCCAAACTCCTTTGCTAACAGCAACATTTCATCCGATCTTTCAATGCTTGGATTAATGCAAGCATATATTTTTTGAAAACGAGATCCTAAATTACCTGAAAACGAACTTCCACTCGAAACGGAAATGTAAAATTCCAAACCAATTCTCTTCTCTTTTTCTAGAAGGGAATTTACTTGACGAATAGTGGCATCTACTTTCAGGGCAATAGACAAGGCTTTCTTTTTGAATGCTTCCTCTCGTGCTCTATGTTCCACTATTATCCTAAACTTACTTGGATCCACGAGTTGCAAATTAGCTCTGGCACTTGAACAAATTTGTGAGAGAGTTTCAATGAGTTTTTCAAACCCATTTGCAATATCTTGAGGGTGCATGTCATTCAGGTTTGCAAAATGAATGGAAATGACGATACTAGTCTTGTAATACTGTAAACCAGTTCCAAATATTTGGTGTTGATAATGATGAAGATTCTGCTGTGACGTCTGAGTCAAATTGGAGCTGGATACGTGTTCATGAGAGCGTCCAAGATTCAAGCTGTCCGAAGACATTTTGAGGTTCTGTCTAGACACTTGAATCTCCATACCATCGTTCTGTTTGACGATTACGATTGAAGAATCAACCTTATATGCATCTCTGGAAGAAGTGTCTGTGGTTTCTGCCTGTGACTGAGATTGTTCCAACTGCAACAAGACGTTTTGAGGAAGGAAGGATCGAATATCCTTCAACCAATTGACCATAACATGTTGGTGTCCATAGATGGAGTGATACTCGGCAAACCAAGATTCATGTTTTTGAACTTTCTCCAAATTCATGACAGCAATATTCTTAAAATCGTTCTGCAGCAACAGGAGCGGCTTAATGACCATCCATGTAATCATGAAGGAAAAAGACAAACCAACCACAAAGAATGCTATTGTCACAGCCACTGATACATATAATTGTTGATAGTGAATGGTCTGTAAATTATCGTCATTCACAACAATGGTCATTCTCCATTCGATTGAATCCAACTTGTAACGTTGGTGAGCTAAAAAATAGAACACTCCGTCGACTTCAATTTGAAAATCTGAGTATTCTGCAGGATAAAAGTCCATACCGGCGTCGAACGCGGCCTTTAAAACCTTCCCGCTGTTGCTTGTGGTCATTTCGAACATGTTTAATCGGCCTAAACCGTCTGCAGTCTTTCCTCCTGCTGTGGATGCTAAAACAGTGTTGTGTGTGAATTCAGACAACACCACGAATCCCTTTGTCTTGCATCGGAATCGTTTAAAGCATCCTGCTAACTTGAAGAGATTGAAAATGCTTGATACGTATCCCTGATAGTTACCATTCATATCATAAAGAGGCATGGCATAGAACAAGCCGGTATTATAGATGGAAGTGGTATACGGTTGATACCACACTCCGTTGGCAACTGAATTAGGAGGTTTTTTCTTCATTAAATCGTTTTTGATTACTGCATAGGAAATGTTAGCTGTCAATAATTCAAACTGAGATTGCAGAAATTGCGAGCTGTTGGAAAGTGCTTCTGGTGAGGAGAGATAGTTACACATATCCAATGTGTTGGCCTTATTGGGAACACTATTTCTTTGATTGCCAATAGAACCGTCAATAATTCCACTTTTCAGTTGGCATGGCTGTACAGTAAACGAAGTGCTGTTAAGTTGATGGAAGAAGTTAAACTTATCAATTTCCCAGTTGGGATAATAGGATGTAATGACGCCATGTTTAAAGAGTGGAAATGAGGAATTCTCTCCAAACACGAATTGGAGGCCAGTAAAGTTGTAATCCACAATTCTTGTTTGCATGTACAGCTTGTTTGAAAGTATTTCCTTATCGCTCCATTGAGTAACATCCAGACCATTCACAAATTTTATATGTCCAGTTTTCCAATCCCTATACAAGCTCACAGTTAATGCCTTTACCAAGGTCAGTCGGTCGTTAAGCAAATTTTGAAGTTTTTGGAGGATGGTACTCAAAATCACGCGAGTGAGTTCATCAGCCACATGCGTCGACAATAAACGAGTGGTAAGCCAATAAGCCAAACAAAAAACAACAACGGAACAAACGACAAATAAGAAGATGAAATTCTTGAACGAGAATAAAGCATTGATGAGGAAAGGTCTGCCTTGAAAACGGTTTTGAACAGGTGTCGTTGAAGAATGCAGCTCGAAATCAAGTTGTTGCTCTCTTTCAACACTTCTCTGACTTGAAGCGGTATGAGGAGTGATTTTATGGTTGTGTCCGTTTAGAATGAATCCCATGAAGAAATGAAAAGGAGAAGCAGGGATAAGCTCAGTTTTTTTGGTTTGTAAACAGCAGTTCAGATTCGCAAATCGTAATTTTCTACCTCTTCGGTGTTGCGGCGAAAATCGGCAAGAGCACATTTCGAAAAGGAAAAATAAGGTAACTTTCGTCGACAAGCTCCTTAAATGTCAAAAAATGAGCCTTGACAACCCCACGTGCGCTCAGGGTAATAAGCTTGTCCTGTGAACGTTTAAACTTGCATTGTTTATTTTGTTCATGTTTAAACAAGTTTGAACAAGTTTTAAATTGTTTGAACTTGTTTATAAAGTTTATTATGTTTGTTCATGTTTGAACTGTTTAAACATTTGTGAACAGAAAACACGAGAATCACAAATAAATTTAATTTAATTTAAAAAAATGAAAAACACACAACAACATTGCCACTAACACTTCTGGTGGCGTAGTAATTATGACACGTTGCTCAATGATGTGTTTAATGCGCAAAGAAGCATCGGCATGAGATCTCTATTTTGCCATCTTCTCCCAATAATACATTTCTTGAAACAATAATGATATTCTTTCCCTTTAGCCATAATTATTCCGATTCGTGATAAATGTCATCCTGATAATCAAAACCAATAACAACGAACGGGTGATAAAGAAAAATTCTTCTCTCTCTCGCTCTTATTCTGTTGTTCATCACTGAACATCATTTTGCTCTGAGTTTTTGTGTTCATCAATACCACTCTCAATTGTTTCATTCACAGCCTTTCATTACCTTACTAAACCCCTAAAGTCTAAGAACTATTCATATCAATAATTTTCAAGAATGCGATTAATTGTTGACATTGAAACTCAGGTCAGTGATGTCAAAGATTATTTGACTGCTGTTAGGAATGTTGAAATACGAATTTGGTTACTATTCACCTTGGTCCGAGAAATTAGTTGTGTGTTTGGATGGGAAGTTTTTTCTGCCCCTCATTATACCAGAGACCTTGTTACACGATTATGAAATGGATACCAAATAGGATGGTTTATAATTTCGATGATTTGGATCCAAAAATCTTCGATATCCCGAATGAAAGCTAACTAATTTTCTTTCCTTACAAAACGCAAAATGAAAAAGGTGACAAATAGGAAGAAATTTCAATTCTTTAGAAATTAATTTTCGTTTGAACGTTTAAACGTTTGAACGAGATTAAACGTTTGAACTAGTTTGAACATGTTTAAGTTGTTTATTTTTGTTTAAACATGTTTATTGTTTAAAGTTTAACCAAGTTTGAACGTTTACAGGACAAGCCTAATTGTTCCAGACCCTTTTTCGATCCAGACACAGATTCGCATCTCAAAAATTATTTTGGTTAGAAGGTTTGTTTGAGTCCTTTTGGAGCTTCCATATCATTTCACTCATAAACCTTGCACACACCTCAACGAAAACATTCATACGAATGCTCTTGAATAAAAACTCTGTACTGATTGTCAAAGAAAGGCATACTCTTTGGATCAATGTGCCGTTTGATTGTACCATGTTGGCTAAAGAAGAGGATTTTGTGGTCAACGGCAAGCCTGACAATGTCTTTTTTGATTTGGCGGGTGTCATCGCACGCTTGTTCATTCTGATTTTACGGTTTTGAGATATTTCAAGTTTAGCTGCATGAATTGGTTACGAAGTGGAGAAGTCCTTAAATCTGTCAGCAAGTACTGCTGTATTTGCTTGAGCTAAATGGTTTGAAATGATGGCAAGTTGTGATGGAATTGGTGGCGAAGGAGAATTCAAACAAATATCTGCAGGCGAAGGACTTGCTAACGAACGTTAAAGTCTTTGGTAGAAATTAAATCTTTGGTGTGAATTGTGAATATGTGTTGATTGTAGGGAGGACCTTGACAAATCCGCAACCAGAGCCCAGGTATTGGATCCAGCCGCTCTAATTATTAAATTGGCTCCTGATCGGCGGATCCGATTGTAGCTGGTCAAATTTTTGACCTGGAAAGTCCAGGTTCAGGAAGGTTAAAAATTTTGACCGGGAATATATTTGGTCAAATGTATACATATGGACGGCAAGGGCCAAATCGATTTTCCTTAATGGTATGATGTGCCTTAATCAACGTGCCTTCGCAAAAAACAGCGGCAAACAGTGTACGTTGAAAAAAACTTCATCATCATCAGTAAATTATTTTCGCTTCATCTATGGATTATGGATCATCGGCAACTCATCAGCAATGCTGTTTGATTGGAACTGTTACCTCCATCTTTATTGCACTAAAATTCCTCAATTCTTCACTGAGTTTTTGGGAAGCTTTCAAACCAAGAAATTTCTCCATTAACAGTAACCCGATCTAGTCCGAACTCGATGCATACTAGAGAACCATATTGCAAGCTGTGCTGTTAGGATGGGCTCTTTGAAAGTTCCTTATCATGGTTTCGGTCGCGTTGATCTTCTTCTTATTGGGATGGAGCGGTTTGGATTGAAATTTGTTCTTGGCTGCTCCGAATATGAAGGAAACAGGATCGAAATCTGAAAATGCTTCCATATACGCTCATCAACCTCGGTAATGTGTGCACCAAATTTCGTGGTGTGATTCGAAGGAAAAGTCCATCATCGTTGTTACTCTTTAGTATCCTGTATTTTTCCTAAGCCAATTAAGGCCACGTAAAATCTTGGCTCGTACTTCACAGACTCTGCTACAACTTGATATAATTGTTGTCCTTATAATATCAACATCATTATCATTGAGTAATCTCATCTATTCATTCCGGTATTTCGACGAAGAGAGATGGGTAACAAGGGTCATCATATTCGTGGTATTTTCTATAACCACAACACATTTATCACTATATTGATATAATTTTCAAACTTCTTAAGCTGTGGCGGTGTATTGGTTGTAGACGATAAGATACAATTATGTTACATCATCGAGAGCCTTAATGTTTTCGCCCAAGAACAAAGCGAAGCCAAATTCTTTCCTCCTCTTTGGTTTGATGATCACAAAAATAATAAAGCCATCTGTACCGTAATGTAGTGTTTGGAAGAGATCATCGGAAGCCCTTATTCACGAAATCGTGTTTCATCTGAAAATTGCCGGTCAAATTTTTGACCTTAAATTTTGACCTGGCAAAACAGTTGAAAATTTGACCGGCTACACCGATTCAATTGAAGACAAGGATTATAACAGCTGAACAACACCTCACCAAGATTCAAAACCACAACTGGTGCGACGATGAGCTGTGGAATTAAATTTCCTCAAACGATTTTCGAGTGTGATGTTGTTTGATGAACTTTTTACATTGCAGATCTTACAGTAGACGAAGCTCTTGTGATTGAGAAGCAATTTGAGAAATTGGAACAGTGTTATGAATTATTTAATATTCTCCAAGAATTACTTACAAAGGCTTACCAATGTATCACGCACAGAAGTGATCTCTTTAAACAACTTCCATTAGTTGTGGCAAAGGAAGGCAAATCCTTGCGAGGGCCCTTTCAAACCTGCAGCCACAGCAAACAGCCATTCAGCCAGAATAGTCCTCGCTGCCGAAATTATTTTCAGATGCAATCAACAGAATCCTTTGGCATCCGGTTGAAACAGGATTTTTGCGGCTGAGATAGGATTTCGATCAGGTGATCAGTTTATTTTGCTGACTAAAAAACCGTTCTCCACAATGACGGTTCTTGGAAACGAAGTAAATTCCTCATAATATTGTGTAAAATCTTTAGAAACGTCTATCAATCTGCAATCTGCTTCATTCACAACAGTCTGCAAGCATGGCAAAAGTACGACATGCTCTTTCAAATTCACCAATAACAATATAATTAATATGTTCTGGTGATGGGAAGCAACAATAATACTCATATGGTAATCTTGTGGATTGATCTTTCTCTTTGTTGAATTGTAAGCCAACAATTAAGGCACTTAAAAAATTATTGAGAGCATTCAAGAAATTTTCAGCGTTCAGATTGGTGTTGGAGCCACAATGTTGTCAAGCCACTCCATAAAAATTCTCGATCATATATTCTTGCAGTTGAAAAGGCAAAAATACTCTGTTGTTGGGTGATGATTGAACTCTATACATTGTCAAACACAAACCGATCATTAATAACAACAATAATGGATAATGACAATATATCTACCTTGAAGTCGAACTATAAATTGACTCATCATCATCTTCGATGTCAGTATTGTTATGATTTGTTTCTTTTTCTTTGAGGAAGATGCGAGCGATTCCACAAAGCTCTCTTGTTATGAACATTTGTTTGACATCATCTTCAGTCATAATCTTGTTTTTACGTGAAATCTTTGGTTTGGATTATCATTTTCGGGTTGCATTCGGAAAGAAATCACTGCTTCACATGAAGTGCAAATGACATGATCTCTTCATCATCAAATAAATTTAGAACAGCAATGCTTCTGATAGCATTTTCTTCAAAAATACGAATTACTGAATTGATGTCTGATGGTGTGAATTTCATATCGGTAAGATAGTCATAGAGAAGATGAAGATCAGAATTCGTTTCGTGGATGTACGTTGATGTGGTTGTCTAGCTCCTCATTTGAATTCATTTCGTTCAAGGATAACATGCCAAAGCTTGTTCGGAATTGTTGTTGTTGTTGCTGTTGTTGTTTTGTATTTTTTTATTGTTCAAAATTTTATTCGTTTTAAAGCCAAAAACAACCGCCAAAATCCATAAACATCCAGATTCTGGAGGATTCTGGATTTCCACAAAGTTTGGGAAGTCAGCAGGAGCTGGCAGCCGTCCTTTTCGGCTGTTTGCTGCGGCTGCAGGTTTGAAAGGGCCCTCATCCTTGCAAATCTCCTCCGAGCTGGTACAGGAAGCATTGCAAGGCGGAACACAAAGCAACGCATGTGAATTCTTATCATTGAAATTGTTTGGCAAGAATTTGGAAAACTTGAAACAAGATTCTTTTGAAAGACAAGTATTAAGTGCTTTCATCTCTCAGAAGATGGGAGGAAATGGAGACAACGTGAGAAAATTAATCTCTCAAAAAAGGAAAAACCTACAACAAAAGAATCGAATTCAAACATCCTCAAAAACCTTAGCATGTTCTGTCACATCATGTAGCAATGAAAGTGAACAGAAATGTCATTCATGTAAATTAATGTATTGTGATGCACATATTTCTGATGATTTGTGCACCAAATGTGCCAAGCAGGAAATAAGAGACGAATCTGACGAGAATGATTTTGATGAAAATGATGAAAATGATTCATAATAGTGCCTAAATTCACTCAAATCCGATGTATATTGCTGAATAATGCAAAGCATAAACAACGTGAGTAATATTTTCTGTGCATCAAACTGAAACTTGAGAGATAGTCCTGACATAAACGCAGCACAACACGAAATTTATACCTACGTCTAAATCCCACCCCATCACAAAAAAGAACAGGAAGCAAGAAAGGCCAAAACTAAAGAAGGAGGCTCTTTCACAAGCATGCATAACGACTAAACTCTTGTTGGTTTGAGGTCAATCGTTGAATTGATTCAGAATTTTGAATGACAATGTTTTTTTCCGTCATCACAAGTGCAGAAGGACGGTCAAAGCCGAGATTCAGCTGAGCGGGTCGATTAAAAGAAAAAAATACCTGAAATGCGTCCTTGTTTTCCTCTTTGGAGCAAAAGTAACACAAAAAACAAACACCTCCTCGATTCTTCTTTTGATGATATTGCTTTCATCATCATTCCATATTTAAATCAAAATGAGATCATCAGATTTGCTGGTGTTTGTTCATCATGGAGAAGAATTGTCATTTCTTCTTCCGAGAGTAAATTCTCCAATATTTTGTATTCTAGAAAGAGTTTCAAGGAAATACCAATGGAAACAAAACTCAAAAATGATAATCAACAAGTTTTATCAATGTTTTCACATTTTGAATTCTCTAAATGTCATTTAACTTTATCTCAATTCAAAACAATATTCACATCTCCCAAACTATCATCATTAACTCTATCATATACAAATTTTACTCTTTTTCCTTCTGACACACTTTCATTTTTGTCAATTCATCGTATAAATCTCTCTCTTGACACTATTGAACATTTTGTAGAATTGAAGAATTTGAAGAAACTACATTTATCATTCACAAATATTGATTGTGATTGCATTGATTTTATTGTTAATGGTCCATTAAAATTAGAAAGTCTTTCCATTGTAGACAACGTAATACCTCTGAGAGGTTTCAGTATTGTATTCAATCCTCATGTTGAATCATCACTGAATAGTCTTAAAATTTCGATAGCTCAAAGTAATGGCGAAGTTCTTGGTTGTAATATCGACACGATCAAATTTCCTCATTTAAGATCATTGGAGATTTGTGCAATACTTCATCGTTCAGTGATTGATAAAATATTCAATCATGGACTTCAATTAACCTTGCTGAGAATATGGAATATCGGTGGAAGGTATCAGTTTGATTTTTCACATGCTCATCAAATACCCTCTCTCAGGTTATTTCATTATAACAACACCATCAACGTGGATACTATTCAACAAATACTCAATACAGACATTGAATATGTAAAAATTTCCTATCTTGATACAATATCATCATTGAGTTTATCTCAACTACTTTCTGACCAATTCATTAGTTTGACATCATTGAATCTTTTTGGCAGCCCAATGATGACAGATTGTGGAAAATATATATTCAATTTAAAACACTTGACACAACTGGACCTTAGTAGCTGTAAAATACAACCTGAGATCTGTAAATATATTTTCCACATGAAGAGTCTGACATACATTGATCTATCATCTTGTGAAATTGGAGATGAAGGATTGAAATATTTATCAAATCATAACTTGGACAACATTCAAACACTAATGCTAGATTCTAATAATTTCACTTACATTGGATTTGAATATTTGGTGCGTACCAAATTCAAACGTCGTTTGTTGTATCTTTCTCTCAATGACAACATTAGTAATAACGGAACCATTCATTTTGACAATGGTAATTATATTACTGTAAAAAGACTCAATGTTCGTGATGCAGGTATAGATTATAAGGGAGTAATTTCAATTCTCCAAAACTGTGTCATAGAAGAATTATGCATAAGGAAACCACATAAAATGTTTCTTGGATTACTGATGATTAAAAAGCTTTCGAAGAAGAAACAGGTGAAGATAATAATGTAATTGACTAATCATGGTAATATTCAAAGGAATGAGGTTTTCTCTTTTTCAACAGTAAGGTTCCGTTGTTGAACCTGTCTCTCATTGAAGAGTGAAAGAAAAAATAACGGCAAGGGTTTGGATTCCTCTCAGTAGGATTTTTAAAAAGATTCAATATAACAATATATAGCTTGTTTTTAATATCAATTAGTCCCACGCAGAGAGGAAGGAGATATTAAGCGAAAGATTTCTTGTTGTTATAGTGGATATTGAGATAGCCTCTATATTTGTACCAAAAAAATCAGGTCCTGTGGTGGTTGACCATCCTCTAAAATTATCGTTGAATGATCCAAATTTGAATATTTCCATCAATTAAGATATAAGGAAGTAAGGCGCTGCTGTTTCGTTCGAGCTGAATGTGAAAATAGTTAAATATTTTGTGCGTCCAAGTTGGTGATATGTAACTCTTGAAGTTGGTCATAATTCAAATATAGAAGAGCAAAAGTCGGTATTCCCTCGAAATTGGATACCGTTAACGTTGATTGAAGAGTCCTTTTCTTGATATGTTGGCCTTCCATGATTGATCTCCAAAGTAATTGTTGCTGTGAATCACTATAGATGATTATACACCCTCAATAATATCAGCCATAATTCATTGATACTGTTTTTATCATGGATGGAATATTGAATTATCGTTGTTGAGTCCTATCCCGAAACACTGTTATGGAATCTTAATGCAAGTGAGTCTTTTTGATGACGGAATTATTGATATTGAGTTCCTGTTGGTAGTTGTGAGTGATGAGAGTTGCTACTGTTCTACATTATCATCGTAAAATGTTTACCACATGAGATAAACATTATTGAATTGATTTAATTGAGAGAGGAGGTGCGTTCTGGTTTTTTGGTGTTTGGTTTCATTCAATGAAAAGGCATGTAGTGATCATATTGAGATTGGTTCAAAATATTGCCTTGAATTCGACAACGTTTCATCAAGGGTGGTGATTTATTCACTAAATGTCATGAGTACAAACCAGGAATTGAACAGACTTACCTATGGATCGTACCTGATTGAAATGTGAACAGCTCTTTTTTCATGTATTAATTATTGTGTGAATCCGATTGTTTGGTAGTTGTTGTATTGTTGAACATTGAGTGCTCTCATCTTCAAAGTGGTATGAATAGTCGGTGGACACATCTTGTGAATATTGCGCGTCCAAGTAGGTGATGTTAACTCTTGGAGTTTGTTATGATTTTTAAATGGACGTGCAAAAATTCGTTATTACATTCCCTCCAAAACGATTACGGATGAACCATTCACAAACAACAGCAAGAATAGTTCAGTGATATA